GGCCAGTCCTCTGGTTCGCATATTGGTTGCATGTACGGCTGAAAGACACAACTTGTGGCCAAACACAACCCAACCTCGCGGGGGTCCCTTCGAGATTGGAATACGTTCCATCTGAGAAGTCGTGGGTGAATTTTTCCACCATGTCTTTTCCACGGGACCTGCTCTTCCCGAGACCACGGGAAAGCGTTGCGGTGAAAAAGCGAGAAATCAAGGTCAAGTGTCTCTTCCCCGGCTATCCGAGTAAGGCCCTTCGGAACGCGACGCACACTCAAATTTCGCTTTATTTGATTGGAGACCATTGGCGTCGGCTCGATGCCGGAGATGGGAATGCGCTGACTCGCACTTCTCTTGACTACATGGAGATAGGGCGCATCACGCATACCTACCCCACGTTCTCTTCTCCGGGTTGTGATTGCCTCTAATTTTTCCTCGGACGCCTTTCCAAGCAGCAATCTCACCAAGTACACATGATTAAGAATGAAAAAGAAAAAAAGAAAAAAGAAGAAAAAGGCAGAGCAGGAACAAGAAGGGAAAGAACAGGGAAATGGGGGACCGTGATGTTGTACCACAGCTGGCTGAATGCTTAGCTGTGAAATATCAACTCCATATATTCCAACCCGCGGGGTCAACAGGGCTTCGCTGGCTATGCTTGGGTATCTTACGAGAGAGCCCAGGCCTTGGTTGGGGTGGGTAGATGAGCTCCCTTCAACGAAAGGCTCTCATGCCCCTGACTATGTGTTTATTATATTCGTACGCCACTTCCAACATCGCCCCACCTGATGTGACCGGTGGCTAGCATCGTCAAGGGTGAAATCCCAGAGAAAGAGGCGGCTTGAAGCGAAGGGGCGGGAGACGCGCTACTATCTTTGTCTCTGGCGGCACAAAAATACTCTCTCTTACATGTAACTCATGGATGACGTCCGGCCTCGTTTCCGGTCACCGTCACCGACATCTAGGATCCGTTACCTAGGGCTTCTGCCCATCGTCCAACCGACCAACTTGGGAGAGATTCAAACAGCGACGCCTGCGTAAGACGAAGTAGGTACGTTCCAGTGCTGCTTCTTAGTGATGGACGGGAATGCATGGCAGCTCAGATGCCAGGATAATGGTATGGGGTTCCCACCCGCAACTACCCTAACAATGGCCCATCGCGAACGCTCAGGGCCGAGAATTTGTCTTCAAGAGACCAGTTTTCTAGGTGGCTTTTGGTTGACAACCGTGGATCTTGCAGGTGTTCTTCCCTGATGGGTCGTCCGCGTTGTTTATTTAGAAGCCAGTTTACCAGCACAGCCGCCAGCGCTATCGGCCGTACGGGCTTCTGCATCGTGACCTCTTTAGTCTTTGTTTTCTTTTTTCTTCTTTTTTCCCTCTCATCTTCGGCTCGGCGTCCGTCCGTTTCCTCCTGGGTGCATCTGCATCGACTATATCCGTCCCACCTGTGCTTCCACCCTAAATACCCGGCCCAATCGTCCAAAGCTAGGCCACCAGTTCTTTGCAGCCATCTATCCGAGGGGGTAGAGAGGCAATTTGGGGGCATATCCCACATTTGAATCTCTCGCCCCTTCCCCTGTGGTTTTCCCTTCCTGTATCTCGCGTTGTGGCTGATCTCATGTTCATCCTGCCCGATCCGGCCCTTGATGCATCCAGCGGGCCCCTCCACGCTCCCTGTTGAACTTTAGCCGACTGCCCGCGACCAACGTCTGGTCTTTAGAACGGGAACGGAGGAGATCCATCCATTGGAAGGTAGCTTTCGCTTGGTGTGACCACCAGGCGTCGCTCGAACTCACCCGACAGCGTCGGGAATTCTCCCCTCCACATTTGTATGAGAATGTGTTTCTCGAATATTTTCGACACATCGCCCCGGTTCGCAATCTCGCCATGCCTTCGTTATTCTTTCACCTAAACGTATGCATGTGTAGTCAGGGTCATGAAAACAATCGGCCCATAGATCGACACCTCCATATTTAGATGGAAGTGTGCAGATCCATGTGATTAGCATTGTGCAATGTAGCTATTCATCCTCCCCATCACCTAACAAAACTCCCGACCAAGAACGACCCCACTAGAGGAATGACCATCTCGTCATCAGAGGCCTAAAGGCCGAAAGGGGCGGTTAGGGGGTGCGCGGCGAGCTTCCACGAAGCAACCCACTTGTGATACCACGACCTTTTTCTCCCTCCCTTACCTACCAAGGCTACATCTCGCTTCCGGACTTTGAAGACAGGAGAGAAATTTTTCCATTCCCCCGGCTCCGCATGCGGGGTTATCGTCCTCTGACAGAGGACACATCAGTAGGCGGGGCCCGCGGGCTTCCTATCCACCGGCCGGGACCCCACCGACGCCACTCCGATACGCTTGACATACACTCCGGCGTGGAGGGGCTGGGGAGTGTGGGGCGGGTGGTAGCAGGTTGCGTTACCCGAGACAAAGTCCGTGGCTCCTAGTTCTTTTTCCTTTTTCTTCTTTACAATTTTTTTCTATCTTTCTTTTTCTTCTTCTAGTGAAGTTCGTGCTACAACATGAGCTGAACAGCTCTTTGGGTATCACTAGGCAATGTACCCTTAGTCTGGCTCATAGAATGTATCAAAGAAGCCCACCGGAACCCTATCGAGGGAAATAAGTAAGAATCTAAACCACGCGATCTAAAAGAATCGAAGAAAACTCATGGGATTCAGGATATTAGAAAAGGCCTTTATCGGGTGCACCGAGAACTATGGAGTTGATGAGTGGTGGTAGGATTGAGAGCCACGCCGTCGGGGCGGTGTGGACTTGTTTCGAGCGGCTGACTTCCAATAGAATCCCGTCGGGGACTCAAGGGTAAGTTGGCGAAGTGCATCAATTGATCTGCTTGGCGCTGCATCCGGAACCCCATTGAAGTTCCAGGATATGCTTGCTCTTCCGAGAGCGTGTCAGCGGCAAGGAAGGGCGGGTGTTTTAGTTGCCGCATGCCCGTTGAAGTGCGAAGTTAGTTCTCCTTTGGACTTTCCAAAGATCAACGCGCGTACCCAATTGACAAAGTACTCAGCGTGTTACGTATTATGCCCCGATATCCAGTGTTCTTGGCAATGACTGGGATAGTATATCGAAGGGGAGGCATGAAGAGTGTCTTCGACGGAATTCTAGAAGGTATGCGAGTCTTGGCTGCTGTTGTCTCCACCATGTTTGTGGAGGCAGTGTTTTTCAAGATGGCCTTCAAGATCCGTTGTTTGTCCGGTTCACTTGCCAAGTGGCATTTTACAACACTTCCGCTTCGGTATGCACCTTCGCATTGACTCATTGTGTTTCTTTCCTTTACATGCTTAGCGAAAACTTGGTTGTTGTTCTCGTCAAGACAGCTGCGACAGTAGGGACCCTGTCCTTCTTCCGCAAGCTGTGATAGTGTCAGAAGCGTGCAGTCGATTGCCGACACAGCTCGACTGCGGCTGCGGAGCCATATGCTACCAGTACTATCGTCCAACCGACAAGACGTTTCGGTACCGGCTGTGTCGGCGAGAACTATGAAGAATGGAGCGCGCGGGGGTTGACTACGCGACAGTAACAATAGATCAACGGCGTGATGAGAAGGATGCACCTTGGGCCCCTAATATCTAGCCGTATAAGTGATCCTTCTATGAGACAAACCAGGGTAGAATCAACTCGCGTGTGCCATTCACGCCTCTGCATAGGGCGGCGGGTTTTTCTTCTTGTGTCATGGATCTAGTCCAGTCTTCTTTCCAGTTGGAGATTCAGCCCTCGCCTTTCTCTGTTGTTATATAAACCCAAATATAAGAGGGCTTCAGCAAGGATGCCTCTACATCATGCAGCGGAGCCCAATGGAAAGATGCATGTTGAATCAAGATAAGGTTCAGTCATAAGTTCGTTGAATTTTACGCTTCTGCAACCTTATCATATATCGGCCCAGTTCAAAGGGAAAATGATGATCGTCAGCAGAGACCCTGGTCTGCTCCGCCTTCCCAAACGGCGGCCAACCAACTCACGACAGGACAGGAAACGTTTGAATTGAGGGCTGTGTCCGGGAACCAGGGTTCTAGGATAATTGACCGACCATATCCGCTCGCAGCTGTTGCGAGACAGCTCCACGACTGAAGTATTAGTCCTGTCGCTGGCGGTCGCTCACAATTTAGGACCAGCTTGTCAGATTGATCAACCAACAGCGCACTTCGCGGCCACGTTGCTCAGACATGGAGATCTGTATGTACACGAACAAGATAAGACTTTTGCAGGGCTAGAGGACAGAGCTCAATTGATCAATTGATGGATGGAGGTAAATTAGTAATGGTGTTTACAACTGCTTGGTCCACTCTTGCTTGTCCAAAGGACAAAGTCGGAAGTCTCAGCTTATGACACTCCAGATGTCGTAAGAATTTCACTCACAATGTTGGTTTTTGTTTCCCCCGGGTGCCGGCAGATATAAGCGTGCCCTCTACCAAATAGGCTGCCATACCCGTGGCCCCATAACGGCACGTACTGTACGATCCTTTCTTCTTCTTTGCCCGTCTAAAGTTTGAGGGTTCGTTAGATCTGGTAATGCTTGCGGCAACTGAGCCTCAAAAGGGAGTCAAAAAGGCGATTGCTTCCGAGATGCTGGTGTAGTCGTGGCTCAGAATTCTCGCGCCCCCTTTTGCCGAGGTAGTCGATGTACGATTAACCTTTCTGACCATGCCCCTGCCCATAACTCACGGCCTTCTGAGAAGAAACATGGGATCGGAGGCACTGTTATCGAGCCCGTCGCTGCAGGGGTTTATAGCGGGAGAGCCCCGGGACCCGCCGTTGCTTGTTGCGAAGCCCCCACTCTATATGGGTGCCGAGGGTAATAGTCCCTTGCTGATTGAATCGTCTGACCCGTAATCCCTCGATCAATTCACATCGTATGCATAGATGAACTGGGCCGTTGACGTGTTTCTCCCTCCCTTCCAAAACCTGGACCTACGCATGCGAGGAAAGCCACCCTTATAAAACCTAGGCTTGAGCCCCTTTACTCAACCTGGGCCTCAAATGCGATGCCTGCCATCAGTCGCTCTTTCCGTCCCCTTTGCCGCCTTTGCCGCCTTTGCCGCCTTTCTTTTCTTTCCTCTTCGTTCTAGATACAACTTGGCCACTTCAGTTCTGGCCCGGCCTTTCCTCGCACCACTCCCCATAGATCTCACCTTACAGGCCTGCGAAATCCCTTGAAGGACCTTGACCAACGGACTCCTTACTAGGTGCCTGCTCGCAATGAAGCATCTTGTCGCCAGTCAAATCCTCCTCCCCCTCGTGTCGGCCTTGTGCTACCACGACGCCGGCCTGCAGCCTCGCTCCGACTTCTCGCCGCCGTCTTTCGGGTACACGGGCCTGGGCGGCCCCTCAACTGGCATGGCATAGCCACGGATAACGTGGCCTGCGCTCAGGGCACGTATCAGTCTCCCGTCGCAGTGGACTCTCAGATAAACTCGATACCGATGGTGAAGGGCGAGACTCTATCAATGGAACTGGAGAACTACTTAGCAGGGACCGAAATAAAAAACTTGGGCACTACCGTCGAAGTTGCCGCGAATGGCACCATTTGTCGACATGGTAAAGAGTACCGCCTTGTGCAATTCCACCTCCACACGCCGTCAGAACACCGCATCGATGAGGAGACGTACGCGATGGAGGCACATTTTGTGTTTAGAGCACAAGGTAAGTCGAAGAGGAGTCGTTCCAACGGCTGACATAGTCCAAATGCAAGCCGGGACGCGTATTTGTGACGTTCCCGGTCACGACTATAAATTTCATTTTCCCCACGTCTTGGCTCTTGGCATCATGCAGTCTGGGCATGGAGGCGAGAGTGGCGGCCCAAAATCCGAGACAAGCGGAAGGAACTTCTACGAGCCTTTTTTTCTCTTCCTCCCCCTTCCTTTTAAAAGACCGCATCCGTGGTGAGGAGGCGCGGATGAGCATGTGGGGTTTCTTTGACATCTTGGCACGCAAATTTCCTGACAGGACAGACGATGTGGAGCTAACCACCTCCGCCTTTCTCGAAACAGATCAAGCACTCTCCGTTGTAGGCGTCATGATCGACGTCTCCTCTCTTCACACTGCCAGTCCCTTCTTTACTAGCGTCCTCTCGGCCGTCGATCGCATCCCCAGCGGCGGCGACGTTGCACAGACAGGGCCCCTCCTTTCTAGCGAAATCGTGGAGCTCGTCGGAGCCTCCGATGTTTTTCAATATAATGGATCCCTGACTACCCCTCCTTGCACCGAGGGCGTGGCCTGGAACGTCGTCCGCCGTCCCTCTACGTCTCCGCCGACGTCTATAGCACTGCCAAGGCGGTTTTGAAATTCAATTCTCGGTACACGCAGACGGCCCCGGGGAGAGGAACTTGCTGCACGACGCGATCGGCACCATGGAGCGGTAAATGTGATGGGAGGCTCATCCCAAGATTTGACCTCGCATACTGGGTGATATCTGGGGCTAAAGCGGGGAGTAAAATGATCTGATGTGTGGCAGCGTTTTAGCTTTGAGATGTCAACGTGAATGTTCCGTTTTATAGTCTCACTCTGGTGAAGGCATGACTTAATGTGGCTTATGATTCATCAATTCGTTTTTAAGTGCGCGGGTAGTGCTGCTCGTAGACAAGCTTTCATGATGATCTCCTCCCATATACCACGCCATCGTGGGTTTGCTATGAAAATTATTTACATGAAGAGATTCTTTGGGGAAAAAAAGAAAAGGAAGGGTATCGTTTCGTTAAGTCGTCTCATAGCTTCAAAAGTCGCCTTTACCACCAGAGGCTATAAATCCTGTTCCTCCACCCTCGATTCTGAAAGGGTTGGTCGAATTGTTGTTTTGGATGGACGAAGTGAAAAGTTGTGTACATGAAAAGCGCTCAGCACGGGAATAAAATCGTCTTGGATCTGATCCTGGAATGCTGTTGACCAACTCGTAGGTCCTCGAAAGTATCAAGCTGTAGCTGCCTCATTATCTCTAGCGCTGGTTGCGGTGCAGAAGAGACCGGGCCATCTCGCCGAGAGATTTCCCACCAAACAGGTATTGGTCGGTGTGGCGCCCACACGTTGTGTAGACGTTGACGGTTCCGGACGAAGCCTTGTGACCGGAACCGTGGGGATTCCATACCGGCGGTGCTCGGGGTGGCTACAAGGGTATCACCATCCATGAAGGAACCGCTGTACCTTGACTGTGAGAGTTCCATGTTAGCTGACTGTTCAGACAGCTTGGGGCAAGCGTGGGCAGCGGATGGGGAGTGATTGGCAATGGCTACTCACCCTTCCTCGTTCAGACAGGCCAAACTCAAATGACTGTTTGTCACGAGAAGAATACAAGTTCAATGGTGCCGGTGGAGCTGCCCGGGGGCTGGACATGGTGGGTAGTGATGAATTGGGTGGAGGCTTTTGAAATGGGAATAACTTCCTTTCGGAGGATCGACTGTGAAGTTGATGTGGATTTTCGTCCGCCTCCGAGGGTGGGATCAGCCTGCCAATTTATATGCACGCCGGGTGCTCTAGTAGAAGAGAAGCACGAGCGCAGCGAGTGCAGAGAAGCTGAAAGAACGGAAGCTTATGCACGAGCGAATGGCAATTCTCTCGATGTCAAGTTTGAAAGGCAGATTCAAGATTGGGAAAACAGGAGGTGGGATGAGACGGGGACTCCTAATATATAGACAAGGCTCCAAGTATCAATAGATAGCAAACATCAAAGTCAACAATAGCCGAGATCATGGCTTCCCTCTAGTCTCCACTGCTAGGACATGAGGCCATGAGCGAGAGGGGAGCAAGCCTTGAAGCCGGTTGGCTGCAGGGTTGGTTTAGGAAGATTGGTGCCATTGAGGCCCTTTGGTGACGCGAGTCCTTGGTCTCACATGAACGAGTTCTGGGTCGCCCAGGAAGGGGAAAAGAGGGGCACCGATAGCCCTTTGATCATTGCTGTCGGCGCCGCCGACAATTAACCCCGGCCCGGGGATGCAGGGTGCTGTACATGGCAGAATGGGATTGGCCCAAGACCCGTAAGGCAGCAGGTCGATAGGGCCAGTGTCTGCAGTCATGCTGCGGCAGGATTGTTCCGTAGGCCTTCGAGGCCGCCTTTTTCCTTGATCCTTGGCAGCCCTAAAAGGCCCCCTTCTGCCTGGTTTGCTAACGAGATAGCGAGGGGCGACGCTAAGGAAGGGAGCGGAGAAGGTCGGGAAAGTCGGGGAGCGACGACGTTCCGAGGGACCATTGCAAGGAAAGTTTAGACGAATTGAGCTTCCTTGACACCTAGGACGTATGCACGTGGAGGAGAGTGTGGAGGAAAGTGTGAACTGAAGACAGCTTCGTGTTCGAGTCACCGACTCATTCTGCAATCGGGCACGTGGTTTGGGAAGGCACCCACGACGCAATCCCCAAATTCAATCGTCCTTGTCGTCATGTTTCATGACTGACGAAAGGTTTGATCTATCGAGGGTTGAGCGATCGGGCGAGCTCGGAAAATGGGTTGGATTGGGCCTTTATGAGGCCCTTCCGGGTTCTTTGCGTCCATGTCCCTCAGGTTCGACCAGGAATTTTCCAATTCCGCTTAATTGATGCACACATCATCTATAGATCAATGTCAATGTTAAGGAACAGGCCAAGAAAGACCGACCCGCTTGTAGTAGGCTCAATAGCGATGTGTCAATGAACATCAACTGATCCCCTTTTTCAATTGAAAACAAAAGGATTCGAAAAAGGCGTCTTCGCCCTCTGGCTCCCCGTCGTCCTTGCCCCTCCAAACCCCACAATCTCGAGCCTCCACACCCTCCATCGCTCTGGCTAGGCCAAAGAAGGGGATTGGACCACCGGCTCCGCTACCAAATCAGGGAGCTTCGTTTCGCGGGGGTTATGGAGTGGCGCCAGGGTTGGTAGGGCTAGGAGGGCGGACAAGAAGATAGCACGTTTGAAACTTGGAATGGTGGGCAGGACGTCACACTGCTCGAACATCGTAAGCTATTAGAGATACTTTGCATTCGACGGACCTCGGAATTTACGAGCTCTCCATGGATTCTTGTTGCTCCCTTATGTGAAGCCACTTGGAAATCAAATCTAATAGTGTAAATCCTGCCTTGCACGCCCATCCGTCAGCTTCAACGAGCTGTTTATTGAATCCGACTTCATCCAATTCATAAAGCCTCTGTAGGGCTCTAGGAATGATGCGGTTGACCTATCAGAAGGTGCTTAATGGGTCTCGTTGCGAGTAGGTTCACTGCAGTTGTCGAAGGGAACTCAATTGATGGATTTCCGTTTACACATCAATAGAGCTCCATCCACGCGTGGATTGGGCGATTGGACAGCTTTGACCCAAGTTGGCTGGCTGCATTGGTTGGGACCGTGTTGTATCACGTGATGAAAATACCGAGCTCCAACCACTGGTCTCCAGTCTGCAATCCCACCCAGCGCGACAGACAGCCCATTACGCCAGGATGCACGCTTCGGATTCGCGCCAACCTCTGCCCTCGGAAAGGAAAGGGAAAAAAAGGGAGCACCGCGCTTTCGATGACGCGCGATCTTGAAGGGAAGGAGAACCTCATCCATCGTTTCACATCCACCTCGAGGGATGGGATTTGATTAAATTTTCCATTTTGTTGGTTTCCTTTGCTTCTCGTTCTTGTCAATCCTTGACGCCCGCATTTTGCACGTTCGTGTCGCCGACGCCAATCGCGCCTTCCCGGTCGAGCCACCCTTCTCTTCCTCCTTTGCGCACTTTGCATCTCCGGAGCATCTTCACATTCCAACATCATTAAGACTAAAGAGAAATAAGCCGACTTGGTCACTCATAGTATGTGAATCCCTGGCATCCTCGGTTAGGATGCCTCTGTTTTGTCTGGGCAGGTTGCCCACTCCTTCCCTTGAACGTTTCCAACTATTCATTCACTTATCTTCACACGCCCTCATACCCTCCCCCATCTCTCGCTATCGGCTAGAAGCCCACTACAAAGAACCCGCACGTTCTAATCTGACACTCGATGTTTCGGGACTACTATAGATACACGAAAGCCCAACTACCTCAGCATTTGCAGCCATCGACAATTCTTTTCAGTCCCATCCAGATAGTATTAACGACGACTTGTCGCATTATCCGACTCCTGAGTACAGCTTCCACTTGAAAACCCACCCCCACATACACAATGACGAGTAAAAGGAAGAGGGAATTGTTGGATTTCGACCACAACAAATCTGATTCAGAAGACGAGAACTTTGAGCCTGAGGTAGAGACTCGCCGGGGCAAGAAACGATCGCGACATCTTCAAGGGCGGACCAGGCGGGGCTCGGGCACTGGCAAACGAAGGATTGGCCGTTACGAGGGCACCGATATTGATGATGATGAAGAGGTTCTTCAAGATAGCCAGGACGACGGCTCTTTCGATGAAGAATCTGAGGTAGATGATGATGACGAAGACCAGCCCGTGAACGCCGCTGGGCGTCGAGCGCGCAAGGTAACCAAACAAATAAGTTATGCAGAAAGCAGCGAGCAAGATGAAGGCGATGCTGCCGACGATGACGCCGATGAGCTGGCAAAGACACCACGCGGCAAAGCTAAATCCAAAATCATACGCCTCAAGGTCCCTAAGATCCCCCTCGACGCGACCTACCCGAAGGGCAACTCGGGCACGGACGGAAGAGTTTCAGGAAGAGCTTGTTGAGTTGTCGAATTCAGGGCATCATGCTGTCCCTGCCCGTGGCTCCAGAAGCGTTAGTCCCGAGACTGCTGCCCGGGCCATTCGATCCTCGCGCGCTATGAAGGGGTTGAAGAAAATGCCTGAGCCGATTGAAGAGGCTACTCAGGAGAGCAGCTCTCGCGAGACTCAGGTTGAAGATAAGGACGAACCTCGAGAGTCTGTGGAGGGCAAGGATATCGGGGAAGAGATACAAGAACAGGCTGAAGAGCCAGCCCTCGAAGAGAAAGCTGAGGTCCTAGCTGAGCCGCTAGATGCTGAGGTGAATGTAGCAGAAGATGGCGCAGAAGACGGAGATGACGCAGAAGATGAAGATGACGATGATGGTCCTGTAATGCGCACAAGATCGACTCGCCGCAAGAACTCCACCACCACCGCTCAAGAACTTGAGCAGACACCCGAGGACAATTCAGGAATGCGACGGCTACGGCGGAGATCCAGCCGGCGAAAATCCGTTCAGGAGCCCAGTAGCGATTTTGAGCCTGGCGATGAGTCAGACGGCGCGGAGTCCGTTGCTGCTGGCGGCGATGCAGAGGATGCCGGTTACGATAGTCCAACACCAAGGGGACGCCGGTCTAGCCGTAACAAGCGCAGACCCGCCAAATCTTCGGTACGAGATGATTCAGCAGATGAGGTGGAACTTGATCAGGACGAGCTCGCCGAGGAGTTGCAAGAGCTTCGGCAAGACTCCAGGCCTCGTCGGCGGCGTCGCTCCCCGTCCATCGTTTATCAAGAACCCAAGAGACGCCGCGCGACAGCCAAGCCCGTCAGCTACTATCTTCCGCCCCTCACTGCCGCAGCCATCGAAGAAGACGAGCCCGAAGACCCTGCACCGACTCCAGCCCGCCGCCGGGGCGCTCGTGGAGGTGCTGGCTTAGCGTGGGAACGACCGCTCAACACCGCGTACGGCCCCTTTGGTGGGGGTGGCGGAGCCGGCTCCCTGCTTAATGGGCCCTGGGGGACTGGAGCTGCCGGTGGTGTTGACTCTGATAGCAGTGACGACGAGATGGTGATGCGTTCCAACGTGGCTGGCAATGTTGGCATGACACCTACCACAGCTGCACCCCCGGAATGATGGGAGGCATGGGTGGAGCCATGAACGTGGACGGCTTAGGAGGCGTGGGAGCCACACCTAATGTGGGCAAAATTAAGAACCAAAGGCCTTTGCCGACGCTGACCCTCTCGGGGTGAACATGAACGTCAACTTCAGCCAGGTTGGCGGCCTTGAGGGGCACATCGATAAACTCAAGGAGATGGTACAGCTGCCGCTCTTGTACCCCGAACTCTTCCTCAAGTTTCATGTCACACCCCCTCGCGGAGTTCTCTTTCATGGACCCCCTGGCACTGGTAAAACTCTCCTCGCCCGAGCCCTAGCCAATTCGGTAAGTTCAGGAGGCAAGAAAATCTCGTTTTACATGCGCAAGGGCGCAGATGCTCTGAGTAAATGGGTTGGTGAAGCAGAGAGGCAGCTGCGACTGTTATTCGAAGAGGCTCGCCGCACGCAGCCAAGCATCATTTTCTTTGATGAGATCGACGGTCTCGCCCCCGTCAGGTCGAGTAAGCAGGAGCAGATCCATGCTAGTATCGTCTCTACCCTCCTTGCCCTGATGGACGGCATGGATGGGCGTGGACAAGTCATTGTGATTGGCGCCACGAATCGACCTGACAACATTGATCCGGCTCTTCGACGTCCCGGCCGTTTTGATCGGGAGTTCTACTTCCCTCTTCCCGACAAGGACGGCAGACGTGCCATCATCGACATCCATACAAAGGACTGGGGACTTGCGGATACCTTTAGAAATGCCCTCGCCGAGCGGACCAAGGGTTATGGCGGTGCTGACCTCCGCGCCCTCTGTACTGAGGCTGCCTTGAACTCGATTCAGCGCGCCTACCCGCAGATCTACTCCTCTCAGGAAAAGCTGATTGTCGACCCTGATAAGATCGCTGTCCACGCCACAGATTTTATGCTCTCTATTAAGCAGATGGTACCCTCCTCTGAGCGCTCTACCACTTCCGGAGCCGCCCCTCTCCCCCAGGGCATCGAACCTCTACTTCGTGAACAATTTGCCGCCGTCAAAGTAGCCCTTGACGAGGTCCTCCCCAGAAAAAGAAGATTACAGCCCTCGAAGAAGCCATGTTCGAGCAGTTTACCGACGGAGACCATGGCTTTGGCCGAGAAGCACTTCATCAAGAATTTGAGAGATGCCGAGTTTTCCGCCCGCGGTTCTTGATCCATGGACCGAGTGGAATGGGCCAAGGATACCTTGCCTCCGCCGTTCTACATTATCTTGAGGGCGTACATGTCCAGACCTTTGATTTGCCAAGCCTCTTAGCTGATGGTCGTGTAAGTCTTTGCCCCCTCCTTCACCTTGGCCAAATAGGCCTGACACTCTTTTTCTTTCACTCTTTTTTTATTTTTTATTTTTAAAAGAGTTTCACCGTATTAACTTTTGGAATTCTCTTCGTAGCCTATGGAACAAGTCATCGTTGGCCAGTTCACAGAAATCAAGAGACACAAGCCGAGCGTCATATTTATTCCTAATATTGAGACATGGTACGCTTCGCTACGAGATAGCCTAGCCATGATCACATTCCAGACTATGCTCCGGGCGATCCCACCAACAGACCCTGTTTTACTTCTCGCTACCTCTGAGAGCGAGGTTGAGGATCTACCCCGAGAGCTTCTCAAAGATCTCTTCGGGTATTCACGGAAGAACCGGATTGAAATCGAGCGCCCCGAACAGGTAAGCAGCATCATGCCCTCAGCCATTGGAGTTATAAAAGGAAACGCGAAAGCCAGGCATACTAATTCGCGGATAGCCAAACCGACGAGAATACTTCTCTGCCATTATCAATTATGTCAGGATGAACCCCAGCGAGTTCCCCGATCCTGCTAACCGGAAGCGGCGCGTTCTTGAGGAGCTCCAGGTCGCGCCACCCCCACCTCCCAAGGTACCGTCCAAGGCGGAAATGAAGGCGCTTGAGAAGCGCGATCGTCAGCTACTCAATATTCTTAAAGTGCAGCTGCAGCCGATCATGGACCAAATCAACAGAAAGTACAAGAAATTCAGGCAACCAGTCATTCCCTTTGCCCAGCTCACATATCTATATGCCGAGGCGGATCCGAACTACGTACGACCGGACCTGGCGGAAGGCGAGGTGCGGCCATTCGAGATTGTCAAAGATAAGCATGGAAACGATGTCCTCCAGGAGACTACAACGGGGAACATCTTTTACAATCTTGAGACGACAACCATTGAGGAAAGGCTCTCGAACGGTTTCTACTGCCGGCCCAAAGACTTCTTGTTCGATATTAAAGCCCTGGCGAAAGATTCGCGAAATATTGGAGACAAGGAGCGGACACTAAAGGCAAACGAGCTTGTTTCGAATGTCGAGGTTGACGTAGCCAATGTCGAGCACGCGACTAGCAATGTCGACTGGGAAGGACTCTACCAAAGACAAGTGCACCGCGCTAAACGAACCTCGGAGAGGGAGCGGAAGAGGCTAGCACTCCAATCGATTGTAGATGTCGTTCAATCGGATATCACAACTGATAGCAACTCCCCAATGCAAGGGCCTGTCCTTGCAGGAGAGCCTGTTCCGGGGAGCCGAACCACCATGGCCCGATTCCAGGTCATGAGCCCCGGGCCCAACGGTAACGGTGTGACGTCAGCCACGGAACCAGTCGAAACTGCAAGGCGGGAAGTGATGTGCAAATGGGTGGTATCGATGAGGATACGCAGCCATTCACAGACGTCCCGCAGATGCAGCCGCCTCCGCCATCGGCGCGGCGCTCGATCCAGACAGAAAGTGCCAGCGCGGGTGTAGTAGCTACGCAGGTATCGCAACTGTCGGCAGTCACGTCGGTGCCGCCAGGTGTCTCTCCGTCGGCCATAATTAACGATGCGTCGACGACCAAAACATCCGACCCTTCAAACAAGTCATCCAACTGGAGCACCCAGCTGACCAACGGATACCACGACCAATCATCAGGAGCAGGCGAACATGAGAACTCGCAGATGCCCGATACGCTCCCGGTTAGTCAGGGCCCTTCGAGTGGCGAGTCGTGGATGCACTCCCAGGTGCAAGCGATGGGTTCCGAGGTGCTGCGGGTCAATTCGATTCTGACGGAGAGCCCCACGTCTTCGGGATCCCGTGTCTCGCTGGTGCGCAAACCCAATCACCTAAGTTCCAACACCAACACCAACGAAACACAGGGTGAGGATGCATCACAGTCGGTTAGACACTCTGGGTCGTCGTCTCAGCAGCCCACCATCCTCCCCGAGGGCCAAGTAAACGACTTTCTTGCCGACCTAACGGAGCGGACATCGGGATGCACAATAGAGCAACTAGAGCAGATTAATCGGGAGCTGATGGAAGAGATCTGGAGGACGCGAAGCGAATGGAACAGGATGCTAGTGCTGAACAGCGTTACCAACGTTTTCAATGACACCATTGGAGATATCGAGAGCACGCAGGGGCTCCTTCAGTCGAGCCAGGACCAGGAAAGGCTATAGAGTAAGAGCACTTGCTTCCATCTGCTACTCGCCTGGCAGTAAGGGAGGAGGGCGCCTTGCGAGGATCGTCTTGTGTCGCCACCCATTGCCTGCTCCAACTTGCCCCTTTAGACCGCCAACCATCTGCGTTGACTTGTCCATATTCTAGTTGGCTAGGCCGAGTCTTTCCACCAGCATTTTTGTTATATCTTGTGTGGCGCTTTCTTTATTTATTTTTAGCTTGAGAATTTTGGGTTTCTTATTGTCGTCATTGATGGCGAGAGGAGAACTCTAGGCATCCAGGGCGAACAGTCGGGGAGCATCAGTTGCAATTTGTTATCATTATTCTCTCTTCCCTTTCCTTCTCGGCCTGTACAATAACGTAATATCAATGGATTGAGTTTCTTTTCGCCCGTTCTTCGCCCTTTTTCGTCCTCTTTCCCCCACCGGGCTACATGTAGGCCAACTGCACTGGTATGGATAACCAGGTGCAAGCATTCCAATTCATCGCCGCGTGCGGTTTCCTGAACATGCGTAAATATCCTAGATACGGAGGAGTGTAGTGTAGGTAGGTATGGAGAGCGGTACTAGATTGGCTCACGGAGCATCACTCTAGATCAAGCTTCGGAAAGTTCATAAGTTACCCGAGACCATTGACCTTGATGATTCGGCAACGAAAGGAATTGAAGCCAAGACTAAGAGTTGCGGGGTGCATTGGTGGTGCCTTTTTCGGGCCCGGGGAAGGGGGCAGCTGGGGAACCCTTGCATCTAAGATCAATTGATGTCGTATCAAGCTTTATCAGACATGCCGAAAGGGCGTCGTCGGCCTAGCCGGTGTCAATTGCCTGTATTATGATTGCCCGTGTGGATTTGTGTGTGTGTGTGAGGAATGGAGCCTCCAGTGTCGCCTGCTTAAATCCGCCGTCCCTTGGAGGGGGATGCCGAGGTTCAACGATTAAAGCCACCGACTCCACTGACACTTGAGCAGGTGGGAAAGCACTGGTCTCCGGGTCGGATGGATACTGGCAACCCTCACTGGTCCGCCCCGGAGCTGTTTCTATACCACTTCTCTCCATCTACAGCTAGAAGGGAATTCCAAGAAACAAGAAATACGTGTGTATCCTCAACGAGAAACAGACGAAGAGCGGAAAAGGGCTTTAGAACAGCTGGAAACACGAACTCCCTTACTTTTTTCTACCTTGTTCTCACCCCCTTTGTACGCATCACTCTGCCCTTGGAAAGAGGTTTACTGAAGAGCTGCATACAAATATATATTCGGACTTGGCCATATTGATCTTAGAAAATATGGCTGGCAAGATCGGTTTCTATTACGATATCGGTGAGTTGGAGCTCTTCACACTCCACATTGATTTTTTCAACGACATGTCAAGATCCTCTTCGCGGTCAAAGAACTTCACGTTCCTCGATACCTTTACCTCTTCCTCCCCCTTCCCTACTCCTGCCTCTCCCAGCCCTTGCTTCATGTCTTAACGATGTATGCGAATCCTCAAAGCTTACATGAAATGGCCTAAATTCTAGCGTCGTGGTATAGCTATGTCGGGTTTGCGGATCTCTACCGTAACCTGAGGTCCCTTGCTGCCCATGGAGTCAGCGTAGAGTGAGAGCCGCCTCCCTTCCGAGCGCGAAGCAGAGCGCAACTCTCTATCCTGGTCTCACTTGATCTTTAGTCCTGACACCTTGGGCCTCCTAACAGATTTCATCCTATCTCTATCGGCGGCGTCATGAAGGCTGCAGGTAGGTTTAAACCCGCAGCACGCCCCCCTCCCTGTCTCCCCACGTTTCAAAGCTCACTCAGGGTGCGCGCAAGGCAATCAACCACCCATGATGATCCCTCTCAAGGGCGAGTACCTCAACGTCGATGGCTCCCGCGCCGCTGCCCGTGTCGGCAAGTCCAACATGAGGTTCCCCCGGACTTCTTCGCCCGCAGCAAGACCCTCGTGCCGCAGCGCGCTCTTCACTTCATCAAGAAGAACTACCCCACCGAGACCTACGTCACGGCCCTGCACTACCTCCTGGACTGCTTCTTCACCCCGCCTCACCCCAACGTCTCCCGCCCTGAAGAGCTCGCCACCACCCTCGCCCGCTGTCCCCGCGACTTTACCGGCAGCGACAAGCAGTACCCTGCTGGAAATCCCCTCTTCTCCGCCGAGGAGGTCCGCGCTATCATGGCGGGTACCGAGACCCCTGAGATCAAGGAGGCGCTGAAGGCGGCTACTAACTTGGCCATCTCAAAGAAGGCCTTTGGTGCGCCTTGGCTCGTCGTGGTTGACGCCAACGGCAAGGAGGAGTGCTTCTTTGGGAGCGATAGGTTTGCGTTTGTGTACAAGTTCCTCGGCTTGCCTTACCATGACGTTGAACTCTTGCCCCTAGCAGCAAGGGCAAGCTTTAAAAGGGGAGGGGAAAGATGGGGAAACGGATAATGTCCGAGAAGAGGCTGCTACGGGTTCAGGGAAGAAGAAAGCCGTAGGTTGATGAAATCTCGTACTTTGTTGATATTGCCGAAAGTGTGGTCTTCGCTTAGGCCACTTTGAGACGGATGGAGATTCCAAGTACGTGCATGAAAACTGTAACTTTGATTGGGGGTATCTATCTAGTAAAAATACATCATCGGCCACTTCTCTCTATCCAAGAACCGAAACGGAGAAATGGGCAGCGCTCCACCCACCCGCAAACGCAACGTTAATGGTTTGCCAGGTCACACAGGAGAAAGCCATTATCATCCGGCACTGCTCACCTCGCAACAACTCGAGCTCGTCTTGCTTCCTCTTCCCTCCGTGCCTCACTCCGAGCCAAGAAATCTTGCCTCTCCGCATAAGAACCCTTGGATTTGCCTGCCAACTCCAAGTCGTCTTTGATGCCTTCCTTGTCCACAAACCCAGCCCAGTCCATTCTGCTTTTCTCAACCGTGTTGAGCTTCTTGGCACCGGATTCTCTAGCCTCTAGCCTTGCTGCCATGCCTAGGTTGAGGTCGCCACGGCGTTGGAGCGGTTCGAGGACGGGCTCGAAGGCGGATCGGAACGCCTTACGGGGCGCCCGCTTCGAAGGACCGGCCGATGTGTCGTCCTCGGGCAAGGTATCCCCGCCCTGGGAGGCGAGATAGAGCTTCGCTTCTGCCGAGTCTCGCGGTACGAGTTTCTCTTCAGTATGCACTTTGCCGGCGAAATTATATTTCCGTTTGATACGGATCATGGCGGGAGGATTAACGGCCGTATCTTCAGAGGGTAGACCTGATATTTCTGGGAAAGCCTCCTCATCTTTACTATCGCCATTCTCTAAAGCCTTCGCTTCTCCATCTTTGGGCGCGGCTTGGGTCGTGGTAGGGGTGGCTCCGCTCTTCATCTGCTCCCAGAGCGCGTCGACATCGATCGTGACAGGGCCGGAACTAGCGGTGAATTTTTCTCGGCTTTTCTACGAGCGGGGAGGTTTTGGGTTAGCGAAATATACCTAGACTAGTGTCTAGTCATGAAGGGAAGAGCAGCTTACTCGGCGGCCCGCATGCTCCGGGTCTTGATGAGACCGCCGTCGCCGCCTTGGTCGGAGTCATCTAGACGTTCGCCCCCTTATCCTTCCTCTTCTTCTTGCGCTTCTTCTCAGCCTTTCGGATGACAGTTTCGTCGCCCGAGTTGTCAAGGTCTACGTCTTCTGCAGCGGTCTCGGCAGCGTCCCTCTTGTGACGAGGGGTCGCGGTCTTCTTATCATCGTCGTTGTCGTCCGAGTCTGAGTCGCCTAGGGACTCGCGCTCAGCAGCATCTGCGGTCTCGGGCGCGAAGTCGGAGTCTTCAGAGGACGCGTACTGCTCGGCATTGTCGTCATCGTCGATGGGGTGATTGTCAGGCATGCCGACAGTATGGCGGGCGGGACGCTGATTCGGCGCGTCAAGGTACCCAAGGGGATGCAAATGTGCAGCTGTGTCGAGTGTGGCGGGCTCAGGAAACACCGTGTGCGCCGACGAGTTGTGGCTGTTGTTTCGTGTCGTTGATAAAGAGCTGAAATCGAGGTTTGTGAATATTGAATTTTCGAGGTGGCGTGGCCTACTTGCCGCTCTTGGCGGCGCAACGGCGTAACTGATGAGTGTGCTTTTGACGCACCCCACCAGCACAGGCAATCGGCCCCTGCCCCGCCACATGGGGAAACTGGGAGGATTTGAAGCCTGGATTACCCACTCTTCAAGTCGGAAGTTTCTAACCCGTCCAGGACCAATTAGTGGATGTTGACATCAAAGATATGTATCACGGTTGGACGCAAATGAGATCACTGCAATGGATCACTATGGATTGATGTATACGCAGATAATAACCATCAGATCCATTTTACTTGGCAGGCGAAAAAGGCATCTCAGCTTTGCCCGAGATTCATCTATCTGAGTGGCCATGGGTCTCAACTCGTTCCTACGTGGGCGTAGAGAAAGCAGCCTTCGATTTCTGTTCAAGTAAACACACACACACACCCTTGGACGTTTACAGACGACAGCTTCTATCCATTGAGTGAAGCTGGCTACTCTTGACATGCATGGATGCACCATTACGAGGTGCACGCACATCGATTGATACGATTGGCACCTAGAGCCAAACTCTCAGCATTAGCCCTTCCCTTCTCCATCCGCCTACGGGCGTTGAGCGTGAGCGCCCTGAACGGCCTGCCACGAGAGTGCCCCACGACCTCCGCATCCCCGTCCGAACTGGGCCGGAAAATTAACACCGGAATCCATCGCTTTGTGTCCTCCATGCACTTTGGTCTTAGCGGCATCTTGCCTTTTCCGCCACGCCCACTGGACAAAAGGGCCATCAAGTGACCACCCCCTTCTTACCAACTGCTTCCCTTTCCTCGCGACTGGCCCCCACACCCGTACAGTGCTCTCAACCCCTTGCCTCAGCGGTCTAGAAACGACCGAGGTGGGTTCCCCGCACAATAATCTGCATTCCGAGGGTGGCATTGGGCTAGGGACAGAAGTGACCAACCCACCAACATGGATGGAGCCGGGCTATAAGTCGGCCGGCACAGACGTTTGTCGTGCCGACCTCACTTATTAGGGCCTCTTATTCATGTACGTAGAGAGGAGCCCGCCTTCATAAAAGGTCGACCAGTGCCGTTTCTCTGACCTCTATCTTTCGCCCACCCATCCCAGCATCTTCCCTATCACATGCGCAGCACCCACCGGCCAATACTCGCATCAAATTCGACTTGTTCTCAGATTGTTCCCCTGGGCTCGCAAAACCACATCTTCTAAATCATGGCCGCGCGGGCAACTCCACTCACGGCCGAGGAACGTGATCATTTCGTCGACCATGGCTGGCTCCACCTGAAGAACTGCTTTACACGAGAGCAAGCGGAAGCGGCCACATCTGATGTCTGGGTCCGGCTTGGGATGGACCCTAAAGACAAGTCCACCTGGAGCAAGGAACGTATTCATATGCCGCACCACCGCGAGTTCGACGCCTCCCAGTTCGCACCAAGGGCGTGGGCTGCGATATGTGAGCTGTGTGGCGGCGAGGATAAAATCCTCAGCTGGACTAAGCAGTGGCGGGACACCTTTATCGTGAACCTTGGCACTACGGAGGGCGAGGAAAGACCGTGCACCCCAAGGACCTTCGCCTTTGGCACGTAGATGGTGATTTCTTCGTCCACTACCTCGACAGCCCCGAGCAGGGCCTCTTGGTCATTCCCCTCTTCACTGATATCGTACCTGGCGGTGGCGGGACCTACATCTGCCCCGAGGCCATGCCCAAGGTGGCCAAGTATCTCTATCAGAATCCAGCAGGCGTCTCTCCCATCATGCAACCCCGCGGGCACCCCAACTTCCCTGAAACGCCATTCAGTCGGGGAACCGACTGGTTCAACGAGTTGGCTCAAGGCTGCAGCGAATTCATCGAGACCCACGGGCAGTGCGGCGACGTTTTCTTGTTGCACCCCCTCATGCTTCACGCCGCATCCAACAACATGCTCCGCCACGTGCGTATCATTACCAACCCCCGATTGGTCTCAACGAACCGTTCTGCTTTAATCGACCAGATGGCAACTACACGCTCGTCGAAAGGGCCACCCTAAAAGCCCTGGGGAAAGAAGACTTGGGAGGGTGGGAGATTACGGGCCCGAGGCAGGAGGTTGTGCCGGAGAGGGTCAAGATTCAAGAGAGGATAAAGCAGGAGGAGCTTGAACGGCTGCAGGCTCGCGAGGCCGCCGCTGCTCCTATTGCCGGGGCCTAGGTACCATTTCCAGCCCTCATACCAGAGGGCTTATATCTGTGCGAGACTATGGGATCAATGCATCGTGAGTGTCTAAATCCCGAGGAGCGCTCTCTGGAGTTTCAACACGTCTCTTGTCCGAGGATGCTACTCAAACTGGGCCTCCAACGCGGATTAGGGTAAAGTGAAAGCGAAATGAAAGTCATTATTCCGAAAAGGAAATAGAGCACACGTAGATGAATAGTAATGCTTGGGATTTGGCTTCCCTGCGAGAACAGTATTCGCCTTGGGGGCCCGGAGTTAATGGCGAGAGTGTTTTAACTGTGGGGCCCGATGCTTTGCCTTTTAAAGCCTACATGTATACACCCTATGACTACGGAAATCCCCCATTGTAATCGGAAGACTGGCTCCCCCTTCCATTTTATATGTACCACCTCATTCAATTCTAGATGGTAGTGTGCTCTCAGCAAGGGCTTGGTCATATTAACTCGTGTCATCCAGTTTCGTGATGAGAGGCTGCACGGAAATTTACATCAGTTAATGGATGGCACTTGGCGCGCTTAGCCTCAAATTTAGAAGCTTGGGGCACACACCTGTGACGATTGACACCCCCAGAGAAAATGGATGACGAAAGTATTGCCATTTGATCTCCCATCCCGCCCCGCAGCTAACCCAGACTGCTGCTTTTTTATTTTACATATCTAGCTTCTGGTCCGAGAACACACCGTTTCTACCACCTGCTAGCTCAATAAATGTAGCAGGTGGGCCACTTCCTTCTCTTTCGCTCCAAAAATTGTGCCGGCAGTTGTAGACGCCATGGGTGAGCTAGAACCCGACCAAGGGCATTTCAACCTCTCTGAAGACGACGCTCTTCAGACTTTCTTGCCCAAGTCCTTTGGGTCAACCTCGAGGGCACCAGACATAGCCGCCCAAATCGAACGATGTCGGAGAGCTGTCGCGCCGCCTGGCGCTAGAGATGGACAGCAGGGCCCTGCTGCGAAGAAGGCAGCCACATCCGCCAGCAATGACAGCGACAGCGACAGCGACAGCGACAGCGAGAGCGACGACGACGATGACGAATATCCCATATCACACGAACTGGTACTTAAGACGCACGAACGAGCCGTCACCACAGTCTCCCTCGATCCATCTGGAGGGAGGTTGGTGTCAGGTTCCATCGACTGCACCCTGAAGCTCCACGACTTCGCAGCCATGACCCCGACAACCCTGCGCGCCTTTCGGAGCGTCGACCCTTACGAGTCAAAACGATCAGCGACGGCGAGTTCTGATTCACATCCAGTCCACCACGTCGAGTTTAATCATCTCTCTGGAGGCGTCTTCCTCTGTGTCTCGGCCCACCCACAAGCTAAAATCATTTCGCGAGACGGCGACATCCTCACCGAGTTTGTCAAGGAGATATGTATCTGCGGGACATGCACAATACCAAGGGCCACATCTCTGAAATCACCACCGGAACGTGGCATCCTTCCGATCGAAACGTTTGCTTAACGGCGGGTACCGATAGCACCCTTCGGATATGGGATGTTAATAATAAGCGGAAACAGAAGGAAGTCATCGTCTTTAAGTCGAAAGCCCCCGGCGCTGGTGGCAGGACTCGGATGACGGCTGTCGCATGGAGCTCTCAGGCTCAAGGCGGTAACAACATCATTGTCGCCGCGGCACTGGATGGCACGCTCGTCATGTATAGCGGAAATGGGCCTTTTACTCGTCCCGCGGCAGAGATACGGGAGGCTCACAGGCCAAACGCTTGGACAGGCGGGCTAGACATATCCTCAGATGGAAGGATGGTAGTCACGCGAGGTGGTGACGATACGGTGAAGCTATGGGACACTCGAAAGTTCAAGGAGCCTCTCGTTACCGTTGTACACCCATCAAGCTCGGACCATTACCCTATGTCGTCTATCAAATATTCACCAGCGTCGACCAGCATCGTTACCGGTTCGCCGAATGGAGATCTTCACATACTGAATCCTGCCAATCTGCGACCCGAGCTCGTGACGCCAGTGACGCCCGGTTCCCCCTTATCACTGTCAACTGGCATCCCAAGATTAATCAAATTGTGACGGGGTCAGCAAACTCTGAGATTCATGTTCTCTTCCACCCAGCAAGGTCATCTCGCGGTGCAGTGGAAACCATGTCTCGGGCCCCGAAGAAACGCCACGTCGACGACAACCCCGAATTCACCATGGACCAGACTGCGGGCATGTCCGCCGATTCCATCATCACCCCTGGAGGCATTCTTCCCGGCTCACGGAGGGCCGGTATCACGGGGACGGGCAAGTCAAAGGACCCCCGTCGACCCCATATTCCGCAGCAGACACCCTTTATGAAAAATGCGCCGGATGAGAAGCACATTACTGAAAATATCCCGCTTGCCCGCATGCTTCACGAAGACCCCGTGAAGCGCTACTGAAGTATGCGGAGGTGGCAAAGAAAGATCCCATGTTTACAAAGGCCTGGCAGGGTACCCAGCCGGAGACTCAATATCAAGATTTGAGTGACGAGGACGGTGAAGGGCCAGCCAAGAAGAGGACCAAGATGTGACAAAAGTTAGAGCTACCTCTGTTGGGTTGTTCATCATTTGGAAGGTCAATCGTGATAGGCTACTTTATTTGTGTAAGAGCGGGAGGCTAGGACAAGGTTTCACAAAAGGGTTCTGTGGTGTATTATATATTTAGGCATATCGAGGAATCAACGAGGTGAAGAAGCTGGACCAGTCACTGTGCCGTCTTGGTTGTCAATTGATCCAGGTTCGTTCCGCTACGAGGGTGATGTGGTGTCAATGATTGTACCACGTACCAAGGTATCCATCCATTATCAATGATCCATGGATCCCACCCGTCAGAATATAGGTTGATTTATCCAGGAATTTCCCCGATCTTCCCAGTAAATACATATTTGCCGTCAAACGCGAATCAGCTCTTCTAGCGGAAAAATATTTATGTGGTCAAAACTTCGTTTGCGGTCAAACGGGGGTTTGCCGTCAAAAAGAAAAGTGGATCCTAGGGAAAATATAAGGAAGGACCTCTCCCTTCTTCCTGCCTTTCTTATTTTTCCGTTTTCGCCGTTTTATTTACTGATCGCAACGTTTTTTTCTCTTAACATATCACTGGAATTGAACAGAGGGCACTTAAATTTTTTTTTTTATTCAGGAGCTATTTACCACTATGGCATACTATGGACTTTTGGCCTGGATTCTAACTTATATTACTATATCGAAGGTGGATTTGGTGGAACTTTATGGTTAAATCTTAGTAATGGTTAAATGTGGGTTTGCGGTCAAACTGCAAATGCTGGTTAAACGTAGGATTCTGGAAAATCAATGGTCAAACCATAACGATCGGATAAATGAATGCCTTTGCCGCCAATTGGACCTATGATTTCCGGGTGTGATCCATGTACCATCACGTGATACACTAATAGGAGTGACCATCCAGGCTCGATGAACGAATATCTGGCACTGCAGCCTTGTCGCAGTGCATACTCAATTTTTGTTCATGTTACTAAGCAGAGCAAGGAGTTGCAAAATGACTAAGCAGAACATGGCCCCCTTGTTGCCTGTGGTCGTGCTGGAAATTACGGTGGCTCGCGTATTTGCAGACCGCACCAACCATCGCGCTGAATCTTGTTCGTTGTGGTTCTTCACCTCCCCATCATCAACCGCCGACCGCGCATCGAAAATCGCCAGGTCAGTTGAGTCGCCATCAATTCCATCCCAATATCGACAAAATTCCATCCCCACGCGATTTTGTCGCGCATCTCGACATAGGGAATTGCCGCCACACGACCCCCTTCGCTTCCACCACACCCGAAGGCGCATTTTCCTAGGCGTTTTTGTCCCCCTCCCTTTTCTTTTCTCTTTCTTTTTGCCCCCAAATCTCGTGTCTATTTTTTTTTCCCTCCACCCCACGCCCATTCCTCGCGAGTTGCGCCGCGCCTCCTGAAAGCTGGAAGGAGAAAAAAAAAGGCCAGCAGCCCCAAGAAGGACACGAAATAATCTTTGTTTCCCACCACACACCTGATCATACTAGATTCCAATCGTCCATCAATTCCTGTCCTGCTTTGCTGGCTTGCCAAATCTCTGTTTGTGTACCTCATTTCTGCGCCTTGTCGAACAACCGCGCTTTTCCATCATCCATCTCTCCACTCGAAGATTGGACTCGCCCGACGCGTCGAGTTATCCATCACCGCGCCTCTTTATTGCATCGCGCGATCGGTTTATACGCCTAGTACCATTTCTCGCTATGAGCCTGAGACCATCCATCATATAGAAGCACTTCAGGACATAATCTTAGATCGCGCTTTGCGAGGTGGTTATTTCGACTGCCATCATGGCTTCCGTCCAGCCTACGCCGGCTGTCCAACATCCCGGTGCCTCAATGCCTGCGGCATTCGGTAAACAAGAAATCGAGGAGATCTATCGGGTACGTCCGAATAAATATACAGTCGGCGCTAATTTCCCGTCCTCTTTCCGCCGGCATTCCCCCTTGTGCTCTCCCCTCGCGACTAGAACGTATTAACGTGTTGTGTATAGAAATTCAAGCAAATGAAGGACTCTGGCGTGCCCACTTCCGACCCCGAGTTCATTAAAACCCAACAGTTTCTGATGAATGTTCAGCAAGCTCATCTGCGTAAGCAGCAACAACAGCAGCAAAATTTGATGCGACAGCAACAAGCACATGGCTCCCCAAATGGACCTGCAAATGGAACTTCAATTTCTCGACCTCAACCGCTGGCGAGCCAAACTCCGTCGAATGCGAATGCGGCTGGCCCAGCTGCCCCCTCAGGCTCGACTTCCTCTCCTTCCAGTCAGAACAACAACGCAATGGGCCTCTTTTCTCAGCAGCAACTCACCATGCTGAGACAGCAGATTAGCGCCTTTAAGCTGCTCTCGCGAAATGCTGGCCTGTCCCAGAACATCCGCCAGGCACTCTTCTCCCAGCGACAGAGGCGACAACTCTCCCTTTCCGAGTCGACACAAGGCGTCCCAGCTGCCGCCCAGTCCGCGCAGGACTTGGGTAAGAAATCGATAAATGGAGCTGATACAACCGTCCATGGTGATACTGTGGCGACCGAGCCAGGGCCGAAAAGCGCCAAGTCACCATATGCCATGGTGAAAAATAGCATCAGCTATTACGACCACAATCAACGCAAGAACCGTTGGATTATTCCTAGTATCTTCCCAACTGGTGTTGACACCGATCAGTTGCGCCTCGAACAGGAGCGCTCGTTATTCAATCGTATGAGCCATAGATATCAGCAGCTAAAGGCTCTGCCCGCCAATATGGCTCACTGGGATTCGACCCAGGAGGCGACCGAGGCAGACGAAAGGCTGCGCCTGAAAGCCATCATCGAAATGAAGGCGCTGGAGCAGTATGCTAGACAGCGCAAATTGCGGGAGAAGGTGGGCCAAATGATGATGTCTTACGACAACCTGGCGATGACGACCAACCGCAGCAACTACCGGCGTATGAAGAAGCAGAGTGTTCGCGAGGCAAGAATCACGGAGAAACTCGAGAAACAGCAGCGTGATGCGCGGGAGAACCGTGAGAAGAAGAAGCACGTCGACTTCCTACGAGCCATCTGTAACCATCGGTCTGAAATCATCGGCGCAGCGGAATCGCAGAGGAACAAGTCGCACAAGCTTAGCCGAGTCATGTACAACCAGCACTACAACATCGAGAAAGAGGAGCAGAAGCGCCTGGAGAGAACTGCTAAACAGCGTCTCCAAGCCCTTAAGGCTAACGACGAAGAAGCCTATCTTAAGCTGCTCGACCAAGCCAAGGATACCCGTATCACACATCTTCTCCGGCAGACTGACGGCTTCCTCAAGCAACTCGCATCGTCCGTCAAAGTTCAGCAACGCCAAGCTGCGGAGAGGTATGGCGATGATAGTGGTGCTTTCGACCAGGAAGAGGAGGAGAGCGAGGTTGGGTCTGAGGATGAAGATGACGAGGATAGCAGCCGCAAGATTGATTACTATGCTGTCGCGCATCGCATTAAGGAAGAAGTCACCGAACAGGCTGATATCCTGGTTGGCGGCAAGCTTAAGGAATACCAAGTCAAGGGTCTTCAGTGGATGATATCGCTGTACAACAACAACCTAAATGGTATCCTTGCCGATGAAATGGGTCTCGGAAAAACAATTCAAACCATCAGTCTCATCACCTACCTCATCGAGCGGAAGCAACAGTCTGGGCCTTACTTGGTCATTGTGCCCCTTAGTACCCTCACAAACTGGAACCTTGAGTTCGAGAAGTGGGCTCCTTCCGTCTCGCGCATCGTTTACAAGGGCCCGCCAAACGCCCGAAAACAGCACCAAGAAAAGATCCGCCAGGGCAAATTCCAAGTTTTGCTGACTACTTACGAGTACATCATCAAGGACCGCCCTATACTTAGCAAGATTAAGTGGTTCCACATGATTATCGACGAGGGTCACCGCATGAAGAACACCCAATCGAAGCTCACGGCGACGATCCAAGGCTACTACCACACTAGGTTCAGGCTCATTCTCACTGGTACGCCTCTGCAGAATAATCTCGGCGAACTCTGGGCCATGCTCAATTTCGTCCTCCCCAACATCTTCAAGTCAGCAAAGACATTTGACGAATGGTTCAACACACCTTTTGCGAATACGGGTGGCCAGGACAAGATGGATTTGACAGAAGAAGAACAGATCCTAGTCATTAGGCGCCTGCACAAGGTTCTTCGGCCATTCCTTCTTCGGCGTCTGAAGAAGGATGTTGAGAAAGACCTTCCCGACAAGACTGAAAAGGTTATCAAGTGCAAGTTCTCTGCTCTGCAGTCCAAGCTTCATAAGCAAATGGCTACTACGAACAAGATCATAGTCGGCGATGGCAAGGGTGGCAAGAGTGGCGCCCGTGGCTTGAGCAACATGATCATGCAGCTGAGGAAACTCTGCAATCATCCGTTTGTTTTCGACGAAGTTGAGAACATTCTGAATCCGCTCAGCGTCAGCAACGATCTCCTATGGCGCACTGCTGGTAAATTTGAGCTTCTGGATCGCATTCTTCCTAAATACCAAGCCACGGGGCATCGTGTCCTCATGTTTTTCCAAATGACAGCCATCATGGATATCATGGAAGATTACCTAAGGTATAGAAAATTTGAGTTCTTGCGTCTCGATGGTATGACCAAGTCGGAAGATCGATCGGAGCTCCTCAGATTGTTCAACGAACCCAACTCGAAGTACTTCATGTTCCTCCTTTCAACCCGCGCTGGTGGTCTTGGGTTGAACCTGCAGACTGCCGACACCGTCATCATCTACGATTCTGATTGGAACCCTCACCAGGATCTCCAGGCCCAGGACCGTGCTCATCGTATCGGCCAGAAGAACGAGGTTAGAATTCTTCGCTTGATTAGTTCTAACTCGGTCGAGGAAAGGATCCTAGAGCGCGCCAGATTCAAGCTCGACATGGATGGAAAGGTCATCCAGGCTGGTAGATTCGACAACAAGTCTTCCGAGACGGATCGAGATGCCATGTTGAGAACGCTCCTTGAAGCTGCTGATATGGCAGAAGCGGGCGAGCAGGAGGAGATGAACGACGAGGAGTTGAACATGATATTAGCTCGCGGTGACCATGAATTCTCCATATTCCAGAAGATGGACGAGGAGAGAGCAAAGGACCCCGTATATGGCTCAGGTCCTGGCTGTACAGGCAAGCCTAGACTAATGACGGAAGACGAGCTACCGGATATCTACCTAAACGAGGGTATCCCTGTAGAAGAAGAGGAGGAAGTTGTGCTTGGTCGCGGCGCCCGTGAGAGAACCAAGGTCAAGTATGACGATGGCCTCACCGAAGAGCAATGGCTGATGGCTGTGGACGACGACGAGGATAGCCCTGAAGCCGCCGCCGCCAGGAAGCTAGCGCGCCGAGAAAAGAGGGAGGCGAAAAGAAGTAAACTGGGTGTCTCCCAGGAGCAGGACTCTCCTGTTCCGAGCCGCGCAAGCACTGAAGAGGTGGAGGCAGTGGAGACCCCTAAGAAGCGCGGTCGCAAACCCGGGACGAAGGTTGAGAAGCGCAAAGCAGAGGACGGCGACGAAGAGCCCCCGCCGAAAAAGCGCCGTGGGCCCCAGGGCCGGCCGAAAGCGATCGCCACCGCGAACGGCGATTCCCGCGTGAGCCCTCAGCAACGCGAAGCTTTGCAGAAGAGTCTCCGGTCGCTCTACGATGGTTTGATGAATTTGGAATCAGATGACCTCGTTGAACCGGTTGACGAAGACGACTCCGAACCCCCGAAGAGGCTTATAATAGGGCCGTTTGTCAAGCTGCCGCATAAACGAGACTACGCCGACTACTACCTCATCATCCAATCTCCTATATGCATGAAGATGATGGAGGCGAAGATCAAGAAGGGAGAGTACAAGTGCCTGGGCGATATGCGTAAGGACTTCGACTTGATGATTCGAAACTGCCGGACATACAACGAGGATGGCAGCATGTTGTGGAAGGACGCTGCGATTATGGAGGTTAGTATTGCGTCCCGTCTCCCCGTTCAAATCGACTTCATCAGGCCGGTAGCTGACTGACTCGTTATATAGGATTATTTCAATAAGGAACTCGAGTCGGCGCTCGAGAAGATACCCGAGCTCAAAGAACTAGAGGATCTTTTCGAGAAAGAAGGGTCTGCTCCAGAGTCCGGTGCTGGCGACACCCCACAACCGGCGGCATCCGGAACTCGGATTCGTTTGATCTCTTCAAGCGTGAAGGAGACGCCGAATGGGGACAAAACCGAAGAGTAAACTCCAGGCGCGTTGGTGATTTGCGGTGAGGGATCCGTGTCTATTTTGGCGTTTTGGACTGGGAGGATGTGAGAGGATTGCTCAGGTGATGAGCACATGTGTATTACTGGCCTCAATGGCTTCTCCCGGGGGCCTTTCTGTCTCTTTTTTTTTCTCCCCCACCCTTTTTTTCTCTTTCTCGCGATCTTCACCTACTTCCCTATTCCGCTCGGCCAGATTATTCTACCAATCCTCGGCCATCCACGCCCAATCAGCCTCTTGATCCAAGGCGCAACCTTCATGTCTCGTTTCGTATGAGGGAAGGCCTGTCTCGCGTCTCATGGATGTGGTGATGGAAGGTTCGGGAAGGCACATTATGATGGAGAAGATGTGCTCTTGATCCGCTCCCCTACTTTCACCTCGCCCTAGCTGCTAATATTCTGTTTGGATTGTCTTGTGTATCTCTTCATTGTCTAGATTAGCGAAGAACCCTTGTATTTTAATGGATGGGAAAATAAAATTTCGGTCTTCCGTGGTCCGCTGGTACTGTTCGTGATGTCGAGATACATGCATGATGCTCTGGCTACGGGGAAAGCGTTCTCAGGTCCTAACATGTTTGTCACCGGGCTAGATGGAATGTTGGCTATGTTCTTAATATTGTGCACTAATAGTACTCAACAATCTCCGGGGTGCTAGATCGACTATGTCTGCTAAGTTCTAGAGGGGAGCGCAGTGAAAAAAAAAGAAAAGACTCGCTATACCATACCAGCTCCCTCTGGAAAGAAATCCTAGTAACACACAAGAGAAAAGATGAAAGGCCTCCCACACAAATACCATCCCAATATAAATTCCCTGAGAAATCTAACCAAGTAATATAGGAACCTGCTCTTTAGCTTGCACTTCCCATGTCTGCACGGAAATGTGACCAAGGCCACGCCGGTACGCGATCTCCCCTACGCGCTCGATCCATAACACATTGACGTAATCAATGTTCCCGTTCGAATCCTGGACGTCCTTTAGATATTCGGGGTCAAACACGTGTGAGCCACCGCGCTCGGATGCCTCAGACACGGCGATGAACTCAAGCTTCTCGTTACCATCGTGGTTTGAGGATTGGATACCTAGCCAGGAATCATGGCCGCGGAATTGGCCAGCCCAGCGCCCGCTCCGATCATATATATTTCCAATGGCTATGGGTGGGTTTGAGCGCCCCTGGAATTCCTGATTACGGCTAATCTTTACGTCGAAGAAACCGCGAGTCGTCGAGAAGGAGAGAAAGGTTCCAGGCAGGGAGGGGGCCATGACAAGCTGCTCCGGACCTTTGGTGGGCGGCACTACCACTGGATAGCGGAAGATGGTGGTGGGATCCGATTCATGCTTGAAGTCGGCGCCGACACGCGACCAGCCGTCGGGCAAGGGATTTAACCTTCGAGACGACTTGCCTCGGTACTGGAGCCCGTTTGAAGCGAGGCGGGTCACTATAGACCGATCTGTCAACTTCCAATCTATTGCGAGCGATCGGAGTCTGAAATGATTGGGGATTGAAACCGCCTAGAAGGAGTACCGCGCTTGACCGGCGCAGATGACTCCACATAGTCGCCGGCGGCCCTCCACAAGAGGATATCGACAGGTATGCCGTCGAAATACCAGCCCATCCACGACCACGACGGTAGGGCATTGAGTTGGGAAGCCCCCAACGGGAGGACTTTGCGCCGGATCGACACCTGCGGCTGCCACAACAGAGCAGCCTCCAAGAACATGACTGGCAGGCCCCAGACTAACCCGCCCGTGAAAACTTTGGAGAGGATGGAGGTGACGCCAGCAAAAGCTCGGGGGTATCTTGAATAAATGAAAGCTGTCGCATAGTGTAGTCCATGACAATCCTGGCGTAGTCATCGAGGTCGGGCCAAGGGGAATGCTGGAATGCGAGGTGGGCACTGCCTAAACGGGTTGTGCATTTCCCGCTGGATGCTGCCCGCCCAATCTTCAGCCGGCTTTGCGGTGCCCCTTCAAAGGTGTCACAATGGCATTCCCACGATACAGAGTCGCTAAAAACATAGACCATCCTCCTAGCATACAAGGCTTCCTCCACGGTCCACGCTCGGGAGTTCCATTTCGACTCAGCTACGAGATCGAGGTGTGACGCGCTCGGCGTTTTATTGTTTGTCTTCGGGACCGACTTTTTATCAAGTCCGCCGAGCCGCGCATTCGCGTTCCCACAGGCGGCGATGATTGTGAGGTACGCATTTGCAAAGACGTAGGCCATGTTGCGAACGTGCTCATCCTTCTCCGCCTCGTCGTCTTGAACGATGCAGAGGCGGTCTACCCACAGAAACGATAGGCCGAGCCTCCGTGTAAGCCACATAGCATCGGTAATCGTCTGCGGTAGTTCGTCCGCTGGAATATGTTGCTCCAACCTCGAGACATTGCTCGCCGACGCCATGAGGGGGCACGGCGGCCGTGGGGTTCCCAAACATAACTCAAGGCTACGTAGTCGTCATCCGGATGTGCCCGGACAAGCTTAGCCTCGGGGCCACTGCAATCGATAAGCCAAACAGGGAGAAACGTGAGATCTTTGACTCCTGCATCATGGCAATGCCTCCCATGCTCTGCGTTACATCGCTCTACCCAACCCCGAATTTTGCCAATGGGGTCGCTTTTGGAGGACGGCGCGGTAGATGCTCGTCTGGATACATTATTATCGCGAAGAATGCCGCCCCAGGAGGACTTGAGCTTTTCCGTTAGGCTCTGTCGGCGAGAAGGACTCGCATGGGGTTTGCGCGGATCGCGGAGCCGGGGGCGGCGGCGGCGGCGGCGGCAGGAGTTGTGCGATAGCGCGGCTCGCCGTTACCGGGCATCTTCTCAGGGTCTGTAGGACGGCGATGGCGCCCTTCGTCCGGCCTACCCTCTCTGTCCTTCTCCTTGTACCGGCCCCGGTCCGCATCGCGATCGCGATCGCGGTCCCGGTCTCGAGCCCTGTCCCTATCTCTCTCCCTATCTCTATCTCTATCTCTATCCCTGTCTCGTTCGTAGTCCCTGTCTTTTTGTCGAGGTTCAAAGTACGATGAGCGCCTCTCGTGTGCGCCGGCAGGAGGTGGAGGCGGTGGCGGAGCTTCAGGGAGGGGGAGAGTGGCGACGGTGGCTCGTCATCATCGCTTCGATTTCGAGTCGGCGATGGGGACATGGCGCTTGACCGGGTCCAGGGAGGGATGTTCTGAATTGAATTGTGACTACTCTGAGGACTTATCGTGGTTTAAGCAGGGTCTTGCCTGTCGGGACAGGTGGGGACGGGCAGCTGAGATGCGCGCGCAAAAACAACAACAAAAAGAAACTGTGGATTGAGTCGCGGGCGGCAGACCAAAGCTAAGAGCCAAGGGCGCGAGATGCATTAACTCGAGGTGTGTAGGACACACAGTCAGCCCTTATGTTTGGATGCTAATACAAAAGCAATTTGAAGGGTCATATCGTGGTGAAGGGTCAAAGGATTTGAGATGAAAGGTGGGAAATGACAAAGGAGGCTGAGCCCGTGAGCGGCGTCTTCGCGCCCTGTGAGTGCAATGGATCCATCCTCTCTGGACGTGAGCAAATGGGTCAATGAGGCTTCCTCCGCAGCATAGGCATAGGGAGTTAATAATAATCGCAGTAAATTAGAAGGTAGAGTTCCTATCTCGGTAGCCGACGACACCTGTTAAGTGCAGCATCTAAGCCACATGGTCACGTCAACGACTCCCACCGCAACTCCCAGTACTCTTGGTCAGACACTCAAACTGGAGAATGCAAGCCAGCCTTGGGGCCACCAGGCCCATCCCTAAGTTTTGTCGAAATTCGCCCAAGGACAAATTATCATCCACGGCAGCGGCACCTACTGTGCTGTGTCTCTTAGTGGAGATACCAGAAAATGTTGCTCTCCCAAATGCAGTGCTCAAGCTGAGTCCCTACTCGTACCATCAAGCTCACGATTTCAATGCCAGCACGGCGCATCGTTTGTCGAGGTGACAAAGATCAATTCAATCTTACCAGCGCTATTTTCAGGGACCGCGCTGTCACCAACAACCGCAGGCGGCGCTCACGCTCGATGGCTCCATATTCGCTTTAGCCGACTGTTTTCCTTCCCTCTGCAGGACAGTCGTTGGACCGCTGCGGTCTCCGTGATAGTGCTGAATTAGCGCTGTGACCCTCCAATCAGACAGCCAAGGCTCATGGCGTAGTGGCTATCGCGTCCGTCTCACAGTGTACAGCACTGTCAGAACACGGAAGGTCCTGGGTTCGATCCCCAGTGGGCCTAGGAGGAATCAAACTTTGGTGATCTCGAAGCAGACAGCTGTGAGTGGGAAGCGTGGGTCACCACCAACCACGCGCGCCCGCCTGCCCTCAATCTTTTTCTTCTCGGATTGATTTTTTTCCCCGCCTAGCCTTCAAGTTCCCTCTACCAAGGACCAAGGTAGTTCTCACTCTCTGCCTCATCTTGCGATACCCCTCATTGAGCTTCTGCGACCAATTCAGCCCGAGTAAACCGAGGAAGAAGAAACAATATTAGACAAGTCACCAATAAATAAACAAGAGAAAGGAGAGAGGGAAGGAAAAAAAACCTGGGCGCTGCGGTTCCAGACAAACGTTAGGCTATTTGCTCTCGAGGATGTCGGGATCCCGCAAAGCCAAATATCTTGCACCCTGCAATAGCGAGCTCAATGCCGCCCATCACGTCTTTCAAAAACACTTTGAATCACATTTTGAGCCTCTGCCACAAGCACAGGAAGAAGGCTTGACCACCCAAAATCGTGCCAACGCTGCCCAATCTTCAGATAGCAGCGAGGATGAGTGGAGCGGAATCTCTGGTGACGAGCAAGACACGGTAGAAGTTGTCGATCACGCCTCCAAGGCCACTCCTCCGACTCAGGCCATGGGAAAACGTGAGCTGAAGGCATTCATGGTAAGGCACACATTCCCCTCCAGTGGAGCGAATTGAATATTGACCAGCTTCGCTTGCCCCAAAGTCTTCTCGCCCACCCTCCGACTATTTAGAATCCGGCCCTCGACCCTCCAAGACCTCTACCTCGAAACCAAGCCTGCCCTCGCAGTCCCTCCCCGAAGACTCTCGAACACTCCTCGCCCAAGATCTAGCTCTCCACCGCCTAATCACCGAATCTCACCTTCTCAACCCTTCGTCCAAATTACATACCAAGCCGTTTTCTCAAGGCCGCATCCGCATGCATGCCACAGATCTCCGCATCACCTCCCTTGCACCTACTGGTACCAAGAGTATTCTTGCACAGGATAAGATGCCCATGACTATGAGGAAGGGCATCAAAGCCGCAAAGAAAGGGCGTGAGGACAAACGGAGAAAGGAGGCCTGGGAAAACGGTATAGTCCTGGAGAGGAAAGGAGGACTTCCCAAAGCACGAACAGAAAGCGCAAAAGACCTGCTAGTGTAGATCTCCCTAGTGTTGGGAGACTAAGAGGGGCAGAACTTAGGTTAAGCGAAAGCGATCTAAGAAGCATGGGGGACGCGCGCACGAAGGGTAGTCCAGGTTTGCGGCGTTCAACAGTCCAAAGACGGGGGTAAGGAAGCAATCATATTACATCTTGAGCGTGCCGGGATCGCCTATGTCATCGGCGCTCTATTGCACCCTCATCCCATCATCGCTCCGTCGACTGTAAAACGAAGGTGAACAATTAGCCTATCACATACAACAGCACACTGGGTTCCGCCCAGAGCTGCGTTCGTGAACCAGTGCTCGGGAGGCAAGGAATCAAGCAGCCGGCGTACTTCGAATTCACAACAGTGAATACAGAATATAATCATAGAAGAAGAATATGGATATAGTTATAGATATATATGTACACCACACATGGGTCTCATGGCCCCCAAATGTTGCGAATGCTAAAAAACAAGAGAAAAAAGTTACCCCTATCCGTCCCGTTCCAAGGTAGGAAAACTACACCATCCTGTTTTTCCAGCCAAGACCCCCTTCTATGAGTCAAACGTATCAAGATGTTGCTATCCGCCCCACCCCGAACTAGCTCAACTGGCTTAACAAAAGAGATAGATATCTGAAAAATGAGCAAAAAGCCGAAAAGAATATAATGGGTAATATGACACAAGAGTCAAGAACAGAAATCGAGTGAAGTGAGAATAGTAACTTGGTTCCAGAAAGGCCCAGACCAAGAGAAAAGCCCTCAAAGTCGACAACAGAAGAGACAGAAGAACGCGTGCTGCAGGGGGATGCACGTCATAAGGTCATGAAAGACGCATTACAGCATGCTACCCGCATTGATGGACTGGGGTGTGCTCATCGTCATCGGCATACTGAGCGTCTGAAGACTGTTGTACGCCGAGGGGGCATACTCGTCGCTGGCAGAACCCCACCGGGGCCCGTCACCGACCCATTGGCAATAGCATTGAGGGAAGTTGAAACGTAGGCATTCTCGGAGGTAGGAGAAGCTTCTTCTACGGAGCCTAGCTGGTCTTCGCCAGAATACTCCTCTTCATCCTCGCCTGAGAGGTTGTAGCCGGAACCATCGCCAGCTCCTTCAGGGCGGTCATGGGTCCGTTTATGTCTAAGGAAGCGAAGATGAGTCAGCTTGGTCGATCTAAAAAAAAAATGACCAGAGGGGCGGCCGGCCAGAGCCAATACCGCCACGGACGAGAAAATATAAATGAAACAAAGTTGACAAGGGGAAGCTTACTGTGCCAGGTTATCTGATCTAGAAAATGCCTTGCTACAATGTGGGCAGATATAGGGTCTTTCTTGTGTGTGTGTTCTCACATGTCTGGAATCATGGTCAGATTTAATGACAAGAAGGGCGGCTAGCATGCCGAGGGGTATTGGGGCTTACCGCTTGAGGTGCTCCAGGCGCTTAAAGAGACGCCCGCACGTGGGGATGGGGCAAGAATGCGACTTCTGGGGATAGGGACCAAGCTCCATCACAGTAGCGGAGCGCGCACGGCGCACAACACCATTCGGTCCTTGGAGTCCCTTAATCGTTGTTTCTCCAGTGAGTTCTTCCCCAGTTAATTGCGAAAAATCTTGCTGAAGTGACATAGGATTCAGGGCGGGGCTTCCCTCAACAGCTGACAAAGGGGTTCCATGGCGAGAGAGTTCAAGCATCTCTTTATGTTGCTGGCTGCTGATGGACATGGTGCTGTACGTCAACCCAGGAGGAGAATTATCGGCAGACTCCTCTCCCTCAGGAACAGGACCGACGGAGACAGAGACAGACCTCCGCAGATCCGAAGGGCGGTGGGCGTTTGGAGCAACAACAGCAGCCCCTCCAGGAGCGGTACTTATAGCCGACATCGAGGGAGGAATGGAAGACCGCCTTCTCCGTTGCTTGTAGGTTGGGGAGCCTTCAATGACGGAATACACATTGTTGGTACCATAGGCACGAGTGAATTGATTGCCCGCTAGGTTAGAAGGCGGAAGCTGGATCATGCCATTGAGTCCATTCACGCTCGCCAAATGGTCAGGGATGGCGGTGTAAAGCCCCGTCTCCTCATTAGCAATATATGCTGGTTCGGCACTAATCGCCAGAGCTTGCTGGGGAGGTGTGATGGGCTCAAAGGAGATTCCACGATTGCTATAGTCTTCATAGTGTGATGAAACAAACGAAGGGGCAGGGGAGTACTCTAGGCCATATGCAGGCATGGAGGCATGACGCTGATGAGCTTGCGCCACAGGGACTCCATTCTGATTGTATTGCACCCGGGTCATATCAGGCTCTCGTTTGATAACCTGTTGATTCATGACTGGACCCATATTCATCGCGCCATATGTAGCCATGGGGTCCATTCCATCCACTAAAGGGGCGACCGACTGAGGGAGCATCTGGGGAGGAGGCATAGAATCCATAGCACGCATGACGGGCGAGGTTGCTTGGGCTTGAGAGAAATTCACCTGTTGGGCGTTGAAAGAAGATGAGTTCACCTGCTGAGCCTTCGTCAACTGTTCATAGAGCGACTGAGACGAGTCGTACTGGAAGGAGAGCGCAGGCTCGCTCACAGCAACAGTGGTGGCTTCCTGTCCCATTTTCTCGCGCTTCAAGTCGCGTTCGAGTGCGTCTAGGAAGAGTCTGTCATGTGGAACGCTGTACCAGTAGAACACTTTTGTTTCTTCTGGGTACGGATGCAGTTGTTCTTATACAGGAAGTCGAGAAAGGGGCTTTTGGGCTCTTCAAGCGAGGCATCTGTACCAGACTTCAGGTTTCTCAAGTCTGAAAAGATGCCTTCCTCAAACTTCTTTGGGTTCTTTACGGGCCGGCCGAAGGCTTGGAACCTAAAGGATAGGCACCGTACGATATCGGTACCTGAAATGTGGAAGAGCGTGTTCCAAAGCACACAAGAAACATATTCGCCGGTGGGAAGAAGGAAGCGGCGAATATACTGATCGGGTTGCCAGTCAACAGGAGCAGATATGAGGAAATATTTCACTACAGTTGGTCAATTAGTACAGAGCCGGATAGGACAGGAAGGAACGAGTCTCACAATTATCCACTTGTTGAAGAGCGACCTGTGCATCATGTGGAAGCGCCTGCTGGGCCTCGGTGCTCAGCATGAAGGTTTCGGGTTTCTGGGGGCAGCCATCGCTGCATTCTGTGAGTACATCAGGGCGGTGTGTCAACGCGATGGCGAGATATCGAGCATACAACTCGCCAGACGGCAGCCGTCGAGAGAGGTTGCGCTCGCCGGTAACCGTTGGTTGATGTCTCTTGTAAGGGCGCGCGTGAAACTTCAGACAGTCGAGGGAAAATACGCAGCGGTGCGAGTCGGTTCTGTTAGGCGCGGCCTATACTTGACAAGCGTTGATAGGATTGCAAAGACGACAGTGAACCTCGAGTCCAGCCCGGGGAAAAGCGAAAATAAAACAATCAAAGTGCCGTGATGATCGATGCCAGTCCAACCTGATCCAAGCGAGAACGACAGCCTGCAGGCCGCAATGATGAGCGTTGGGGTTCAAAGGATCGCTGCTGACGGGATCCACGAGGCGAGAAACAATCGACGAATGGATTAAAGCAATTATCGAAACGAATATGTTATGGACAAAAGAAAAAGGCGACGTAGGGAATCCCGTGTGTAGTTGATCAATTACCACAGCCAGGTTCGTTGCAATCGAGGGTGATTAACAGTATGCGACGAACAATGTCTGAGATATTGATGGGATGAGAGACACGAGTGGTATGCCCCGGGCAGAGAGTGTGAGATGAGAAAAGAAACAACTAGGCTCCGATGAATGAAGCACAGCGCCAAAGGCCGGGGAGCAAAAAAGAAAAAGAAAAAGAAATGGAAGAGGGGAAAGGGAGGGGAGAAGCAGACTGGGGAAGGGGAGGTTTGAGACAGGAAAGAGGGATTTCAGGAGAGTTTGAGAATCGGCGGGAGACCTGGGGGTTTAATGATTTTCAGAGATGGAGAAGGGAAGGAAGGAGGCCAAGCTGAGTCGAGGGTGTGAGGTGGAGGATAAAAGACAATGGGGAAATAGAGAGGTGGGTAAAAGAGTTCTCCAGGTGGGGGTGAAGCAAGGGGCTTGGTGTGAGGCTATCAAGAGGGCGTTCGTGTAGTGAATAAAGGAAGCAAAACCCCTGAGGCAAACAAAAGTACAAGGTACTAGACAAAGGCTGGTGGAAACGAAGAAGGGAACATTTGAAGAGACACAAGATCAACATATTCTTTTCAGTGAGGTGCAATCTCACCACACCAACCTCCCAGAGAAGATCCATGGATGATTCCACGCCGCCCACTCTACGGGCCCGCATCCGGGTCTCGAAAGGCATACGATGGCCTGAAATCAGATGGAGCTATTATCTTGAGGTGGATATTCGAAGAAAGCAAGACCGCTCTCCACCCCACCCCGCGATTCGCCGAGAAGCGAAGTTCCGCCACACGGCCAGCAAATCGTGGTGAGCTTGCACCGCCAGGAGACATGTTTGCTCTTCGACCTTATTAATCAGGGCAAATTGTTCGAAGACAAAGACATCATTAGAGACTACAAGTACAATATTGATGTCTTCGTAAGCATGCCTCAGTATCATTTTCCTCAGCTTTTGGCTTCGCCGGTATTGTGTGGTCGATTTGGCACCGACGTCTGGTCAAGAGTGCAACCAGAGTTTCCGGCGAGCCGAGGGAAGAGTATTATTATTGGGGATCACATCCTTTGAAGCACACTTTTACAATCAAGGGAAGTAGCCTCGCTGCCGCCATTAACAAGTACAAAAATCTCCTACTTGTTGGTGAGTGCGATCAGACAACTGCAGCTCGATGCAGGCTGATGGCTTAATCACCCATCGTATCCATCGAGTACCGAGGTATACATCGATCCATGGATGCATCCATCCAGTATTATTCATTGAACACCAAGCAGTGTTTCTCACGACTTACAAATAATCAAGGAATCCCACAATAATCAACATGGTCAGGTCAAATGCTACCAAAGGGGGACCGTGCGAGGACCGTGCGAGGGGCCGGTGCTCGCAATGAAGGCTCAGTGCTCCTCTTCAACCCAGCACAGGCCACGAGAATTCTGACCGTCATCCACCCCAAGCCGCCATGCTTGTTCTTTTGGAATCCTTCCAGGTGGCAGAACAAGAGCGTGTGGGGCCAAGACGAGTTTCCCAGGGAAGGGAGTAATAATCATAATAATACTTCGTACAAAAGTATCCTCATTAGCCAAGGTACCATATCCTTGGCTCGAGTTGCAAGACGTTGACGAGATGTTGCAAGCGGCTTCAATCATAACAAACCCCGAAGTTCATTTATTACATATATGTCCTCCCCTCTACTAACTCTCTACCGATTCTCTACCGACCGACCCTCTATTACTAGAGACACATTTGTTCTTCTTGCCTGTGAAGAGAAGGAAATCAACCATTCTTAATACAGTTCAAGATGGCCGACATTGAAGCTGTTGCAGCCGAGTGTAACTCTACCTTTTTCTCATCTTATTTCGTCGTGTTTCCCACCTAAAGTCGTACTGAACAGGCCCCTTACGAGATCCCCAGCGAGAATCAATCAGTTCAACAATCATTCAACACTGCTCTCTTCAACAAAAGCGCAATTGCAAAAGGCCGCAGGAGGCAAACTCGTACTGATTACCGCTTCTCCTTCCACTCCAGGCACAACCCCAGAAACGAGAATTTAGTGCGCCTGCCAAGCTGTTATTGATCGCGTCACATTCGACAGAGGTGATGGACATTGTCTCTCAAGAGGTCATCGATACTTCATCGGCGCTGTTGCGGCTCGAGCCTGTCCGTGTCACGCATAATCGAAATTACTTTTCGTGCCCGGACTCGACGCACGACTAGGGAGTTTTCAATCATCTTACGACCTATTAGCTGGGACCTCCTATCCCCACGAGCCTTGAACCGCCTAAGACGGGCATTCTTCTCGGCTCAAGCTTTTGGGCTCTTTTCTTTAAGCGCCAGGAACCGGCAATGGAGGCCATCGTCTGCCGATCACCCCACCCTCACCAGCGAGGTCCACGACACAAGCGCATGAGAGCGTGTCGGCAAGAAGGTTTTATCTTTCTGTGTCCCTCCGAAAACTCAAGAACGTTCAAGGACACTGTCTTTTTTTTTTTATCCCAGCCCACTAATTCCACTAGTGAATGATATGTAAAGCGGCTTGCCAGCTGAGAGGCGAAGCCCGCCAACTCTTTCTCCTCTCCTTTGAAATATTCGGGCTTTTTGTGGGCTTCAATGGAACAGCCTATTCTTGCCCAACCTTGAGGGATGGAGGCTGGTCGCATGACAACAGATGGATCCATGGATAGATAGGTCCACTCCCTCTCTTCGGGCACACTTCGCTCTCGCAGCCATCACCGCCAAAATCGCCCTGATGCAGCCACTAATCCCTGAAATTTTGAAACGCCCCTGGCACATTGCTTCAGAATAGCGCTAAGGGCTCAGGCTTCAGATGTACCTTGGTACCTCTAGCTCGTGGCCACACCAGGGAGCATTTGTAAGAAAGCTGCGGTTCCTCTCCTCCCCCCTTTTTGCCAACCCCCTTCGTCCTCACTTACTACTCTCTTTTCCTTCTGCATCTCCTTACAAGCATGATCGCCGTGATCTTTGGCTTCGCTCATGAAGTTGGGTAAAGAATTTACAGTGCCATCCGTAAATTAGATGTACCCTTGGACGCTTTCTGGCTACAAACTCTGGTTGAGGAAAAGCAGTGCTTGGGGAATTTCGCGTCGTCCCTCCTCTCAAGCAGATATTCCCCAGTCATCGCGCCGCCAGACTTAACATGACCGACAAGTATTAAGTATGCCGGCACAACTAACGAGACGCTCTCAGTACGCTCAATAAATCCAGGGCAAAAACTTGAGTATTACCCTCACTCTTGCCAAACCCCCTCGTCCCAAAAAGGCGTTGCCACCAAATGCTGAGAGCTCCTTGTCAATCCCTCGAAGAAACGAAGTATTTTTGGGCACAAGTCACATTTAGCGCGGGAGCCGTCCAAAGCAATATGCAGCCTCCCAAAAGGGGATGCTGATTTTATGCCCGAGCCAACCTATCAACGCTAGACGACGAGGAAACGGGACGAAAACGAATCCTTGTGGCAAGCAGCCAAAGCTTCCCACCCTCTCATTCACTCTCGGCCATGCTTGAGCTAGAGAAGAGGGGCGTGGCTCACAGTGCATGTTTGATCTTCCTTCAGCATTTCTGAAACTTGGTCATCGTTGTGGGGAAGAAATACCAAGTCACGTTCCACACACGGGAAGTCCACCTCGACCAGAGATTCTACTTAGTACAAGCACGTCGGGAGACACCATCACAATGCAGCATTCCCCCTCTCACTCAGATAAACACGCTTTCACAAAATACAAAGAGAGCGTCTATCCCATCGCGCCCTAGAAATATCGCTAAGGGGCTGGAGGTTATCAGTCATATTATCTCATGTCCACTTTGACGCCCTAAGTCCGAATGATATCTGAATAGAACTCGGCATCGTAGCATCAGCGTATGCTATCTCTCAAGAACTCGCACGGGTCTCCAAAGAAACAAAGAGCTTAAAGCGAAACAAAGAAACGAATCGAGGAGCGTGGGTAACGGACCACATCCTTGCCCATCCAGGCATCCCGGTATCTTGATGGCCAGCCAATGCTTTACCGAGCAACGTCCGAATTTGTGGCGTCGTTTCTCCCCTTTGGAGAAAAGTGGGAGGTCCATGGAGCCTGTATCCATGGGATGGGCGCTCCAACCTCTGAAAATCACTGGGTCGGGTTTCAGATTGAGTGTTGTCCAAAATTAGCCTAAGCGTCCACATTCCCTTTTCATCCAATTAGAGCCCTGAAGAGCTTGAGCTTGGAGTGGGTTGTCCTGCGGTGAACCACGCTGCCATGGCATCTTTTCCATTGGTCCTTCGCAAGAACTTGTCCCGCCTCGCCTTGACCCGATGAACCTCCATTTGGTGCAGACAACAGCCCCTACTTCGCCCGTGCTCTCGGCGGCTCGCGGAGGCATGGTGCATCGTGTTCCCGCTCGAAAGAGTGGAGCAAACGGTAATCCGGAGCGGGGCGAGAGGGGCAAAAGTGAGGTGAAGGCTGGGAAACATGGAGCCTTGATAACCTTCCAGCCGCCGGCCTCTCCGCCATCCATGTGTCCTTCGAAGCAAGCTTTGAATGCTCACTCGGTGGCGGCACAAGTCTCGCTTTTCGCCACCTCTGAAGACCCACTAGTCGCGTCAACGGCTCATCTTGAGGTTCAACTATCATAGCCAAAAAGAATAAATTGGTCCCCTAAAATGTTCAAACCTTCGATCTCTGCCGTAACCTACTTTGAACTTTGCCATCTCGCCTCGCTCAATCTACCTGCCATCTTCATCCGCATGGCGCCCATCACATACCCTGCCCAAATCACCTCCTTGACAGAACATAGGCTGTCCTACCTGGTCCGGCTCGCCAAGCGTGATTCTATCGATCGCCACCTTGAGTCGAACGGGAGGGCTGGTAGGGAGCGAAAGACTCGACAATTGAACCAACCTAAGCCGACGAGACCATTGAGCATTGAGTAACGATCGGCTGCACATTTGCCTGAGTGGCGGGAAGGAGGAAGGGGGGTTCCTATCCATTGAGAATGTCGTCAACAGGCCAAAGGCACCGCACCAAGGGACTCAGAATGATCGCGACATGGGTTAGCGGTGAGATTTCCCGCAGGATACGAAACTCGGAACCCAAGATCATCTGAAACAGGTACGGACGGGGAGAGAGGTCCCACATCTTTCCAGAATTGGCTAACGGAATTTTCCACCACAACTGCGGATCTCCCCTCGACGTGTTTAGACAACACCTCATAAAGGTGTCCTTGAGAAGAGCTAGAAAGTCCTCCTCTCGAGGAGTGGAAAAAGAAGGTGGCTGTGTCGAGTCCGGGTAACAAGTTGATTATCACAGGGGCGCTTTTGCACTTTGCTGCTTGCTTACAAGCGAGTCCCATTCTTGGACGGCTCGGCTGATAAGGCGGTTAAACAGTCGAGGTCCGGTAAGCATGGGCTACATGCCGTGGGACAAAGATCCATCAGGTTGCAAAACCGGCGTACAGAGCCAGGGCCGCAGCTCCCATGATTGAGTGTCCGCAGACCTGGGGACGGGAGTGTTAAAGATAAGCAACCCGCTATGATCGACCCAGCAATTCCCGGGCCGCAGGAAGTGTCGCCCAAGGATCACACCAAAGTCCACAACCAGCGTGATCTTGGTTGTAACAGTGACGCCAGAGGCCTCGGTGTTGGCCCGATCTACTGTTCGGCCAGATCCCGAGGGCCAGATCGTAACTTCTCCGCTCCAAGGATGAGCACTTTCTGAAGGACACCAGTCCAGCTGGTTCTGAGGGATAGCGATGTGTTGAAGACCGCGGAATGTCGATGTCTACAGTGTCTACCTTGCGATTTCATAAACAAGACACCAACTCTGAGTAATTAGCAACCGTCCCCTTTTCAAGATGCAAGGTTTTCGGGATGGCAAGCCTTAACTCTTTGGTAGTCCCTCAGCCTTTTAGCCTCAGGGCAGTCACTTCTAGATATTATTTCTAGATCGTGGCTCTCCCAGGCTCTCATGACAGTTCAAAGTGCCGACATCCCTGGGGCAGGAGGACCCAAAGACTCACGCGCTTCGATATTTTGGCCGAAGTTCTCCATCCCTTCCACACCTCAATCAGGCGTTTCTTCCAGGCTTTTGAGCGAATAAGAATCTGGGTGTAAAATCGCTTAACCCCTCATTTGATATGCTGCCGGAAGTTGCCAATATAAATGAAGTTTCCACAAAAAGAGAAGAAAAAGAAACCTCTATCAAATCCCATCATCCTTCTCGGTATCTGCCATAGAGAGGTTTGGCGGTTAAAAGTCAACGTGAGGGCCTTGGTTATTTGCGTTTCCCTTCTCGTGATGCGCCTGTCTAGCGTTTTAAGGCCGTAGGTTGTAGGCACTCTACAAGGTTAACCAAGTGCCTACCAGAAGAAAAAGCTATAACATCCAGAGATGTACTCGAGAGAACTGAGTTCGTCTACCATATCCTCACCCGGTTCCAGCTCGCTCCTCGGCTGCCTGAGGATATCAAAGTCGCATTAGATAACAACGTATAGTCATCATCTATATCTGGGAGAGTCCAAACTTTTCTTTACATACCGCCGCCTCTTAGGATTGATAAACCCGCCCATGCACCGGTTGGTGACCTAGCTTTGTTACGGTGTCGCATTATCAATGCTGGTTGAGGCCCTACCAATAACTGCTACCAGGTAGAGTTGTAGTGCCAGTGCTGATCGATGACTGTCGTGTCTTCAGAGGCATTGGGCTTCCCCCACCCTCGATCGATATCTTCCCGAGGAGGATAGTAATTCAAGCCGTGAGTCCCTATACCCAAGGAAGAAAGCTGTAATTAGCACAGGCTTCGAGCGCGACCTCATGTCTCTTTCGACGGATCGTGACGATTTGGAGAAGGCGAGTGTGCAAGTAGGTACGGTTCAACAGGAAAGTAAATACCAAGCGATAGGATCTCCATCTAGGATATAGAAGTAGAAATGCTGCTAGGATGGGATGTAACCACGTCAATTACTAGAGATGATGCAGCAAATGCTGATTCCGTCAAGCTTGATTCCAGCCACCGTGACAGGCTCCCAATTTGAAAGTCAGTGGGCACTCGGTGGATTTGGTCAACGGCGAAAGGCGGAATGGCGTTAAGACACGGCTTAACCCTCCGATTGGCCTGTGTAAGCTCGTATCAACGTGCCTTGGGACAGTAGGCGACTCACATGTAATTTGGCATGTGATAGCTAGACGAAGCTAGTCGCCAGAGACAGCTTCAAAGCCGCTGAATACCGACTATTAATTGTCAAGATAAGGTGGAGTCTGGTCTCTAAGCATGCTGCCGACAGGGGTAACTGGTATTTAGCAATATTGGGCGAGTGCGGAATATATCATAGAGATGGAACTAATAAAGGGTAGCTGGTGTTAAGCATGAGAACCTAAGTGGTGAGAAAGGACGGGACCCTGGAAGCTTCCTAGAAAGGTAGCAATCCTAATATAATGATGGAGACACCCAGTGATATGGCCATCATCAAAGCCAGATTTACTCTTACTCTCTAAAGGTGTGATTACATCAATGGCAGCTGGATTGATTATTACCAAGTACAGGGCGGGTTTTGACTGATCTATTCGTTAGCTCTATTGATTCAATGTCATATTTATGAGACATCCGGCCCTGGGCCGATACCCGAGGATGCGAGTTCTCTGGTTTTGCTCCCGCACGGTTCTCAGTTACAAAGCTACGAGGGAAAACAGTAAAGAATGCCATTGGGGCAACCGAAGAATATCGTGACGGCGCCCGTTTTCCATTGCATGAAAAATATGATAAGAAAAGGTGTCAATTCAGTGCCCTTATGGGTTCATAATCGAGCGAGACGGAAGAGTGAGCGATCCCTGATCGAAAATCTTTCAAGGTGGTATGTTGCGTTGGGCTGAATGACCCGGTTGGGAACTGTTAACCTTCGCGCGAGGTCAGCGACTGAGGCTGCATTTGGACTTTCACATGTCAAAATACATTAATATTGTAAATAAACGAGAGCGGAAAAAAAGCTGCAGTTTTCGCAGCGAGTCTACCCAGTCATTGACCCATCACATCCACTTCCACACAAGCTTGATCCCCGCCCCCACCACAAAACCCCATGCTATTCGCTCCCTCGTCGGTTGAAATACGTCTCGTCCTCCCACATTTCCACGTGCTGCGACACACCATGGACGAATAAGAAGCTTTCGAGGCCAAAGAAAGCATGTGCTTCCCTTATCGCGAAGGCACCATCATGCCAGTGCCCCTCCTTTTCTTAGCTTGCGGTACCATGTTGTGGGAGGTGCCCATAGAAAGTACACCTCTCCTGATGGAGTGAAGGTGCCTCTATGCCTATGCGTAGGTTAGTTCCAAGAAGTCTCCTTGTAGACTTCACAGTCCCGCGCAGCCAAACACTAGTGCTACCCGGAGTCTCTCATACCTCCCGGAAACCCGATGTCGCCCGGTTTTTTTTTTTCCATTATCTTGCCCGGAGTAGCTGGCTGAGTCTTTCGGGACTAAAAACTAACGTACAAAAGCTCAGCCTAGTCCGCCCTCCTGTTCAATGGGCACTCTCACTCCCTCTCGACCTGCAAACAGTGACTTCAATATCTTAGAGATATCTTTAGCTCCCCGCGACTCTCACCAACAACCGCAGAACGCGATCAACTTTCTTTTCAGTTCTCTATCTTTCGAAAGAGTTGTCGTCTCTAGTTCTCCCGCCTTTCTCCTTTCCGCTCCATGACCATGGCCCAAGTAAACGGGGATACCGCTCCCCAGCCCGCCACCTCATTATTTGTTGAGGTATGGTGCCCCGTGTCTTTCGCTCGTCACTAACGTGCTATCTCCACCTCCGCCTCACCCCTTTTATATCATCTCTTCCCCTTTCCCGCACCTAATCATAAAGAGTTGAGCTAACGCGAGAGCCCCCAGCATCTCCTCACCTACCCGGTTGTCAAGGACGGAGTTACTGTCTTCCAGAACAACCAGTTGGGCCGGAAATCAATTCAAATTAGCGATACCGCTTACAGGAACCTTGCCGGACCTGTCCTCCCCTACCTCCACAAACCCTACGGATATGTTTGGCCTTATCTCGAAAAGGCCGATCATCTCGGGGACCAGACTCTGTCCAAGGTCGATTTGCGATTTCCCGCCATTAAAAAGCCGACAGATGAACTCTACGCGGATGCTAAGAGCCTGGTGCTACTTCCTTACAGCAAGGGCATGGAGGGCAAGGATCATGTTTTGGGAATATACTCGGCGGAGTGCAAGAAAGTTGGTGGGGAGAGCTTGGTGGCGTACAGCAAGGCGCTTGTGAGCACGGTTTTCACTATCAGTGGGGAGACAATCCACTGGGTTGGCAACCTCCTTGGGGCCAAACGAGAGGAAATCAAGGATTTTATAAACGAGAAGGCCAACAACTAGCAACATTGAAGCCTCCAACGGCTTAGGCTACCGCCCGCCCTCGGTCGGAACCTCATGTGGGTATTAGCTCTCTATGTGGTTTGCCTAGCTGGTGTGGCGTATGGTCTCAGCTAACAAGCTCTGCACAGCTCCTACAGAGAGAGCGACGGCAAGCATCCAGATCCAAGGATCCATTCGATCCATTGATGGATCTTAGTAGGGTATATTGCCCCCATTTATCATTTGCAGCTTTTACACCGTTTCTACCTCGGTATTTTTACTGCGTTTTCTTTCATTAAAATATCTATTCCTTTTTCTTCTTTTTCTTCTCTTTCTTCTTGGGGAGGAGGGGTTTCCTAGCCCTATATCATACCACGTCGTCGCACAGTTGGGTAGTCTTTTCTTCATTCCCTTCTTGAGAACAGAATCTAGGGTATATAATTGCCAGCTGGTTAGAGTTGGCCAACAATAACTTCATAGAGTCTATTCAACAGAAGCTATAACATCATCCCCTCCTTTGTACGCATTTACCGAGGGATCGCACAAGGGCAATGGATTAATTAGCTATGACACAATTCTTTTAAAGCAGCCTCGCTCCCTTAGCTACTAAGATATTTTTATACCCTTTCTTATTTTCTAGAGTAACTTTTGACCTAGGGGAAAAAAAAAAAGTCTTTAGTTATATCTCCACTTGTGGCGATGCTTCAAATCCATTTGATATTATCAGTGTTAGTTCTCACTTCAATACAAATGCTAACCTACCAGTTACGAAAATACAATAATAGTAGGTCAGCAATTACATAGAAGTCTACCGAGGTAGCTGCTATTAGTTTGTTCGCTGATGTGATGGTGACTAATGCTGAAGGAGATCAGCCATTGAGGTTTTCCCCGCTCCCACTCCGCCCGTTTAAGGAAGGACCAGAGGTTTCTAATCCTAAAGCAGGCGCTGAGATTATAACTACAAATATAGATAGGATGATAGTATAATCGTTTTCAGGTTCGATCTAGGACTAAAATTCCAGTAGAAGCTTCTCGTTCACATCCTCCTCTTACATCATACTACATAATGAGCCTTTGGTGACTAGAAGAACATCCCTTAAGGTGGCCTCGCTCATCCTTCCATTAAGCTGAGCATCTACAACACCTTTTATCCTATATAAGAGCGTATCGACCCCCAATTCGATGAAGAGCTTTTCGGTCCTGATCGCAATTATAATCGCCATATTCTCTTTATCTCTTGGGCCGATTCGGGTATTTTCGGCCTTCCGCAATTTTGTCGAGCCGCTCTCAGACACCTTGAGCAGGTCTTGCACTGCACAATCCCACGCTAACATCATCGATACCATAAGCCGGCACTGGCACAGGCTCTTTATTGATAAGGAAGAACCAGACTCCAGAGATCAAGAAGAAGTGGCTATGTCTACCTCCCGTGCGATACGCAAGATCTTCCTAGCCGTGGAACAGGCCGAAGGTGCTGGTGCAAGAGTGCGTCGCTCTATTGGCACTCCCCAGCTCCGCAATTTCTCGCCATTCCTTATGCTCGACCACTTCTCCATTAAACCTGGCGCTGGATTTCCAGATCAGTAAGTACTCTCAATTTCCTCCTTTGCGGGGCGTCTCGAGGGGATCGATGTTCATCGGTAAGGTGCAACAAGGACTAACATATACACTTCTCCCACTTAAGTCCGCACCGGGGACAAGAAACCATAACCTACCTTCTTCAAGGTGGAGTTGATCATGAGGATTTTGCCGGAAATTCCGGTACTATCGGCCCAGGTGACTTGCAGTTTATGACCGCGGGTCGAGGTATCATGCATGCCGAAATGCCCCGGCAGAACGTGGATGGCTCCGCCAACGTAGGTCTACAGCTCTGGGTTGACCTTCCTTCAGAGCTCAAGCTGTGCGAGCCGCGGTACCGTGATCTCCGCGCCTCCGAGATTCCCGAAGTAACCGTTGACGACGACAAAGTCACAATCAAAATTATCTCAGGGCAGAGCCATGGCGTCGACTCCGTCAAGGACCTCGCATATACACCTGTGTGGATTTTGGATGTGAGGGTGAAGCCAGGTGGCAAGGTCACTCAACCCTTACCCGAGGGGTGGAATGCATTTGCGTACATGCTTGAAGGTGGCGCTTGGTTTGGAGAGGAGACGTCAAAGAGCACGTAAAGCAGTATCACAATATCGTTTTTGAGCCAGAAGGCCAGACGATTAAGGCTGAGGTGGAACCCTCCGCGGAAGGGGATGCTAGATTTGGTATGTTTTCACTCCCATGACCTACCGGCAAGGGCCACTATCTTCTAGGCTTGCCACTAACAACAGAATTTTGTTTTCTACTAGTCCTTGTTGCCGGGACTCCGTTAGACCAACCGGTTGTTCAGTACGGGCCGTTTGTCCTTAACTCAAAGGATGAGGTTTACAAAGCCATCATGGACTTTCAAGGATTCGAAAACGGATTCGAGAGAGGCCGAGATTGGAAGAGCGAGATCGGTAAATCGATGAGACACTAGTCTCATCCAATCCTTGTGAACCTGACAATTTAGGAAATGGAGTTACTACGGGGACGAACGCGTTGCCTTCGCAAAATAAAAAGTCAAGAAAGTAGCGCTCGTAGCAAGAGCTGAAGATAGCCTTTCATGGGCGGAGTGATTGTCAAGGGATGGTTTTTAAAGGGATGAGAGAAAGAGAGAGAGAGAGAGAAAGGTTTGGACAACTTCAGAAGTGTTAGTGAGAGGGTTATGGTGTGGGTATGTTGTTTTGGAATTTCTCGGAAGCTTGCGGTCACCTAGCTAGCTGCCTAGTGATCAATACATCCACCGTGTATTATTCAGTGTAAGCGGATCCGGCAGTACCTCAAGGTGCGGCTGATCGTCCCCGCGTCAACCCAGTCTTTATACGGCAATAGATGAAGAACATCAAATTCCCATCATTATGGTGGTACATCGACGAGACGATTTGTTTCTCGGTTGACAAAAGTGAGGCAATACAGCATAGCAGATTACAAGTATCTGGCGACAACAGTCCGGACACCTTTAGCTCTGGGCCAGGTGAAGTCTACATATAAGGTTCTGCGCGTAATACCAGGTAAGCAAAGCGAGCCGGAACCCGTATGTAGACAATTGCTCGAGGAGTTAAAATGGTGAGAGGCTGGGATGGTAGGAAGCATGAGGTGTGGGACAAGCGGCAGAAGAACGGCTTGGGCCCCAAAGCACCTTACGTCATTTAGCGCGAAGTGAAGCGTGATATACCTCGGTAGGTATAGATCCATCAAGAATCCATTTATTTCGGAAAATGATTCCCTGATTGACACCTGAGCGGCGGCTGCATGGTCAAAAACCTTTGATGAATTGTACTAAAACCGCCGCACCTCTTGCAGCATAGCAAGCAGTGTTGCCAAGAGAATGCCTGTTAAATGCTTTCCTTCCTGCCTCGACCTATCGGCGCATTAGGTTTTGATGTTCTGATGCGAGCATAGCCGTGTCATTTCACGGTACCGTCATAGAATTTTTTTAGGCGTTTGAGTATCAGCGGCTAGCGCGCGCCACCATCTTTTTGCATGAAGGATAAATCCTGTCTCTTGAGAGTGGTTGGAATGGGGACCAGATAGGAAATTCTTGGAGTTGTTGGTTTGCTCATGCACTCGTTGGCGGCCTCTTCCTGCCCTTTGATGTCAAAAGTGTGATATTTAAGGCCGCCTCGTCCCTCGAAGTGGTCCATGTGCTTCAATGGGCTGCGTGGCATCCCACTAATACACTACATTATGGATATATTGCCGCGAGACTCCAGCCTCCAGCCGAGGCTCTGCATTCACTTGGCGCCACCCAACTCGACCGCTTGGAAGGTTCCTCCCCGCCAAGTGGGGCAGTTGCCGACCTCCGTGGCAGGCTACGGAGGAGTAGATGGTTTATGCTAAGAAGACCGTTGGTAGCTGGCGGGAAGTTATAGCTACGGCCCTGTGACCTCATCTTTATCATAGCTAAACAGCTCTCATTGATGACATAGTCTGAAGAAAGGCACCATGCACCTTATAGTCTCGTACCTCACCTGGACGGGCCAAGCCGATCGCTCATCAGCGCCCCATCGACCAACTGGACACTGAGTGTGGAGAAGAAAACACAAGTTAGGGGATACTATGCCACGCGCGAGTATAGTCAAGGTGCCCCTTGCCTCTCTTTCGTAGAGCCACTGCCTTGATGGCCGTCCTTCTGTCTTTCCTTTTTTTTTTTCTTTTCTTTTGGGACCTTGATTATCATGTCTCATCTCCACCTTGGATACAGGCCAGCGCAGAAGTCAATCATTTTTGAGTCTTGACCAGTCCTTTGAGTCTTGACCAGTCCTTTGAGTCTTGACCAGTCCTTGCTAGGATTCCTACTCCCACTTGTTCCGCAATACGGCCCAGCTGGCCGTTGTAATGCTTAGAGCTAGCGACGTCAACGCACTTCAGCTTGTTGACACCCGGCAACTGTGGTACTCACCCAAAACTAGTTCTTATTCCTGATCCATCTATGACATCAAGTAGTTTATCCCTTCTTTTGCCCCCTTCCGGCCTTCCAACGCTTGGCCTTACGCTTGTTTTGTGGCAGCTACAGCTACAACCCAGATGGAGAGCCTGTATCGATTCCTAGGTAGTACCCTCCCTTGGGATTTGATAGCTACTCTCCTAGTATGACGACCTTTTGAATCTCACCACTTCGGTTGTCTTTAAATTCCCACGTTCTCCCCTTCCTTTCTTCTTCAATTCCTCCACTATGCTCACTCTCATCACCATCAACCATTCTCCAAACTTCGTCACAACCTTATCTGATTGCCCCGACTCTACCTGAGCGCAAGTAGTAGACTCTCTTGCCCCATCGCTACCGTACTTGTAGGTCCGCACCTGCCTTACTGTATTCCTAAGCTCGACTACTCTCTCTTCGCCTTGAGCGCCGACTACTCTCTCTTCGCCTTGAGCGCCAACATTCTTACATGCTAACGATGTCGCTTTCTCCTAGCTATTCACCAATTGTCACCATGAAGAGTGCTATTTCTTTCATTCTAGCAGCAGGTGCTGTCGGTATTGGCGCACAGGATATAGCTGGCGCTTCCAGTCTTCCTGCCTGCGGTGTACGTTGGCCCACATCTTCCATTGCCCCTATAGTACTGGATACTAACAACCTCTTCAGCAAGTGTGCATTAGCAACATGTTGGCCCAGGCAGAACAGTTTAACTGCCAAGCTACTGATATTCCTTGTCTCTGCAGATCTGAAGACTTCATTTACGGTATTCGCGATTGCTCTCTTGAGTCGTGTGCGAGTGACGCCGAGGAAGTCATCCAGTACGGCGTTGGCTTTTGTCGTGGTGCGTAAACCACCCCGTGACCTCCATCCTTCCGTGTCCCGGTTCTTACAGAGCAGCAGGCCAAGGTGTAGATATCGATGTCGGAGGCTCCACATCCGGAACAGGCGAGGGAGGTGGTAGCGGATCCGGCGAGGGTGGTGGTAGCGGATCTGGCGAGGGCAGTGGTAGCGGATCCGGCGAGGGTGGTGGTAGCGGATCCGGTGAGGGTGGCGGTAGCGGATCTGGCGAGGGTGGTGGTAGCGGATCCGGCGAGGGCAGTGGTAGCGGATCCGGCGAGGGTGGTGGTAGCGGATCCGGCGAAGCTGGCAGCGGGTCCGGTGCTGGCAATTCTGGTGGCGCTCAGGTAAGACATCATCCGTGAAAGCGAAAGGGTACTCTCTAACTCAACTTAGGGTGGCTCTGGGGACAACACTGCCCCTCCGGATACGTCCACCGGCGAGCCGACTGGGGATTCTGGCGGTGCTGCCGGCGCTGGCGGCGCAGCTGAGGGCACGGCAACTGCCACAGCCACCGTGACAAATGGCGATAGCAGCGGCGGAGCCAACGGAGCAGGAAACTCCGGTGACGCGACCGCAGTTGCTACTGCGACTGCTACTGCTACTGAGACTGGTGAAGGCGGCGGGGAAAGCACCAGCAATGGTGGTGGGGAAAGTTCAGGCGCGGTAAGTTTTATCAATTTATGAACGGGAGATCATTCAACTAAAATTTCGGCCAAGTTACAGAAAACTCCGTCCCATGTGAGCCTGTTGGTTGCAGCGGGTATTCTGGCACTCTTCATTTAGATCACCAGTTCTGGGGAAGCAGAACAGGAAATTATTTGTCACAAATATTTGTTTCTTTGGGGGACGCCATCACGCTTCACTGCAAGGCTGGTCGGGCACTGCCTGTATCTACAATAGCTTTTAACTGGGACCAAGTTCTCAATGATTTTAGAGCTGAATATAATAGGGCTGCTCGCCTGTTCAAAGGACATCACCTGAATTCTCGTTGTTGACCGGCCCTTGAAGAAGCGAAGCTGATTCCCACTGTGTTTCTATAAATACAACCGATGCATCCTTACACTTGCTGCAATCCCACCTCGTCTAGCCACTGCACATGACACAAGCCTCGGGATTCTCGATGCTGCCTATAATAAGAGCAGGCATTGTCAGCAGATTATTCTGTGGGCGATACTCGAGCCAACTTACACGCAATGACTGCCTCTGAGTAAATATCCATTTCGCGCTCTTTGCTATCCTCATCGAGGTCTTCATCTTGAGGGTCCGTTTTCCCATTGAGGTTAGGGAGCTCTTCCGAAGGCATAGCCCCGTTGGGCTCTGTCGCTAGATTCTTGGGACTACCTCCCTCAGCAGCGTCTGCCTTAACTAGAGGTACTTGGCGTTTAAGTTCCGATTGCGCAGCTGTTGGAGACTCAGTTACGCTCTGTCCCGGGGCGTCATCGGAGTTCCTAGCGGATTCATTCCTTGTACCAGGAACGGAGCGCCTGGCAGTTGGGTTGGATGAGGAATAGCCACCAGAGGGTGGAGCACGCTTCTTCAACTGAGATCGATCTTTGGCCACATTAGGATCCGCGACCCGAAGCGCCTCTTGATCAACGGTAAATTGAATGGGGGCGGCGGCGGCTTGGGTTCGTAAGTAGTACATCCCAGTTTTCAGACCGAGTTTCCACCCAGTGAAGTGCATGCTTGTGATTTTGCCCATGGAGGGTTCCCGCATATGGATGTTGAGTGACTGTGACTGATCGATGAAGGCGCCTCGATCAGCCGCCATCTGGACTACGGTACGTTGTGAGATTTCCCACACCGTTTTATACAAAGCCTTGATATCATCGGGAATACTTGGTATGTTTTGAATGGAACCGCCCTCAGCTATGATGCGATTCTTCATAGCGTCGGACCAAAGGCCAAGGTCGACCAGATCTCGGAGCAGCCAAGGATTGACGACCTGGAACTCGCCTGCCAAAACACGCCTTTGATAAATGTTCGATGTGTATGGCTCGAAACACTCATTGTTTCCGAGAATTTGAGACGTGCTTGCGGTTGGCATGGGTGCGAGAAGGAGGCTATTTCTGACGCCATGCTGCTTGATCTGTTCCTTAAGAGCCTCCCAATTCCACAAGTCAGAAGGTTTGACGTTCCACATATCGTACTGGAGGATTCCTTGAGAGACAGGGGACCCTTTGTATGTAGAATAGGTACCCTGCTCTTTGGCTAGTTCCATTGATGCCTCTAGGGCAGCATGATATATCGTCTCAAATATTTGTATGTTTAGCTGGCGAGCTTCCGGCGACTCGAAAGGCATACGGAGCGCAAGAAAAGCGTCGGCCAAGCCTTGAACACCAACGCCTATGGGTCGGTGTCGCATGTTGCTATTACGCGCCTCTTGGACTGGGTAGTAGTTGACATCAATGATTTTGTTAAGGTTCCGAACCACCACCTTTGTTACGTCGTGAAGCTTCTCAAAGTCGTACACACCCTTGCCGTAGTCGACATAAGATGGCAGAGCTAATGAGGCCAAGTTACAGACTGCAACTTCATCTGGTGCTGAGTATTCGATGATTTCGGTGCACAGATTGGAACTGCGAATGGTACCGAGGTTCTTCTGGTTGCTCTTGCGGTTGCAGTGATCCTTGTATAGCATAAATGGGTTTCCGGTCTCTGTTTGTGCCTCCAGGATAGCGTACCAGAGCTTTTGGGCTTTGATAGTTTTGCGACCGCGCCCTTCTTTTTCGTAACGCTCATATAAGATTTCAAACTCCTCACCATAGCAATCTGCAAGGCCAGGACATTCATTAGGACACATAAGCGTCCATTCCCCGTTCTTTTCAACCCGCTTCATAAAAGATCCGGAATCCAAAGGGCGAGGAATAGATCTCGAGCTCGAATCTCCTCTTTGCCGTGGTTCTTTCGCAGATCTAGAAACTCAAAGACATCTGCATGCCATGGCTCGAGATAGATGGCAAATGCGCCTGGTCGTTTGTTTCCGCCTTGATCGACGTATCGGGCCGTATTGTTGAAGACACGGAGCATAGGGATGACACCGTTGGATGTTCCATTAGTCCCAGCGATATAAGAGCCGGTTGCCCGTATACGGTGGATATTCAAGCCGATTCCGCCAGCCATTTTTGAAATCATAGCGCAGGTCTTGAGGGTATCATAAATTCCCTCAATGCTATCATCTTTCATATCAACAAGGAAGCAAGACGATAGCTGAGCCTGGGGCGTACCGGCATTAAACAGAGTTGGGGAGGCATGCGTAAAGAATTTGGCAGACATGAGATTGTACGTCTCGATAACGCGCTCGACATTGTCGCCCCAAATTCCAACGGAAACGCGCATAATCATGTGTTGTGGCCGTTCGACAATCTGTCCATCAAGCTTAAGGAGATAGGAGCGCTCCAGTGTTTTGAAGCCAAAATATTGATAATTGAAGTCTCGGTCGTACACGATAGCCGAGTCGAGTTCCTCCTTGTGGCGCATCACGCACTCGTATGTTTCTTTGGCAATCATCGGAGATGGGGTACCATTCTTCGGGTTCACATAATGATAGAGATCAGAAACTACCGATGACCATTGTTTTTTGTTTGTTTATGGAGGTTAGACACCGCAATACGAGCGGCGAGGATCGCATAGTCGGGATGGGTGACAGTCATGTAAGCCGCGGTTTCAGCAGCCTGGGGGCCCAACTGTTAAAATCATGTGCCTTGGTTGGGATGTGCCAGCCACTTACGAGGTCGTCTAGCTGAACAGTAGTGACACCACCATAAACACCCGAAATAACCTTCTGGGTGATGGCTACTGGATCAATGTGATCTGTATCTAAGCCGTAACACAAACGCGATACTCGCGCAGTGATCTTGTCGAATTGCACGCGCTCCTGGCGGCCATCTACATAGTTGTCAGTGTGCGTTTGATGGAAAGTAAAATTAATTCGCTGATACTGACCACGCTTCCTGACGAACATGCTGGTTGCAACGTGGCGGACACGTCTAATCTGAAGTGGCGATCTTCGGTAGTTAAGAGGATGGGATAGATCTACGTCGAATTTCAAGATTTGATGGTTTGATACAGAGACAGATAGGGGAAGGGCAGAGACGTTGAATAATGCATGTATGACAAGATGGAGAGAGGGTCGTTTGGATGCAAGGTGTGAAAATCGGTATTAACTGAACTCGCCCCTTCATTGAGGGGCATTGATGTTTTATGAGTTACGCGTCCAGACGCGACTATTGACCTTAGCGTGACGCGAGCACCATTTTACCAATCCGAACATTACTCAGCAATGGCCGGATGACTCTATGCTCTCGAAGCCCCTTAAAGTCATTACATATAAGATCAGGGGTTTTAGGGGTAGTAAACCTTAAATTATAACTAAAGCATTAGCAGGGTCCACTTTTAATTTGATTCAATCTTTTGAAAATTTAGAATTTTTCCCTAAATAATAATGATAGGAATAATTTTTATATCGTTCCAATCATACTCGTACATGGCCTTGTCACGAAACAGACGACGGACGCGTCTTTAATTATTTGCATTTGGGATGGCTATCCAATAATAGTCCTCTACGACACACCACCAGACCACCTCCTCCAGACCATGCCTTACATAAGCACATCCAGGTTCAAACGCGAGATGACTTCAAAGTCCAGTAAAAAAGCGTCCACTAGCACCATATCAAAATATCTTCTAAAAGTAGAGTTCACTCTGCCTACACCTTACTAAAATTTGGATGCAGCCATTTTTGCATCCCAAAAAAGAACTCATAAAATTATTTCCTCATAATAGCTGAATAGTTAATCGCGTTCGGGAAAGTGCAAGTGGGGCAGCATTCGCCAACTCATCGTTTATCCGATATTCAACCGGCATGGGCTGAGCATGGTGTGAGGTTCACCAGATCCGTGATTACCTCAACCGTCAAGCATCAGCTAGCCGAAAGGCTCTACTTCTTCAAATGGACAGTGGTGTTCGTTTACTTCATGGCAAAACTGTGATGATATATCCCAACCTTTATACGTTATAGCTATGCCCCCTTTGAAGGTGGCTATCATTGGTGCTGGGCCAGTTGGTAGGTAGCTGACGGATGAAAACAAAGGGAGACCGCTGCTGACCAACACTCTAGGCTGTATCCTCGCCCGCCTTCTCTTCAGGGGTGGCGTGGACGTTATAGTATTTGAAGGCGAGGCTTCTTTCAACTTTCGGGATCAGGGTGGCACCCTCGACCTCCATACCACAACCGGTCTGCTTGCCATGAAGGAAGCCGACCTCTGGCAAGAATTTCTTGAGCACGCGCGCTACGAAGGCCAGTCGATGGTCATTGCTGATAAGCATTGTAAAGCCTATCTGAAGAGAGCGCCTTCTGGAGCGGCAGACAAGTTGGAAGAAAGGCCTGAGATTGACCGCGTGACGCTGAGGCGGATTCTTCTCGAGTCACTTCCTGCGGATATGATTAAATGGGGTCATCGTCTCGCGGAAGTTGATGACAACAAGGTTCTTCATTTTATGGACGGCACAACTGCTGATGGGTTTGATTTAATCGTTGGAGCGGATGGTGCGTGGAGCAAAGTTAGGGATTTTCTCGACCCCCACCTTAAGCCTCAATTCGCCCAAGTGGGTATGTTTGCTTTTAAAACAGAAAACCTGAAGGATACGATTCCCGATGCTTACAGATTTGTCAACCATGGTAGCGTCTTTTCCCACGCTGATGGAATTCGAACCTCGATGCAAGAGCTCGGCGATGGTGGGCTCTCAATGAGCGTGGCGTTCGTTACAGACTCGGATAAGTGGATGGATCCGGCTTGGACTTTAGAGGAGGCGCAGCAGGAGGCCCTCAAGAAACTAGATGGCTGGGCTTCTGTGTACACGGAGGGTATTGCTAAGTCGGAATCTTTCATGGCGCGCTCCCTCTATCAACTACCCGTAGGCTCTAGCTGGGTGCACCGGGAAGGGGTCACGCTAGCTGGGGACTCGGCGCATTTAATGACACCTTTTGCTGGTGAGGGCGTTAACATTGGGATGGAAGATGCCCGCATATTAGCCACCAGGATTCTCGATGTTACGAAAGGAGACAGCAATATGACGACTCTCAACGAGCAGGTTCAGGTCTACGAAAAACTTGTTTGCCAGGGCCAAAATGACACAGAGACTGACAGATGAGCTTCGAAAGGATTATTTCTTTAGTGAGGGTGTGCCTGGGTCCATTATGGGCCGGTCTATGGCGAGACATGTTAGGTTCCATACTCCCTGGTTGCTCCATCCTGTTGTAACAGCAGCTGTGCATGGATATTTCCTTTTCCGCGAATTCTGGCAGCATTAGTATTTATTTTTATTATTATTATTATTATTTTTTAATGACTTCTTAAATTTTGGAAAAGTGAAAGATTTCTCTTATTAAGTGCAAACTGCCTCGGCATTTGGATGTAAGATCAGGATTGGTGTTAATCCAAGGCAGATCAATCATAAACCGCAAGCGGCGACGTTGGCACTGCTCACCGGTCACGTGATAATAAACATCGACATCGGTACGGGATCCGAGCTGCTCCCTCGCTCACCTGGGCCACTGCTGGGCAGAGGCAGAGGCGCCATATATGGAGTCATCCAATACAGAAGACTGACGATATCGATTGATGTAGGCGATAAGAACATCTCCTACAGCCAGCTGTCCTTTTAAAACAGGCCATATTGCATGTTGGCCCCACGGTTATCCTTCTACTCCGCCCTTTCCCCTTCCAACAGAAACTTCCGGCGAATTTTAAACTCAGTTGTTAGCCGTGGAATGTCTAGCGGACCGGAGGCTCCGGGAGATGAGGGGAATGATGGTGCTTGCCGGAGGCCACTTAGATTCATCGATGTAGGTACTCCTAGCATATGATCTCTATGGGAAGCGTCTAATCCTTTGGGCAGATTGGCATCAACCTAACAGACCCGATATACCAGGGCCTGTATCATGGTATACAAAGGCACCCAGATGATTTACAGGACGTGGTTAAACGTGCCCAAGCAGTGGGTTGCCAGTATCTTCTCGTGACCGGCTCTGATCTTGAGAGCTCGTCGAAATCCGTGACGCTTGCTCAATCATACCGTAAGTTCACTAATTCAGTCAATCTGTTGAGGCTGCCTTAGGTTTCCACCGAGATACTGACAACCATGCAAAGCTGGTATTGTCTTCTCGACTGCCGGCATCCATCCTTGTAGCAGTAGCGTGTTCGGCACCAGCACAGGAGGCGACGGCCACAGCCATGACTACCCCAATCCTGAGAGACCTCTTTCTGAAGATGTCGAGCCCTGCCTGATTAAGACGAAAGAGATCATATCTGAACTGGCCCAATTCCTCACGACAGCAAGAGCAACGCAGCCTGGGAGTATTGTTGCATTTGGAGAATTCGGGTTAGATTATGACAGGCTTCATTACTGCTCTCAGAGAGTTCAACTACATTCCTTCAAAGCTCAGCTCGGGCTTGCAGCCTCACTAACGCCACAACTACCGCTATTCCTACACTCACGCGCTGCTCACCATGACTTCCTATCATTGTTGAAAGCCGCTTTTGGTGAGAAGTTGGATCGTCTAAAGGCGGGCGCGGTTGTCCATAGTTTTACAGGCTCCATGGAGGAATTGAAGGAACTAATTGATCTTGGACTATACATCGGAATCAATGGGTGTAGCCTCAAAACAGCAGCGAACTGCAAGGTTGTCGAGGCCGTTCCTTTAGACCTCATTATGCTCGAAACGGACGGTCCCTGGTGCGAGATAAGACAGAGCCATGAGGGATGGAAACGGCTCCAAGCTAGTCCGTTATGCCAGGCGACTAACGCCGAGCACCCACCACTCGTTACACGATATAAGAGCGTGAAGAAGGAGAGGTGGCAACAAGGTGCGTTGGTCAAGGGACGTAACGAGCCCTGCATGATTGAAAATGTTGCAAGGATTGTTGCCGCCATCAAGGGTGTTAGGGTAGAAGTCGTGACCGAAGCTGCATGGGCGAATGCCATCCAAGTCTTTGGCCTCTGAATTTCACCTTCTTAAGGCCTGGCTGCAGTTATCAAACCGCCTCCGCTTCGCTGCCGTAATAGATCTGTTCATCTTAAACAGTAGCCTCACTGTTCGCTATTCTTCCATTTTGTATAATCCCAAGTGTCACGCCATCTTCACCCGTTAGCCAACCCGGCATCCTCACTCCATCAACAACCCCACACTCAGCGAGCTGCCTGACGCCGGCGAAAACATGTGGGCCACGGAACACCAGCTTGAGTTTGGGTTCCCACGATGTCTCACGGCCAAGATTTGTTGCTATGTCTTGAATAGGCCGGATGTTGACGTGTTGCGTGGCGCTTTGGGCTGGTTGATTAAAAGAAAGATTTTCCGGCCTTCGCTGTATAGCTAATGCTATTTTGTCGCGGGAGAACATTACTTCACTCGACGTCGAGGCTTGTCCAAAGGTAGAGGGATACGGATCCTGGATAGCTATATCGACCCGCTCTAGACCCTTCCCATCACTTACTTTGCCACTGACGCCAAATCTTGCCTTAGCTATTACTCTTTCACGTTCTGAAGTACTGTAGCGGCCGACTCCTGCCAATTTCCCTGCTGGAGCAGGAGCACCAACTAAGCGTACGGTGGTGAGAGGAGGCTTATTTAAGCCCAATGTCTCAAATGGTGTGTCTAAGATAGTACTGGCCGAATAAGTTGACCAACCTCCTCCAGTGACATTTCCACGACCGGACCCCTAAGTTGAGTAAGGGTATCTAGGCTCCGAGCTATAATGTTGGTGGCAACGAGCGAATATCGTCTTCCTTGGGAGGAAAGAGATGCTTGAATCGCATTGAAAAGAAATTGTCTAACATTCTTAGTCTCGGAAGGCGTCGAGGATTTGGCAGTATTAACGCTTGATATGTAGATAAACGGGGCCCCGTCAGGAAATGCGACATGCAGGGTCCAACCGGCGTCAGCACTAGAGCCAGGCGAAGGGTCCCTGTCTGGAGAGGGGGCTAAATGGGTATTGTAGGGAGAGTCGATAATAAAAATGCGCAGGATCACTAGCCCAAGGCTGTGTGGTCTGTCAAGCTGGAAGTGGACCTTTGCATCAGGCAAAACATAGCTTTGTAGACGTTCTAGAAATGTTGATGGGTGTATGCGTGGAATGTGGGTTGAGTCTCTATTACCATCCTGGATGCCTTTGACGTCTAATGTAGCGGCAACTTTGGAAGGTAAAATGCGATATGCCATCCATTTCTCAGAAGCGGGATGATCATAGAGGTATTGGAGACCAGCCATTGACAATTGGTAAAGCGTAAGTCCATGTCGCCAATCTCCTTCTAGCAGTCGGTTGAGTACCTCTCGCTTTGAACCTTTACGGTCTTGAAGTCCTGTGTATAGAGCCCTTAGTTGCTCCACAGATCCAACAGCGGGATAGAGGTCCGAAGAGTTGGAACTTAACGCGAGACCTTTGGTTGGGTACAGGTAAGGCTGCGAGACTTCGATGTTTTTGTCATCTAGCCAGTCAAGAATAAGGGCGAGCAGAGAGGAACGGGAAAGCCGATACAATGTATTATAAACGATAGGGTTATCAGCACTTAATCTTAAGGAAGGAGGAAGCCCTCCTTGGGTCGGAATGGAAAACGTTGACATTTCTTCTCTGGATAGTAATGAAATGAAGGCAAAGCCAAAACTCGTTGTTTGAGGACTGTTATGCCCTTTGACGCGTCTACCCTGGAGTCATGTTTTAGATAGACCGGCTGATAGCGGTTGCGAATTCCTGGCGGAGCGACTTTCGCGTTCTTGGTCACCGCCAAACTTCTGGGTCACGTGGTATTCATCAACTTCAATGATCAATCTGGTGACAGCTTGGCAAGCCTGGCTGGGAACCTATCAAGCCACGTCCTTTGTGCCCACTTCGGCAGGTTGCAACGCCACATGCCGGTCTGATCACCACGATCTGGATTTGGGAATTCGGACATGTTTAGACTCGGAGAAAGATAACGTGGGGTGCGGTGAGGGGTTTGTCACTCCAATGATGATGACACCCTAAATTTACCAGTCACCATGTCTGGCAAACCTCGGCATACAATCTCATTTCGTTTCTTTGATAATAGTCCTTAGAATTAGTGGCGCGATAATTCACAGACACAAGGCACAGCCGATAAATATCCAAGTAGCGAAGGAGGAATTTTGTGAGAGACCTTGTGAAGTCGTACCTGGCTCGATCAACCGAGTCTTCCCTCCTGAAGTCTTCGTAAACGCCTCTCATTGTGCGATAATTTTGGCGACGTTGTTAGATGGATAAATGATTCGAGGGCCTTCGGGTTCTTGAATTTTGTCCCCTCTACCAATAACTGTCTTTTGAGAGCTCGCACATCGGCGTGGTGTACTCTTTGGTACAAGTACTATTCGTGGGACCTGCAGTACCAGCTTTTCAAAATTTTCTTGGGCTGATTGATGGGGAGAGGAAGCCCGCTTTGTGGGTAATAAACAACCCCATGGCTGACAGAGTTTGAGCAACCCACTTGCCACTGCCCCACTCCAGGGTACATGAGCCCCCTCGAAGCATCCCCTCGTTGATAACCCTGCCTCCCCTCGTTTCTCTTCTCCATGCATTTTCATCACCGTCGATTGATATAATAAATCCTCTTCTCGCTTCGCCAAACCCAACTTGCCCAGCTTATTCCCTTCATCTTACCGACGTCTAAATAGGGACGAGCCAGCGGTGTTTATAACCCAGTCTTACTCTCTTGTAGTCTTTCACTCTGCGACGACGTGGATCGCTACAGCAGGATGTCAACCTACGGTGGCCGCCGGGGCCCAAACGTCTCCCAATATCTTCGACATCTCAATACTATTCCTACTGAGACTACGAATGAGGATTCCTTTATCGATGACGACCTGAGCCTCTTCACAAATACCCGTTTTTGACTTCGAGTCTGGACAAACAACAGACTTCCAGGCTCCGGCTGCCAAACCAGAGAGCGAACAGATATCTCCTTCCACTGAAAGTGGAACCACAACTTCGCCTGTTACGGACCTGGGAGGTCTCGATTTCATCGCAGGTGAGTAGAGCGTGATTTGGTTGGATGAAGGTGGTGATATACGTATTGCTTTGCCCAACCCTTCCGCCCCCGAATACTTTGGTGAACGAGGTCCCGTTTCTCTGTCTATCATTCAAATATTCGATTCATAACCAAGCCAAACCCCTCCTTGACGCTCATCACTTTTCTTCCATTTTAACGGGATTGGGGGTCTTTTGGAGGGTAAAACGCGTCCCTCTTCTTGGTCGAACGTGCTTACAAATGGCTTGTCCATCAAGTGATGGTGCAATATCCCGTGATCTCCGACCCCCACCTCGGCCTTTCCCCGAATCACGAAATCATGCAAGGTCATGGTTTAGAGGAATCGCTCAAGACTCCTCTTTGCTTCTCCCTTTCACTTATACCTCAATTCCAAAATGTCTTCTGGATTATTTCGCTGTCCTGATAAACGCCCAAATGAAGAAGCTGCCTAATCATCCAATTCTGTTGGCTAACTGAGATGACATGGCTTCAGATTTCAGCTTCCCCGACTTTGCCCAATACCAAGCCCCTGCTTTAAACCCCAGTTTTACCGACGCCCTTCCGATTCAACCCCTCCAAAACGCGCCTCAAATTTTCCCAACCAGTGTAACTCAACAACCACAGCAGCAGCAGCCTGGTACTTTCAGCTCCTCCCAATCGAACCATGTGGGGGATAAAAGGAAGTCTGAATCCTTAGACACACCAACTCAGATTAACTTCGAAGATGCGTCTCGTCTTGCTGCTGAGGAAGATAAAAGGAGACGCAACACAGCCGCTAGCGCGCGATTTCGAATTAAGAAGAAGCAACGTGAGCAGGCGTTAGAGCGGACGGCAAAGGACATGTCGGAAAAAGTTACAGCTCTTGAAGGTCGTATTCAGCAATTGGAGACAGAGAACAAGTGGCTTAAGAACATGATTCTTGAAAAGAATGGTGGCAACGAGCAAATATCAACTTTACTAGACAAGGAACTTGGCTCCAGAGACAAACCCGACGCGAAATCTGCGGAGGCTCTCAAACCAGAGAATTAAGGAAAACCAGCTCTATTTAGCGAATATCATGTACGTAGAAGCGGCTTCCGGTGGCAATGGATCTTCTAGGGGTAAAGGATATCAGTTTGGATGATTTCTGATTCGGGGGAGGGCGTTTCATATGGAGGGTTTTTTTTTTTTTTTTTTTTGGCGGTTCTTTGCCAAATCGTACTTGGAAGAGGAGTTGGCATAGATAGGCAGCAGAAACTTTCTGCGCGCTCTTCTGTGAAGGGAAGTTTAGACGAAGACGGTTATTGATTGTATTTAACAGTTGCTTTGAAGGACAACGAACATAAATGCATGATGCGTTGTGCGTGCTCCGTATTACTAGTTTCTGGATGCGCTATGAGTTATGGTCCAGTGCTATCATTCGGGGATTGTAGAGCCCGTAGACGTGCTTGATTCCGTTTTCCTAGAACCCGGAGGGTGTTATCTCTCTCCTTCGGTCATCTCGGCCCAGTTCGCGATGCGGGACAAAGTTCCATCTTGATTAACAACGAGGGGCCCGAGGTGGTCAAGCTTCATGGTTGTACCCTGGCCACGCACATCCAGGGTCCTTCGATGATGTCCGGGATCAGATGTTGATGTAGGGAGGGGAGTGCTGTTGTCGACCTTGTGGTCTCGCTGGTTCCTTGAGTGTCTGGTTGATGCATTTGGGGGTTTTGACGAGAATCAGAGGACGCTTGACGAATGCTTATTGAAAGGTGTCCGGCGCGCAAATTCAAGTGGACTAAAGAAATATTTCTGCGAAAGCTTAATCGACTGGATGCGATACGGCTCATAGTGAACGGGAATGTTGGGTTCTCGATGTTTAGAAGAAGAATTTTACGAAGGGGAGGTGTCGCTGTAAATACGTATGCGCCTCGCTAGAAGGTACGTACCGCAAGGACAAACTGGGCCCCATTGCCTGAGGTGCCTGTTTCCTCACGATGAGTACCTCAGTATTCCGGAATCAAATGAACGACCTTGGATTAGGAAGTACAGTGAAGGCCATAATACTTAACGACCGTTTCTACTTCGTAGTTGGATCTTAGTGACATAAATGCCCGAGTTGTTGCCATGTTGAAGCATGGTGTTCACTTGCGTGCTCTCAAGCGTCAGTAAGAGTTAGGACCAGGGTTTCTAACCGATGTGTTGGGTGATTAGTCACTGGGAATACTGCTTCGCATCAAACAATTCTGAAAAAAAGAAAAAGAAGAAAAAAATAGAGCTGCGAATCCCAATCTATTTCGGCAAGAGCACGGCGTTTTTGTGTGGACGTCGTCGCACATTGGACTCGAAGTGGACAGGATTGAGGTTGACGAAAGGCGTGGAGAGGTGGGGAGGGAACGACAGACTGCACCTGCCCAATGCGGGCTCCAAGGCGTCCTAATATTACCTAACCCAAGGCGACTCATCGAGACCCGCCCCTGTCCTGACTTCGTTCTGCTGTGACCCGTCCTCTAATTATCACGACGCAACTTTAGGCCAAGGCGTACCGCCGCAAACTAGACTGTGGTAGCACCGGTATAGTTCTCCTCACGTCTTCACATTTACAATGGTTAGCGACTTGAGCCTGTCGAGAGCACTGGGTGGCTTGCGAATCGCGAACCCGGATGACGCCCCTCCCGAGCATACTCTTGAGAAGTTGCCGATGCCTTTGAACAGCGCGAGCGGCCACCCTGATGCAAGTTCTCATTTTCCAACCAGAGACAAACTCTCAATGTCTACGGATCCCGAGAAAATGCCAATCAACGCAAACTTGGGACATTATGCCCTTTCGCCGTCACAACGAGCCATGCAAAGTTTACAACCGGTCCATGATAACGGCGAGTCAAATTCAGAATCTAAAGCTTCGTCTATAACTACCATTGCTGGAAAAGCTTTGGAAGCAACCCCCAGCTCTTTACTATACGATTCCACCATACGCCCCCGTCCTGGCATGTCTGCCCCGTGGACCTCAGAGAGTTTTGTCAGATCGGAAGGAATACCTCCTAGTTACAATGAGCGACAGCCAGCCGCGAACGCCGCGCACAGCTCGAAACAGGATAATACACAACTCTCCGCTACTACCAATCCATCGTTACCCCCGTCCAGCGACTCTTTACACCTTCGACGAAGCTCAAGGGGAAGGGTCGAAACAGAGCCTAGCTCTAGTAGCCGGGCACACAATTATCAACGGAGCCAGAACCCTGACACATTTGTTCCGATCAGCACACAAGAGTGGCAAGAACGAGGTGCTGCCGTTGGAATTAGGAGGAGATTGACGCAAACGGCCATACAGTTCTCCGGCATGTGAAAAAGGCGTGAGAGATTTCACCTTTGGTCGAGTTCTCGGAGAGGGTTCGTACAGTACTGTATATCTGGCCACCGACCGGCAGACACTCAAGGAATATGCAATCAAGGTCTTAGAGAAGAAGCATATTATTAAAGAGAAGAAAATCAAGTACGTCAACATCGAAAAGAATACGCTGAACCGTCTCACCGAACATCCCGGAATAGTCCGTCTCTACTATACATTTCAGGACGAGACCTGCCTCTATTATGCCCTCGATTTCTGCAGTGGTGGAGAGCTTCTTGGCGCTCTTAAACGAACCGGCACTTTCGATGTTGAGTGCGTACGGTTCTACGGTGCCCAAATTTTGGACGCTATCGAATATATGCACTCACGCGGCGTGTTGCACCGTGATCTCAAACCCGAGAATGTACTTCTTGACGATCACATGCATATTAAGATCACCGATTTTGGTACTGCTAAAATGCTTCCAGATCCCAGAGCATCCAAGCCTCATGATGGAAGAGACCGCGGGCTTCCCGAACGCTCCCAGCTAGAGAAAGATGAGGATGGCCGAGCCCCCTCGTTTGTCGGAACAGCAGAATATGTTAGCCCGGAGCTACTGACCAGCAAAACTCTTGTAAAGCGAGTGATCTTTGGGCATTCGGCTGTATTATTTACCAGCTCCTTGCTGGGAGGCCCCCATTTAAGGCGGGCTCAGAATATCTCACATTTCAAAAATTGTGGGCCTCGACTACGAGTTTCCCATGGGCTTCCCTCCAGCTGCCCAAGACCTCGTTGAGCGACTCTTAGTCTTAGATCCTGCACGCCGTCTTACGATTGAGCACATCAGGAATCACGAATTCTTCGATGGCCAGCAGTTCGGGAAACTACTCTGGAGGAGCAAAGCACCGAGGCTGCGCCCGTTTGTCCCCCAACTCAGGAACCTCGGATCATTCAACTAAATGGATATGCCAACACTTCAAGCCCTGCCGCTGGCTCTCGGCAGCTGTCCCACACTCATCAAAACGCCCAACCAACGCCCACCGGAGCCTCTCGTCCTTCTTTGCCTATTGCGGAATTGCCCCTCCCACCCAACTTGACTTTGAATGGTCAAGTGTCTTAACTAGAGCAAATGAAAGAATTCTAAAACTTGGTGACCTCTTGGTCATCTCGGCGCCATTGCCCAATAATGGTCAGGGAAAAATGGTGACCACACCGAAGGACACAAGAAGCTATCGAGATTTTTGGAGGAAGCACAACTAAAAAAGGCAGAGACTGGTTCTAATAACCTCTGGGGGCGCATCATTTTAGCTCCTTCTGGCGGTGAAGAAAAAGAGCCAAGCAGGAGATATCGCTTCTTTCTCCGGACTGTGTATGGCGTAGCCAGGTTGATGCGAAAGGGCAACCTGTTTGGTGTGTTGATACAGTAAGTGAAGCATGCCAAATCCCCCTTCTGCTGTAGTATGGTGGTGCTTAACCCATCTCGATAGGCCGGTATTCATTATACATTCGAAGAGCCTAGAATTCCTGCCAACTCGGCCGGCACGGCAAATGCCGCCTCCGTTGAAGAATGGATTGATACTCTACAGCGTGCAAGGGAACTTGCACTTTCTCAAAGCATCCTTGGCTCGTCCGGAGGCGATATCGACTTTGGCGACTCATCCTCCAGAAGATCAAGCCCCACTAGTACGCTGGGTGGAAGAAATCCGTATTCGGAGGGTTTCATGGTCGGCGACAAGTCTGGCCGAAGTCATCTTAGCAAGTCACAGTCGAATGCCGATGAGCACACAGCTAAAAAGAATCGTTTTAGCAAACGACAGTCAAAAAGTGGCCTCGGCTCTGCATTTTAGCACTATATTAGATACCTAATTTAAACCGAAAAATGGTAATTGTAACTCATCATTCACATTTGAAATAGTTGAACGTGTTCATTGAGGTTGGAAAGCCAAGTGTAAGGTTTGTTATTATCAGCTGGCTGCCGTCGGTCCGCTCGGACACCACGTGATACTTGACTAAGCTTGGAATCAGCTGCAATCGGTTGACCTGGTCAAGGGGTCGCGGGTCTTCTGACTTGGATCCCTGATTAGGATGGAGAGGTGACCCTTGCACTCATCCACTTTCATCCACTTTTTTACCGAGCCTCAAGCGACGTCGCCCACTGGCCCCATGTCCTGGCCCAGCCCCAATAAATTTTGGCGATTTCTGACCGTCGACTCCACGCGTCAACCATCGTCGCGTTCTTGACTTCATTCTGGGATGAAACCATCATCTTCTCCTGATCGCACCATTGCAAATTCCGCCGAACCTATCACAACGCACGACAGCTTTGAAGAAGTTTGTTTCTGTGCTAGTTGTAGTAACAATCGGCTTTTGAAAGGCTGGGCTCATCGCAGAACACAATGCAGGGTCAATACCGCCAGTACCCCCAAACGCCTCAAAGGCAGGGGCAAACCGCGAGCCAGCGGAGAGGAGGAATTGGTAGGCTACTTGAAGACCCTGTTCGCATAGGTCTATGGACTTAATGTATTGACTCGCTACTCTGCAGGCCCTATGATGTCGGCCGGACCCCACCCCTCCGTACCTTTAACTCAGGCTCAGATTGCCCAGCAGCAGCAAGCGCAGGCACAAGCTAATGAGCTGGCGAAAAGGAGGAGTAGAAAACCAACAGACAAGGCAATGCCTGAGGGAATTGAAGACACAACTATAGATCCGGAGCTCGTCGCATTATATAGTAGTCTTCGTGCGTATGAGCGTCGTCTTGATGCTACATTGGCTCGAAAGAGACTAGACATTATCGACAATGCTAGCCGGTATCTGAAGGTATTGTCGCTCCTTTCACACCTTAGCATTGAACAACGTTTGCTAACCAAGAATGCAGCATCGCCGGACTCTGCGCCTTTGGATCAGCAATACCATCCAAGACCAACCATGGCAAAGCAGCGACCTGAACGTGGATACCTTCGATTTTAGCAATAACTTAGAGTCTACATACACCGTTCGCATGGAGGGCCGCCTTCTTAATGACGAGTTTCAGCAATCTCTGAAATATGGTGAAGGGGACGATCGTGGAGTCCTAAACAGCGCGGACCATTCTAGCCCACCAGGGGAGACATACAGGCTTTCACATTTTTTAAATCAATAAGCGTCGATTTTCATAACCCCGCATGCCGCCCTGATCAAAGTGTAGAATGGAAGAAAGCGGAGCGCAGCACAACATCCTCGAATCTACCGCACACTACGGATTTTGACGAGTTCACCTTCAAACGAAACGGCGATGACAACATGAATATCACAATCAATCTCGCGCGACATGATGAGCCAGAGCGATTCCTTCTAAGCCCGGAGCTTGCTGCAGTTGTGGACATGGATGAGGCAACGCGCCAAGAAGCCATGATGGGCATATGGGAGTACATCAGATATGCGGGACTTCAAGAGGATGAAGAAAAACGCAATTTTCGATGCGACGACTTTTTGAAGAGGGTTTGTTCGATCATACCACGTAGAACCCGCCTGTCCCTGCAAACTAACAAGCCTTTCATTGATTAGGTTATCAACCGGGGCGATATTGGCCACATCCCCTTTTGGGCGAATACATAGCCCCCATCTGCGGCCCTTGCCCCTATTTCCTTGCCCTATACCATTCGGGTTGACGAGGATTTCCATAAGAACCCAAAACCAACCATTTATGACATCCAAGTCGCTGTTGAGAACCCTCTTCGGGCCAAAATGATCGCATTCATCACTGACCCTGGCTACGCAGGCATGCTCAAAGATGTAGCTGGACTGGATGATCAGCTTGCGCGACTTGTGCAGGCAATTTCAATGTCCAAGTCAAAACATGCTTTCTTCTCCTCTTTAGGTGAGGATCCAGTAAACTTTTTCCGAAATTGGCTCAGCTCTCAAAGAGAGACCTTGAAGTCATTGATGGTGAGGCTCCGAGAGGGGGTGAACATGCGGATGGGGATGAGTGGAGAAGAGGCGGTGACGGCAGCGTTTGGACAACTGAGAATGCGCGGGAGACTGTAAATACTATTCTTTCACGCCCAAGGCCACAGCCCCAGCCCCAGCCCCGCCAAAGCTGATCAATTCACCACGGACTGCCTCAAGGTGCCATAATTGTAACTCTGGGAAAGGCGTTATAGAAGCGGATGTTCGATAGTTTGCTGCAAGTTCGATTTTTTCATGGGAACATAAAATTTTGCTTGCACACGTCTGTTTCGTGCAGTCTTTTCTTCTCCACGCCAGCTTGCCACCTAACGGCGGTGCCATTGGTACTCGAGGCCGCATTCTGCGCCCAGCAAATTTTTCCCTTTCTTATACATGTGATAGCTCCTTGCCTCATGACTGGTTGTGAGACCAGACAGTGCCCCAATAACCAAGGTTGCCTTGAGTTCGTTGCCGTGGCTTTAGGCTGGAGTGGCCGTTTGCAGGCTTTAGACACGGATCCCATTCTCATTCGGAGGGTCGATGCTAAACACTGACTGATACTAAGAGTACGAGGGCGTTTAAGCACACGGCTGATATTCGATGAAGCCCTGGTTACCTTTGGGATGGGGTTGGCTGAGATGGTAGATTCTTTATTTGCTTAATCAAAAATTCGCGCTCGTCAATGAATTGCTCATCGTCAGTTCTGTCACTGAGGAAATTCGATAGAAAAGCCAGAAGTTTCTCTCGGTTCATGATCAGGATTTTCTGCACGGCAACCGATTTGTGAGGATTGGCGACAAAAACTTTGAAAACATGGAAACCCTCATATTGAACCATTTTCCGATCATCTCGGAGAAGATTCATGCAAATCTTCAAATGCTCTCCGCTGTCAACGTATGCCGTCATAACGCTGTAATTAGAGCGGTCAAGGAGGATCTCTCCAAGGAGTTTGATCGATTGTCGTTTCGTAACATAGCTGTTGGACTGGACGAGGGTGGAGTTATACCGGGTGAAAAACAAGTCGAAGTTGATCGTAAGATACCTTGGTACGAGTTCTTTATGCTTCGTCAGAAGTTCCTGGTATCAAAGAAATGGCAAGTAAGTATGTAACAACAGATCCGGTTCTCCAGTAAGTCGGAAGGGTTATGATATCGAAGGACAGGTATTAGTGAATGGCCACTTACCCTAAAGGTAGTGAAGGCGTCCGCAGCAACTTCGAAAGAGCTTTTGTCTATCCACTCGAAAAACCTCCAAAACACTCCATTTCCGCTTTGCGGCTTATCCCTCTCAATGCCTGCAAGCCCGTAAGCACTGGAGCCCTCTTTCTCAGCATCATCATATAGGATAACGGCAGCTGCAGCCTCAACCTTCAAGACCTCCCGCAAAACAGCACCTGCAGCTGTAGCGCTTTCTTTGTAGTCGTATCCGCGACAAAGCTCAATGAGCACCTGTGGTCGCTGGTTGACAACATAGGATAATGCTACCGGATCGGACTTAGGGGATGCACCCGCTGGACGAAACCGAAAGATATATGAGAAGATGACCTGGGTATCTTTTCGAGATTCAAATGGGAGCTTGTGTAGGTGTATGGCAAGGTGATATAAAAGGTCCTCTTCGATGACGGTGGTGACAAGCTGGTAGATTTGGTCTGGACTTGTGTCGGGCTCGCCTTGAAGCATCGTTTTCATCTGGGACAACGCCTTGGAAAGTTCATCCGTTTTCGCTGACCCACTCCTTAGAAACTCCTTCGCCTGCTTGGCTAGGTCGACCGCCGTCCGAGAACGAGCACGACCAAACAAAAGGACATTTTACGGTAAGTGAGGTAGTGATGTGATCGGCCTCGCCAAGAGTACTATGTTAGTAGGTGGGAAGTTTGTATTTTCATGCAGATGGTTATCTCTGAAGAACTTCCAGATGTCAAGATGTTGGCGTGAGGACGATGATCGATGGACTTTGATTTAAAGAAGTTCCCCTTCAACTGCCTCAAAAGTCTAGCAACCAAGCGTTGGGATCAATGTGAACCTTCGAAAGGTGTAGGTGGGGTCGTGGAAGAAGGGGGTGGGGGCTTGTCAAGGACCAACGTCGTTGCCTGGTTTCACATGCCTAATATGAGCCAACCCAGGATTTGAATCTTCGGTTTGCGGAGGAGAGGAAAGGCTGCAGAAGAGCAGAGGTGGAAGGGCAAAGGCGAATAGTATTGCCTCAATGCAGGAGCTTGGAAATACGGAGCCGTTGTGACCTTGTACGGTAAGGTACAGTATGATATTGGGTGTTCAGTGATCAATTGGGTATTGAGGCAACGGTTGTCAATCACCAAGAGGTGGATAGGCCGTTGATTACGGGTACTGAGAACAGTATATTCCAAAACATTCTCTGTTGACTCTGAGTGAGAGAGCAATGCATCACCCCTCAGCCAGCCACCCCGGCAACAACCGTTTGTGTTTACATAATCAGACGCTGCCGTCCATCAACATCCGCAAGGACTGCTTCCATCCATTTTCGCCTTCCTTAATTGTGCTCCTAGCCATGCTAGCCTTCTCAACGTCAAGAACGTCTGCGTGAGGCAGCCTGTCGTAAATCAGCATTGCCTGAATAGGTCACGGGCGCCAGTGGTGGCAAAACGGGTCGGAGGAACACCCACTAAACAACAGTTCTTCAGTTTTAAAAACTCCTTGAGGCATTTATCTTTGTGGATCGAGGTGTAGTCTGTCATGATGCATCGGCCATAAGTAGTTACCTGGTGTTTGGTGAGTAGCAGGGTCGAGGATTGAATTGGGGGAAGTCGGATCGTACCTCAGGCGAGCATCGCGACAGGCCTGAGGCGAGTCTTTCAATCCGCCCACTGTTGACGAGTCGAGTCATAATATAACGACCGCGGAAATAAACGCGTTCAGTGCAAAACGCGTTAGAAATCAATTGAACGTTGAGAATAACATCACTCAACTCGATGCGGTGGTGTGAAGGATAGAGAAAGAAATGCTGAAGCTTCAGTTGACCTCGAACTCAGGATTGTCTTTGTCATCAAGGGCTGGGGAGACGGATGACTGGAGTATGCGACGCGCCTGCGCCTTTGACAACAAAACCATCTCGCGACACCTCCATTCACCCTAAGAGAAATTGCGACGTGGAAAATGGCACTGCTGCCAAACCTAGTATGTTTCGTGCACTTGCACTTCTCCTTCAGTGTACCCCCATGGATTTAGAACCACTCTCTTTATTAACTACCTTTCAATACGCTAGACGCGACATGAGATTCTGACATCTTTGAGGCATTCAACAATCCCCATGAGATGCTAAACATCAGCGCCTCTGGTCTGAAATGCACATCGTTTTAGTATGCAAAAGAAGTAGCAAGGCCTCACATGCCTTCCTCGTCGCCTCGTCCAGGATCAGCCTCATATTACGGCAAACTTGGGCTTGAAAATTCAAGTTACACCCCCGAAGCGTATTACACTAACGAAGGTATGCATCTTGACTGAGGGTTAGGTCCTTGCTGAAACCATAACATCTGCTAATATCACTTTCTTGGATTCTCTCGCCTCAGAAATCAGCGTCGTTCACGAAATTGTAGTTGCCGCCCAGGCGTGCCTCGATAATCGATATGAGGCGGATCCAGTTCCCACTAGTGCTCTATTTCAAGCTTATGACGCCATCCTACCCGTGCATGGCATCGATCCAGAGGATGATCAACACATTTCGAGGCTCCTTTTCCGGATTGGAGGCGAACGTGGAGAAGGAACCCTTCTGGACAAGCTTGGGTCGGTTCTATCTCGTATGGGAATTGAGCTTGAGTTCGATAGTAGCTCCATTCTGGCCGACCCGGACCCTGCTCGGATATCTAAAACGCCAACTTCAGCTTCTCCAAAGTCACAAGTTGCTGACCGCCTCACCAAGCACCCAAACAATGTGGTCAGCGCACGTCATACGTTGCTTCAAACCCTCTCACCCCTCCAACATATTGATACAATTCCAAGGCCCAGACCCGGATCCGCCCGATTAGGCGTGTTTAACCATTCGCCGCCTCGTCTTCACGACACGGCGGAGATACAACCAGATTATAGCCACGTCACACAACACCTGGCCACCGGGATTGAAATGAAGCCCACATTCGTCGCGCCACCTGACAATTTTGATGTGTTGAGCCCTTCTTTCTTGAAAGAGATACTCCCCGCTACGCAATCATCTTTTAAGACCATTTCAACCTCTGTGCAGCATGGTTGGTTCACTTCTTGGATAACTCATGCCGGATTTTTAGCGAATGAAGGAGAGTCAAGGGCGGAAAAGGCCTTGGTTCTCCGCGATCATTCTATGGCCGAAAAGTTCTTAATGCGGTGGAAATCACTTACTTGCGGTGATAAAACGACACCCATGGTATCATTCCTCAAATCACACAATGATCGGTGTGAAAGAATGGCTGGAAGGACACGTCAGATCTACGTTTTAACTACTAGGTTCAGCTTATGGCACCATTTTTCTGCCTCGGCAGCCGAACGAACTGCAGTTGCACGAAGGCACATTTTGCGTATGAGGCACTTCGACTCCTGGAGGCAAGTTGCTATTGCGGAATACCGCGCTAATCGCGCTCTCAGCTATGCAAAGTATCTACCGATATGGGTAGGGGAGCTGTCTGTCTCTGCCAGGCAAGAGCAAGAGGCGCTAGAATCCCATGTCCAAACTGTCCTGCCAAGTGTCTTTTTAACTTGGAAGCGGCTAGCTCTAGACAAAGCCATCAATTTGCAAAGATCCTGGGCCACCAAGGTGTCTGTTTTACTTGCCTGGCAGCAGACGAGTAAGCAGACTGCAGAAGTCTCTTTACAGTTAGATTCCAAGTACCGCCAAACAATGGTGATCAGGGTTTTTAGTGACTGGGCGAGTTGGTCTATCACCCCGCAAGACAACCCTTCGCCCGCCACCCCGGTATTACCAGTACGCCTTCTCAACTGCCTTCTCTTTATGGCGCGCAGCCTCGAGTGCTCGACGAAATGTCGAAACGTTGGCCAGGTTTTTAGCCAACACCAGCGAGAGAGGTTGTTTCGGATCTGGGATTTTGAAACAAGATCTAAGAATCTCGAAGCACAACATGATCGTCGCCTGTTAACGGAGTCCTTTGCGATATGGGCCCTTTTTCAGAAAATAGGTTCATTCCAACACCAATGCCGAATGCAATCTAAAGAGTCTTGCTTTTCGTTAATGTTGAGCATATACAGGGAACGCGAGGAGGCCGCAACACGAATTCAGACGCGCTCTTCTGCACTTCATGTCCACCAGGCTAGAGCCGCTACACTGTTCCAAACGTGGCTCTCAGTGTCTACTAAAAACACCTTAGGCAATACCTCGGTTCTTTTTCAATACCGTGACAGAGTTTTCTTAACCCATTTGGATCAATGGCTCGATTTGCCTGGCCATAATGTAGAGATGGAGAGGTGGGCAAAGCGGGGTTGTTCTATTTTACGGTCCATCGAAACTTTAGTGAATGGAGACTTTGGGCAAGGTGCGAAAAGGAGCGGAAACTACGCCAAGCGTATACGGCTGCGAAACATCACGTCAACGACAGCCTTGTTGTGGGCTGCTGGGGGATATGGCAGGCTTCCCACGCATTTACCGCCACAATGCATGACGTGGTGACCAGCCGCGCCTTCACTCGTCACCTGGAATTGATAACTGTGTGGATGGAGAGCTGGGTGTGGACGACACGGTACTTCGCAGGGCTTCATAGACATAGCCTACAGATACTACATGAGATCTTGTTGTATGGCTGGCGTGAGCTCGCTGAAGCCTACGCCGAGGGAGATATTGAAGCGCGTCACGCATGGGGCCTGCGTATTTATGGTTCATGTTGGGATCGGTGGGATATTGCCTTGCGCTGGGCTGAAGGTCAGAACTACAATGCGGAGAACATGACAAGGAGACGTCGCAAACAGACGCTCGCCACATTTCTTTTAAGCTGGAAACAGTTTCAGCCTCGCGATAGCGCCAGGGGGCAGATCGACAAGGCATCGGTCTTGCCCCCGACCAGAACAGAGCGGCGCCGAGGGAGGGATATTGGCGCCATCAACAGACCCCAAGGGCTAGCTTTATACGGCTAAAACCTAGTATCCTTGACTACACCCCTCGGCTACCCGGCCGCATGCCGGTAGCTCCGACCACGACTTAGAGAGCATTGAAAGTACTGATGGCACGGTCATGACCCCAACAAGGTGGAATAGTATAAGCCGACATCTCAATGATTTGCCATCTACAACGCCTTCAGCCCCATTACCAACACCGTACGAGCGCGAACTGCGTCAAAGATACAATGCGGGAGATGCGAGGATAAACACTTACAGAGACTAGAGGGGCGAGCTCCAGAACGCATGAGCACGTACAATTATTACATGTAGTTGCAGGTCATCGAATTACTTCAGCCTTGACAGTGCTTAATAATAGCATCAATTAATTATCCATTCCATTAACTCCCCACATTCACCTCTGCTGCCAACACTCCGACCTTGATGAGGATCACACAATGCAGTCGCCCACATCAGCCCGAGAAGCCTCCCGGTCAGTAGTAAAAGAGGAAGAGGTAGCGCTAGGGCTTATACTTCAGAAGGAACCCCGTAATTTGTTCAGGAAGTGGTGAGATTTATCAAGCCTTTATCAAGATCGAAGCTTTCGTAGACCAACGAACCCACGTCTTGACTCTGGGTCCACACAAGATGGCCAGCTTTGGGGCTTAGAAAATACTGTTGCCTCATTACGTGTATGTGGTTGTTGGTAGTGCGCCCAGCCAGGCAGATATGGCTAATACATAAGGGATGGTGCCTGTTCTTCGGTAAAGTATGCATTTAACGCAAATAGTACTTACACGACCTTTTAGGTCATTGAAGTTCGTCAGCATTTTGGGGAAGGGCCCAGAACCGATCCCACTCGACTGCTTTCTCAGTCCCCTAATAACTGTCTCAGTGCTCGACGCTAGACGGCGAGCGATGAAGGTAACGCGCAACTCGTCAACCCGCCTCCGCTTTGACACCTCTATGGGCATGCGACCGAACGATCAATTCCAAAAGCATGAGCGGTGTTCTTCCCGGGCGACCTAATTGTCGCCGCCAGGCCCTTACAACTGGATATTGGGAGGGTCGGCATTTTACTGTAAAGTTGCCCACACGATTTGGATTCTCAGCTGACGCGAAAGGTAGGCCTATGTTACCGGGTTCGCGTTCACTATCCTCCAGAACCCTCAAACTACCGTACAGACCGTGTACAGTGCAGGAGATGAAGCGCTAGATTCCATCGCATTTGATGAGAGCTACGGTATCATTGCTGTGGCCAGTCACTTTGCTGTTCATCTTTATCGGCCATATGAAGCAGCTCATTCCACTATTCCCAAGGTCCGCAATCACCATGCACTCCTTTATGCAAAACGCAGTCTCATTAACCGCTAAGTAGTGGGCGATTTATTCAAGCTTCCCTTTAGGAAACTCGCCGACGTCCCCAGTTTCACCATCACTTTCATGGGGCGCATCAGGTGACCTCCTTGTAGGAACGCATGACCTAGCCCTATATTCTGTACGGGACGACCCCATTGTGTCTGGAGAGTGTCTCTTCCATGCCCCGTCTCTGCTGCGTGCGTCTCATACGACTCGACTTACATCGCCTCTACTGGCTGGGGCGACTGTGCCGTTCAGATCTGGCGACGCCTAGCTTTTGGATCGCAAGAGACCCATTTTGACCTCTCATATGTTGTCCATCCAGGCGAGGTTACTGGAATTCGGTGGCGGAAGCCATTTTACCCCAGCCAAACAATCGAGAATGTCCTCTACACGTGCTGTGCCGACGGTACTATCCGACTCTGGGCCGCGGCTGACAACTCGGGCCAGTCCCGACTCCGGGTCTGTGGTAAGCTTGATGTCGTAGCCTCCATACAGGATGGATTGAAACCTCCGGGTGTTCACCGCTGGTTTGCGATTATAGACGGAAGGGACTTCTCGTCAGCAGTTGAAAGAGCTGTGCAGCTCCGGGCAGATTTCAGAGACGAGGGAATTATGCCTCTTGACCACGTCATATCTGTCGCCACAAAGAGTCCAGATATCTGTCTAGTTTTCAACGGAACAGGTACCATGTCTGCTTGGGCTCTCGAGTTTCTTCCTACCAGCGCGCATAATAGGCCGTTCAACACGGCTTTCAATATCGCATATATCCAATCAAAAGATTTCGCAATTGCGCTTACATCCGAGATGCACCAGTACACCCAAATACGCACCTATTACGATCAATTCGATCATAAGCTAACCCTACTTTTCGAGCATTTTGATGGCAGAGTTGCAGTTTACAATTCCGACGTAGTCGATCTATTGAGTCCCACAGCGCGTCAACAAAGGTTGTCTCTTGCAGCTCTCTGGATGGGACACTCTGCAGCAATAAAAAATGGTTCGGAACTACAGCGGAAACGCCGTGGTATCACGGACAGCCGCCGGTGAAAGCTTCGTTTGGAAGCATTACGCAACCCTACCTTGCCCTCAAGATTTTGATCGCCAAAGCATCATACCTGAGGATGGACCCATCCACCGTATTTGTGTTCTGAGAAAGGGTCGATTTGTTGTCTTCCTTAGACACGAGACGATATCGCTCTGGGATTGCCGCCAACAAACAGCTAAGCTTCTAGACTCCCAGAAGTTCACCGTCTCTGGTAAACCGCTATGCCTTTTAATTCTCCCTCGTCAGCGGGTAGAGGACAATCTTGTTGCGCACATTGCTACGGTGACTTCAAGCCAAGAGGGGTTGGTGTGGGAAGTCTCCCTTCCTCAGTATAACCCATCACCCAAAGAAAACGCTACGACCTCCACAGGACGGGACGAACGAAGCGATAGCCAACTACCACGGAGGCCCCAAGGTTCCATACGTGAATTTTGTACATTCAACCTGCGTGGCGCTGAGGATCTCGCCTATGTTTTGCCCGTGGACCCTGCAGGCTCATCACCCATTGTTGCTGGCTTTCTTGACGTATTCGCGCGAGATGTAGCCATCTCTTACACCGACTCAGGCCGGGTTGTTTTTGGACTGCGCGGGTAGATATAGGCCACGGTAATGTTGGATGGCTATCAACGTCTTGGACAGATACTGGAATATCAAAACCTGCATTGGTTAGCGGAAGCACACTGAAAAAAGCCGCCTTAGTGAACTCAACGCGCTCGCAATTCACTATATGGGATATCGGCGGCCGCCGTCTAGAATATTCCCAAGACTTTCCTGGAGAAAACACTATTCAAGATCTTGATTGGACATCAACGCCAGATTCACAGTCAATACTTGCGGTTGGCCATCAATCACGTGTGGTACTCGTCTCGCAGATGAGATTTGACTATCTCAACAGGGGCCCGGCATGGGCTCCCATCCGGGAAATATCCCTCGTGAACCTTACGCCTCATTCCATCGGTGATTCTACATGGCTCGCCGATGGACACCTAGTTGTTGGGGCTGGAAACCAAATTTTAACGTTTAGTCGGCAATATGACATCTCCAGCTCCCTCGTCTCAAAGCTTAAGCTTGCCCCAGGGAAGGACGGAACCTGGGATATGTTTGATACCGTTCAGAGATTGAATGGACCCTTACCTATCTTCCATCCCCAATTCTTAAGTCAATGTATCCTATCTGGGAAATTTCAACTTGTCCAGGATATACTTGCCACCTTGCATACTGCTCTCAAATATCTCTCCGAAGGCGAGATTCTCGACAAGTATCTTGATTTAGACCTCTCCAGGTTTTATGAACCCATTGCGGTAAGACCGGGAGTCACTAGTCCAGTATCGTTTAGTTGTGTGCCCTGCTAATCATCGCTCAGGGTCTGGATAATCATAAGTTCGGTAACCTCGGTAGCTACCTTGGGGCAAGCGGAGTGGCCCCAAGCTCTGAGGAGGCGTTCTCAGAAGAGGCTGCACAATTGCTGAATGAGAAGCTAACGCGCATTAACATTGTTCAACTTTCTGGACTTGAGCAAATTCAACTTGCAGATCTTGTAGAGTGCTTGGGAATGGTTGAAAGACATCGCAGATCCTTAGATGAGAATGGTGCCCGCTTCTTACTCTCATTTAGACAAGGCATGCTCCCACGCGGTTATACTAACAAGGGATCAACGTCGTGGAGAAACGTCAATTGGGCATTCCACTCTAAGACGCAAGATATCCTAATAGATTTTGTGACAAGGCAATTCCAAGCACCCCTATGCTGGGAAAATGCGAGGCACAGTGGGATATTCTCTTGGCTTTCAGATCATAGATCCATAGTGAGATCATTTTTCCTTCTCTTCTTATCTCGGCGTACTTATATTGACCTGATGATTGTAGCGATCTCAGTTTGAACAAATTGCCCGAACTGAATACTCGATAAACGACACTAAGGACCCAGTCAACTGCAGTCTGTTTTACTTGGCATTAAGACAGAAAGGGGTTTTACGAACTTTATGGAGGCTCTCGACGTGGCACCCAGAACAAAGAGCAACATACAAACTCCTGTCTAATGACTTCGAAAATCCCAAATGGAAGATGATCGCACTGAAAAATGCTTATGCCTTGATGAGCCGGCGACGCTTTGGTAGGCCCACCTGCAGAATATGGATATCCACAGCTTTCTAAGACGTACCTAACGCGCGAAATCGCTACAGCATATGCTGCTGCTTTCTTTTGTTAGGTGACAGTTTGCAAGATGCAGTCAACGTTTGTATCGAGCAACTCGGCGATATCCAACTCGCAATAGCGGTAGCTAGGGTTTACGGTGGAGACGAAAGCCTAGTTTTCCAAAAACTATTAGAAAATGAAATTCTCCCGCAAGCTGCTCGAGAAGGCGACCGGTGGCTGGCATCATGGGCATTTTGGATGCTTGGCCGGAGGGATATGGCGGTGCGCGCATTGATTGTCTGTAACATCGAGCCCCTGACGATGTTATGTGAATAGCGCTGGGTCGCTGCTGCTGACATCCTATTCTCTAGACTCCTGTTTACCACCTCCTCGGTAACTTTCAGATACCCGACATCCAGTCTCAAATTTTCTTGACGGACGACCCAGCGCTTGTGGTTATGTATTCTCACCTACGACAACAGACATTGCAAACACTCCATGGTGCCTCGCAAGTCTCTCCTCGTACTGAGTGGGAATTTGTGCTTCATAGCGCCAGGATATATGACCGTATGGGTTGTGACCTTCTTGGCCTAGATCTTGGTGAGTTCGTCTACGACTTAAAGTCGGCTCTGGGCCAACGAACTAACGTTGAGGTAGTTCGGAATTGGCATTTCCTACGTCATTCAAGCGGTCTGTCTGCAATTTTGGAAAAGAGCGCTAGCCCCTCTGCCCTCCTTAGACGGAGAAGTTCTGTTGTCATCGCCGATATGACTCTAGGGAGCGGGCGGCAGAATAAGCCCCAAGCCCCAGAGACCACGGACGACACGCATAAAACACAATTAAGTCACAGAGAAGAGCCAGACGTCAACTCCTTCCTTGACTCCTTCGGGTTTTAGCTACTCGGCTTTGTCTTACCCTTACTAAACCCAGATTTCAAATCGTGAAAATTATTAGTCTATCCAGAAACAAGAGATCGTACCATTAGGAGATTCCGCTCGAAGGTGAGGATCCATATGCCTAGAATGACAGAGCATTCAACGCTGCTAGTGCTCAAGATAAAGTGCGGCACTGGTTGTGTTTTAGAAGTCCAACAAGGGGAATCTCCCGATATTGCTCCCTAACATATACCACAGGGGTTCCCGAAACTATAGAGTCTTGCAGGTATGCTTTCTTCGGGCTGGAGAAGATGAAGAATTTCTAAGAGATGCCGGATGTGATATGATTTTGAATCAACATGTAGAGAATCCAGGCTCATCTACCTCAGCAATACCGAGTTCGTTTGAATCAAAGCCATATCCCAACTAATACCAGCAACACCATGAGCATCCGACCGTGTAGTCTATCATGCACAAATACATACATAGATATTTATATAATAAATGTTACCGAGGCATATATGTACGAAGTATATACACCGGTTTTTGTTTCCTCCTCCGCAAAAACTTTATTGGAGAATCGTGAAGTTAAAATGAGAAAAAGGTACAAAAAGCTCGATAACGGCAGGATTCGAACCTACGAAGCCGAAGCTATGGGATTTTGTGGTAATTCAAGTCCCACCCATTAACCACTCTGGCACGTTACCTATTGCCGCTTTCCTTCACTGCAAGAATTCCTTAACAACTAATTGTGGGACTGCTCAGTGAAGTATTAGTCACCCAACCAGCAGAAGAAACTCCCACTCACTCAGTACTTAATACTCTAGAGCCTTTTGTCTCTCATTACTTTAAAACTGAAGCTCTCATTACTGAAACGTGCTACAATCGTGTAAGTGCGAGTTCCTGCGTTACACATTGCGATAACCCGACTTTATATATATATATATTTATCTATCTAGTTCCAGTAGGCACTTCAGACTAAAACTGTGGTGTCGAGTCCAGCCCCATCAGTGCGCGAACGGAGGTGCTGGCTGCGATGCCTCCTCACCCTCTCTACAAGGCCCACCCTGAATTTTATTTACAAATTTGTCTGAAATGTCGCTCGAAGAAGATGCCAACGCCCGGGAACATATCCCGCTATCGGCATCGCGTGGGCGGAGCCTCACTTTGCGAGGGATCCTAGTGGGTTTATCAGTTGGACTTGTTATCTGTTTCTCGAATATGTATTTCGGGCTGCAGACTGGGTGGTAAGTCATGATATTGCAGATAGTATCATAACTGGCCTGCTCATTGACTGTTTCTATCCTATGATGTAGGGTTTCTCCGATGACACTTCCTGCAAGTCTCCTAGGGTTTGGGGTGTTTAGGCTACTCTCAAACCACCTAGAATATCCGTTCACGCCCGTGGAAAACGTTCTCGTACAGACGGTCGCAGGTAGCATGGCTCTCATGCCTCTAGGTTGTGGGTTCGTTGGAGTTGTGTGTCTATCCTCATTACATACCTACCCTTAAGTGCACCCCATCCCGAAGCAAAAATCACTTGCTAATTGCCGCAGCTCCCTGCCATGAACTATCTGCTCTCCACTGAGGAGATGGGCCCCATACAGCTCAGCCGCTGGAAGCTCGTGATATGGTCTCTTGGACTTTGCTACTTTGGTGTTGTTTTTGCCGTTCCCCTGTAAGGTTAACCCAAAGCCTCCCCAGGCAAGCCCATACCTACATGTCTTTCTGAGCAGTTACTAATATACACAGGCGCCGACAAGTCATAATTCGCGAACGCCTGCCTTTCCCAAGCGGATTCAGCACGGCAGTGCTAATAGGGATTCTCCATGGCCAGGCACCGGAATCTAGTGCCTCAACCTCAAGTGATTTTACTTCTGGATCTTTCGCTAGTCTTGTACCGAAACGTGACCCATGTACCACAGCGACCGACTCGAGTCAACCTGCTCAAAACGATGCGCCTATGGCCCATCGTTGGGGAGAAAATATACGGCTTCTCCTGTTGTGTTTCACCTTGTCTGGCTTGTTCACGTTAACAACGTATTTTCACCCGGGTTTGCGCAACGTACCAATTTTCGGACATAGGGCGGCCGAGATATGGCTATGGACGTTAAATCCGAGTCCCGCTTATGTCGGGCAGGGCATAATCATGGGTCCTGAGACCACCCTTCACATGGCCCTTGGCGCGCTTATCGGCTGGGCGTTTCTCTCTCCTTTAGCGCGCCATCAGGGATGGGCACCCGGCCCAGTCGGGGATTGGGATACGGGGAGTAAGGGGTGGATAGTCTGGGTTTCGCTCTCTATCATGCTCTCAGATGCTATTGTTAGCCTAGGCTTCGTTTCCTCACGAATCTTACTAGGATCGGCGTTACTTAAACCTATGACATCTCGACTGAGGCCATCGATGAACACGGATGATACGTCGATACGTTATATGCGAGTGCCCGTTGACGATAACGAAAGCGCACAGACTGCGACGGCATCGACGTTTAGGGGCGACCATACTAGCGAGTCGGCGACTGCGCCATCGCTCGAAATCGATCGAGACGAAAACGAGGAGGGACTCGTTGACGCCCCAGCCGATCAACAGGTCTCCGATCGCGTTATATGGGTTGGCCTTTTCGCATCTATAATATTTTGTATTGTCAGTATTCATGTCGTGTTTGGTGATCTTATTCCAGCATACGCTACTGTCCTTGCTGTTGCTATGGCGCTCCTTTTAAGTGTCATGGGTGTTCGCGCTCTTGGCGAAACAGATCTGAACCCGGTTTCTGGTATCAGTAAATTGGCTCAGCTTTTCTTTGCCCTTGCAATCCCCGCCTCAAATAAGGCAACAATCCTCATCAACCTCATTTCTGGGGCCATAGTGAGTCCACTGTACCGTTTACTCAAGATATCTATAGGAGGGCATCCTACTAACATTTCGTAGTCAGAAGCTGTATGTATTTCTTGTGCAACCTCCACATATACGTATCCCACTTGAAGATTATACTGATATGGGGTTTGAGCGAATAAAGGGTGCACTCCAGGCAGGTGAGCTCATGCAGGATTTAAAGACTGGCCATCTCCTAGGCGCCGCACCTAAAGCACAATTCTGGGGCCAGATTATCGGTGCTACCGTTGGCGCCGTTGTGAGTGCTTTCATCTATCAACTTTACACATCGTGAGTCTCGCTCAGCAGCGTTGAAGTGAAACCAACTTGCCATCAGACCGGAGCTAATGGAACTAAAGAATATACCCAGTACCGGGTGATCTATTCCAGGTACCCACCGCCTACGTCTGGATATTTACAGCTAGGCTTGTAACTGGAAAGGGGCTGCCAACCATGGCGATGGAATGGGCTATTGGGGCTGGCCTATTATTCTCGGCCATTACTATATTAAGGACTCTTTGCCTTGGCAAGAAATGGCGCACTTTAATTCCTGGAGGCGTTGCAGTAGCCGTGGGCAAGTCTCCAACTTCCACCCTTCGGTGCTATGTTCTGATTTTCTTTACTGACTGCGGACCTTAGGCATGTATAATGTTCCCTCCTTTACTTTAGCAAGGACTCTTGGCGGAGTACTTTCTTGGTACTGGCAAACTGCCCGTGATAAACCTCGCACTCCATTGATCATCTTAGCATCGGTATTCGGCCCGCCTTCTTTCTCGTCTCATTTCTCGTCGCTAATACCTTATTCTAGGGTTTCATTCTTGGGGAGGGGTTTTTAGCATCGTTAACCTCATACTTGAAGGAGTTAGACGTGGTCGGAATTAAACTGGCTCTGAGGTCTGGGGTCCAGGTTCTTGACAATTGGTTTGGGGGATCGTACACCTTCTACATGCATCTTCTAGATCATCAACTGCCAATAGCGTATCGTTCCTAGATATTACAGTCTTGGGTTGACAAAAGTGAACGATCGCTCTCACAGCGCCGAGTTACGCTCCTTGGACATCCTCAGTCACGAACCTCATTCGAACTCTGTATCCTAGAAATTTCGTATTACATCGCCTTGTGTAATCTCAAGTAACCTCTAGAGAGGTGAGATATTGAAAAGTAGCAGTTGGACAAGTCGGATCTGACGCAGCCTTACTCGGTCGTTACTTTGATCCAGTGACCGTAGCCTATGAGCCTTTAAACTAGGTCGATGCTATGGTATATGACAATGTCTAAGCTAATCTTATGGGCCAAGTTGTTCGATTTCTGTACTATAGCTCGTCCCTGGGGACCAAGACAATTCAATGTTCTTCATAGAAAGGCCAGCTAGACACGGCGGGCTGTTTCGGTCACTGGAGCCTCCAAATCCTAGACTGAGGATTGCGACTCGAGATTGTCCAGCTGGCCTCAATCGACAAGGCCCTAGAGTCGGTTGCAAGCGCTGCGAACTTCGTCTCCCCACGATACGAGCCCCGGCCTCGATATTTGACTCGTATCCAACCGGTGGCATAAGTAGCAGCCCTTGTTTCCAATGAGTCTCAATCCCATCCGGCCCTGTTGTAAAGGCAACTCGAGCTTCATCGCTAGATTTCCATGCTTTGGCGGATGAAGAAAGCGATGTGGTCGGATCATATTGAGATCGTGTGAAGAATATATCGAACCAAATGAGAAACCCGTCTAGCCTCTCAACATCGCGGCTGAATTGGGAGGTCCATTGCTTGGTAAAATTCAACTCTTCCACCTTGACTTCATGCAATTGAAGTTCAGCCAAGACGAAGGGCTCACCACAAAGAGATGTTGGGGGCAGAGTTTGAACTATAGCTTCGTCGAACATTCCCTCTTGCATGGCCTTCATCTTGAAGCCATATACATCGTCCCAAAATGATACATTATCGGTGATATAGTCATCATCAGATACGGGAGCCGCCCAAATGGTTGCAACGCTAGGAACAAGTAGGCCGTCGGGTTTAAGATACTTATCGCGGGCCCATAGAACACTCGGCAGCATGGCCTCATATAGAAGACAATACCCCATCCACTCACTTATGATCACATCTACCTCTGCGACTGGAAGGACAACATCTTCTATCCGCCCGGATATAAGCGTGATCACGTCAGAAAGTTCATTGTCAACTACGTTCTGACGTGCCTTTTCAATGATTGTAGAGTTATCGACGGCGATAACCTGTTTTGCCCCAGCCCGAGCACAGAACATGCTCAGTATTCCTAGATTTTCGTTTAGCAATGTTCAAGCTCTATAGTAGATATTGTCGATGAAGAGATGACCCTGGACATACCGGTGCCGCAACCAATATCAAGGATAACCTTGCCGGAAAAAGGTCCTTATTGCCGTAAACAAAATCTCTGTATGCATCGGTTCGGACAGCATCCTTCAACATAGTTTCATGGATATCTAATCCGTATGAGATAAGTTCAGTTCTTTTGCAATCCGGAGAATAACGCACCTCGGCCAGCATACGACTCCCAATAGTCCGTGTCGACGGTGTCTTGACGCTGACGGCGAGCGTTCCTCCTAATGTCTTCTGAAGGGGGTGCAATATCGGACCCCCATCGGCGATCAAGGGTCTCAGCTACTGTCAGCCTGTAACTTTGGAATTGCTCTTGGAGCTGGCCCAATTCCTCCTCTAACAACTTATTTCGTTGGGCTAGTCCATCTACACTCGGATGAGGGTGGTCGGATGGAGCCTCCACGAGCTCTTCTAGCAGCTCGCCCAGCTGGATAATAAGTCCATCGTCATCAAGCGCTGGCTTTAAGAGGTCATCGCTCTCGATATGCTGGTGTGAAATGATGTCAGGCAATTGCTGCTTCGAACGAACACAGCCCCGAACTGATAGATATATGGCGCGTTAGAGCCTGATCTTAGTCGAGTTTTACAGAGGAGGTCGTAAGAGACGAGATTCGCAAAAATATATCATACCGAAATTGCATAGCTTCACAGCTCCAAGGAAGTCAAGGCCGAGGCGCCGCCGTGTCTCCAGAAAGTCAAACCCATATTGGTCGCGGCAGTAATCCAGCATCGAGCGGGCATCCGAGAAAGTAGTATCATCAAAAAGTGAAACGACTAATACATCCTCACCGTCCGGCTCGATATCTTGCCACCCTTCTTCAGAAGATGTAGAAGAGTATGCTATGGACATGGTTGGAGTAGGATCCATGGAAACTTGGATATAGCCGTGCACCTAAATAATGCGTGATGAGGGACCTGAGGTAAGTACGCTGGATCTGGTCTAAACTGGATCCAACAGTAGGGGTGCGACAAAAGGTGAAATTCGGATTCTGGGAGGAAATTTTTCCCCCAAATGTTTTCGAGGTTTCTTTTTGTTGGGTTCGAGATTAGAAAAACCTAACCACTGGGGCAATGTTCGCCGATGAGGTAAGTCCACACACGAACTAATACTACGAAGTAAGTGGGTGGGTGAGCCACTGTAATGCTGGGGATCAAATATCAATTGTGGGGGTGGGTTTGGAGTGGGAAAGCTAGGCCATGGAGTGTGTGTACTTTCGACGGCTTACCTTTCCTATCGGAATGTGACCAAGGCGGCTTCGAAACGGAGGCGGGGTTCCATGAATGATGCTTGTGGGGGAAGTAGGAATTATTGATGGAAATGATTAGATTCAATTGTGTAGATTCCCTTCGTAACGACGATTATACGTGTGCAACTACTGTCTACTCATCATCACCTTCGTCATCTTCGTCGGCGACTTCCTCGCCAATATCTGAAACTTCTTCACCAAGCTCAATCAAGCGAGCTTTATACTTATTGAGGTTCTCTTCAGTGTCACCTAAAACCATTAGGAGGTCATCGAGCTCGCTTTGCAGTGTAGCCTTTGCTGCGACAGCTGAGCTAGTAAGTGCCTCCACCTGTACGAAGTTAGCCTCTGTCTTAGCCTGTAACTTCGGGCAATCTCACCCTTTTACGCTCCTCACGTTCGGCTTCGATATCGGATTTCAATTTCTCGATTTGGATTACGGCTTGGTCTAATGCAAGACTCTTGTCGGCAAGACGCTTTGCTTGCGTTTCTCGCAAGGCTTGAATTTCCTGGGCATTGACTTTGGTTGTCTGCTTCAAGATTAGTATGTCATCAGAAAGTCTTCAATCATGGGCTTCGCCTCACCCGTAATAGATCCACTTCTAGCCGGCTTATGGCTGCGCGCAGGTCAGCAATTTCCGCTTCGGCTCGACGGCGGTGCCGCTCGGTTTCAACGTCTGCCAAGTGTCGAAGTTGTTCTATCTGTCGCTTATGTTCGTCTTCCATGCGTTGCTGAGCGAGTCGTAGCTGTCTGTTACAAGTCAGGTTAGCTTGCCTTGCTCAAGGACCTTGGAAAAGTCAAGTGCATACCGCATTTCTTCGTCATAGCCTTGTCTCGAAATCGCAGCCTCGCGTCTGTATTTCTCGTGTTCCGTTTGGTGTTCGGCATCAAGCCTCCTATTGGACACATACGCATTAGTCGGTCTCTATTTAGCTAGTGATGCAAGATATGATGAAGATCTGCGGAGAGAGTCTGGCCAACATACTGGAGCGCAGCCTCGTGCTCTTTCCGGAGTCTTTGATCAGTATTTCTGAGCTTAGTCAAATCTTCCGCAGCCGCTTTCCGCGACGCTTCATGGCTTTGTTTCTCGAGGGAAAGTGAGCTCCTGAGCAGCTCTAAGGCTGAGCGTGAATCTTCTAGCGCGTTGTCCCGTTCTAGGAGCTGTTTTCTTAAAGAGTCAACAAGCCCCGAGAAACGCCCCTCTCTACGCTATTGCCAATTGTTGGGGTTTCTAGATCGGGATCCCTGTCGATGGCTCGGGAAATTGTACTATAATTGTCTTTGAGCAGTTCCACAAAGGCGCTGTCAAAGAAAACGTCGGGAAGCTTGCTTGTGATTGAGCCGTCCAGCTTCTGGGCCGTGATTTCAAAGTCACGGATAAGATGATGGGCTCGAAGTCTCGTTAGCCGCTCAAGATACTTATCCCGACCCATGGTTGTCAATAGGATGTGCTGGAGAGTTGCTCTTGGAACAGGGGAGTCTTTCGTCGAAAACTCGTATATAACGCCAAGCAAAAATGCACAAAGACCCTGGACGATATCATACTCACGGCCTGGATATTTCATAACAGAGTGTATCAAGGCTTGTACATGACTGCCTTCACTAAGGAAGTCATCCACACTGGAGCGATCGTCAAAAGCCAGCCGATGAGCAGCATTAGGTATGCGACTAGAACGCGGGGATCATCGCCGCGGGCTAATCCACAAGCAAGATGTGAGCCAATCGCTTGCAGACTCGTGACAACCTCCTCACCGTCCGCTGTGTCCCCGTCAGTCACCGACAAGGCGGTGGCTTTAGCGGCTGGGTCATTATATAAGAGATGAAACATGATTAGGGCCGCAAACCAGGTTGCGTAGGGGTCTGAGGATACTTGGTTGGGTAAGGTGTTGAGAAGAAGCGTGAGGATATTGCCAGTTTCATTCCGGTCTGCTTCGTGGCCTTCAACCGCTCGGGATAGAAAATGTCGACGTATTTCCGTATGAAGGTAGAAGTAGGCCTTGATACATTCAAAGGCCGCCATACGCAGGTTGAATTCGGGAGATGGGTGCCCTTCTAGGGTTAAATCTAGTAGTCCGTCAATCACATAGACTAGGTCTCCCCCACTTCCATTCTTCTGCGCAGTGTCACGAGCATCGGGAGAAGGGGTAGACACAGTAAGTTGCGCAAATTTTCCTTGTATGTCTGCATTTCCCCGGATCATATCCGCGCATGCAGCGAGTGCCTAGGCCAGTGAAATAAGCTTCCATCGATATGTGGTGCAGATTGTTGAAGAATGGTTGACTACGCACCTCCGCACGAATCTGACCTTCTGCCAGATACTGAAACCCTAACTGTAGAGCGTGGTTAAGTACCTTTGTTTTCCAGAAGGTGGCCTGGTTTTGAGCGAGTATCGACCCCGGGGCAAGAAAAAGACGTATGACAGATAATAAAGCATAGATATTTCGGCTTCTCTGCTCCTGGGCCCACGTAGCCAACTCCTCCTGGCCACCGAGAGTACTTGCACTTTCGAGAAGAAAAGCTAGCTTGACAACGCAGCCCGATTCTCGAAACAGGGACTGGTTGGATTGGTTTTGACGGAGAAGGTTTGCAAGCAAGATCAAACAATCCTCTACTGTCTGACCACCCTCTAACAAAGAACCCTCAAGGGTTATAATTGCAAATATGCGTTCGAACGCATTTTCAAAAGCGACAAGTTTTTGTATTTCTAATGAGGTTGGGGTGAGATATATCAACAGCCCGAGAGCCTCGTTCCGCACTACCTCGCGCTGGTCGTCGAGAAGTTGAACGAGGGTTGAGATACCAAGAGGGGCCGAAAGTATGCATTCTTCCGTTCTTTCAACACGAGCTGATAGAATGGCGCCCAGAAGTTGGAGGATATAGAGCCTGAAGTAGAAATCAGTAGTCTGAAGAAACCCAAGAAGGAGAGCGATGTTTTCTTGTCGCTGTGTAAATTCGTCGGCAAGCCAGAGGACAATCTCTTCCGAAGCCTCGGGGCTGTCTTCGCTTGGCCTGAACAACATTAAAAGAGTCTCTAGGACTACCTTCACCGTGTCTACATCCTCTCCATCTTTTGAAAGACACCCGATTAAGCTCCGAAGGGCGCCAGATGCCACCGACGCCGGGTAATCTTTCGCAAAGCTGCGTAGCCCTAATATGGCTGCACGTCGGTCCTCAAGCAATGTTGCTGAACTTAAGCGGCCACTAAGGATAGTGATGGTCTCACTAACAGACTGCTTAGCAGGTGTAGATGGCAGTGAAAACATGATGCCGTCTACAAGCTGTGTGATGTTGAAGACCTCAGCTGACTTATAAAATGCCTGTCCTTGACTAATGATGACGCATATTAAGGGGAGCTCGGGTTATATCGCTGAATGTATCAGATTCGGGGAGAGGAGTGACACAGAGGCCGAGGTCGTCAAAGGTTGAGTCGAAGGTTTAACAGCTTGCGATTGTTATTAAAAGCAAGATCTTTCGCGGCGATGCGATCTTGAGGCTCAGCTCCAAGAACTCCCCGTTAATTAGATAAATGCTTCGTCCGTGGGCATGCAATCTCATCATTGCTCGGAATGGTTCTATAACTTCAACGTTGCCCGCCCCACATGGCTGGATATGCTATCACCGCGGACGGAACTTAGGCCCGAAATTATGGCACGTGACACCGCCTCAGTTCAAGTTCAAATGAGCCTACATGTCGTCCATCGTCCCGGGTCATCTCTTCACGTCCGACAAATTCTCAACCTGCGACAACCGTGAAAGAGTATAAGCCGACACACAGCGACAAGTAGTGTGAAGTGGATCATAATAATAAACAAGCATGGCTAGCGAGTGAAATTCATCATACCAATAACGCAGTCGCCGACAGCTTCAACTCAGTTAGTTTCGACCTCTTCTAAATCAACTTTGCCGAGCCATTCCGCCTCGCCCTCCCTAAAATCAAGGATCCCTCAAGCCTCGCGATGGGTATCCCCGCAGCTTTTCGTTGGTTGAGCAAAAGTATCCCAAAATTATTTCTCCAGTAATTGAAGATGTGCCGAAATCTTTTGATGACGGCACAGTCATTCCTGTGGACGCGACGCAACCGAACCCAAACGGCGAAGAGTTTGACAACCTGTACCTTGATATGAATGGAATCGTTCATCCCTGTTCTCATCCTGAAGACCGCCCTGCGCCTAGAGACGAGGAGGAGATGATGCTAGAGATCTTTAAGTACACAGACCGAGTCGTTAATATGGTTCGACCCCGCAAGGTGCTTGTCATTGCCGTCGGTATGTTTGCTCCCGTCGCAATCTAGAATACTAATCGACTAATTTAAGAAGACGGCGTTGCTCCTCGAGCAAAGATGAACCAGCAGCGATCACGGAGATTCCGCTCGGCTCAAGAAGCTAAAGAAAAGGAAGCAGCCAAAGCAGAACTTCGAACCCTTCTCCAGCAACAAGGCAGCGATACCGCGATTACATCTTCAGAGGACGCTGTGAAAAAGGCCTTCGATTCGAACTCAATCACGCCTGGCACACCATTCATGGATATCCTCGCTACCAGTCTTCGTTACTGGTGTGCATACAAGCTCAACACAGATGCAGCCTGGGCGAATCTAAAAGTCATAATCTCCGACGCCACAGTACCGGGCGAGGGCGAGCACAAGATTATGGACTTCGTGCGGTCTCAGAGAGCATGTCCAGATTACGACCCTAATACCCGCCACGTCATTTATGGCCTCGATGCCGACTTGATTATGCTAGCCTTAGCTACACATGAACCTCATTTTCGTGTACTTCGTGAAGACGTGTTCTTCCAAGAAGCGCAGACTCGCTTGTGCAAACTTTGCGGGCAAACAGGCCACGATGCATACCACTGTAAAGGCGAAGTAAAACAAAAAATCGGCGAGTTCGATGAGAAAGAGGGCCAAAGCCGTCTCAAACCTTTCATTTGGCTCCACATCGCAGCTTTGAGGGAGTACCTTGCAGTCGAGCTTTACATTCCCAATCTACCCTTTCGGTTTGACCTTGAACGGGTCATTGATGACTGGATTTTTCTTTGCTGTTTTGTGGGCAACGACTTTTTACCCCACCTTCCAGCGCTCGAAATCAGGGAAAACGGCATCCAGACCTTAACCGCAATATGGAGGGACAACCTACCGTATATGGGGGCTATGTCACGCGGGATGGTCATATTGACCTCGGCCGTGCCCAGGTCATCATGGACGGTCTCGCAAAACAAGAAGATGCCATCTTTAAGCGGAGGAAGCAACAAGAAGATAGGCGTGAGGCAAATGCAAAGCGGAGGAAGCTACAGGATCAAGGATCAAACAAACTTGTGCTTCAAGAACCGAAGGCGAAGCGACACAATGTTGATACCGCACCATCAGGCCTTACATCTCTTCAGCCAATCTCCAATTATTCACGAGGCCACGCTCTAAACCATGATTCAATCATTACTCAGAAAAGCGCCACCGATGCGAGCATTGCGAATCGAAGTGCGGCTAGCGTTTTGAAAGACATGATAACCTCTAAACCGCCTCCGCCCACTAGTTCGCCTCCACCTCCTGGCCCACCCCATGACACAACATCGGAATTTTCAACGCCCAAAACCTCGAATTCTAGCCTAAGAAAACGTAATGCAGACGCTGCATTCGAGGAGCCGTCTCCCACCACTCCGAACATAGGATCAATCGATACCGGCTCGCGACCCGTGCCCCCTCCTCTCGAGGGCCCAGTGGATACTGTGCGGCTCTGGGAAGAGGGATACGCAGACCGGTACTACGAGCAAAAATTTCAAGCTAGTCCTCGCGATGTAGCCTTCCGGAACAAAGTCGCCCAGGCATACGTTGAGGGACTTTCGTGGGTTCTTTTATACTATTTCCAGGGTTGTCCCTCATGGGATTGGTATTACCCTTATCATTATGCCCCATTCGCGAAAGATTTTGTTGGGCTTGATAAGATGAAGATCCACTTCGAGAAAGGACGTATATCAAGACCTTTCGAGCAACTTATGAGTGTTCTTCCCGCAGCCTCTCGCCATGCAATCCCAGTTATATTCCATGATCTAATGACGAACGAGGATAGCGAGATCATTGACTTCTATCCCGAAGAGTTTGAAATCGACTTGAATGGAAAGAAAATGGCGTGGCAAGGCGTAGCACTGCTACCCTTCATTGAAATGCCTAGACTTCTGACTGCTGTTGAGCAGAGATATCCCCTGCTAAGTCCCGAGGACGCAGACCGTAACAAACTTGGCAAGGTCGTTCTCCTTCTCTCCGATGCAAACTCTAGCCTATACAGCGACATCACAAGTCATTTTTACACCAAAAACGCGACACCCCTAATTTCGATCTCGACCCTAGGATCAGCGGAGGGTTGGCAGGCAGAGTCGAGAAACTGGACGATTACCTCCCGCATGGCTGTCTCGAATACCCATTGCAACGCAAGGCAATGCCGAGCCTCGAATATGATCGCTCACTAGTGTACGTTCTACCTTTGCAATTTCTCACATACAGGCGCTAGCTCTAACTTAACTTAGTGTCGGATATGAGTTATCGCACTCCGCGCAGAGTCATAAATCTATGCTACTACGCGGGGTCGAAATGCCTAAACCTTACCTTAATCGTGGTGATATTGAAACCCTCAAAGGACACTCGACACCGCTGGACGCAGCTACGGAGGTGCCCCGTTAGGCAGGGGCGGGTATGAATCAAGAGGCCATCGCGACCGCATCAACTACGGTCCGGGTAGAGATCCACGCAACAATAACTTCGCACCTCAAGAGTCACGCAACACCTTCAGCAGTGAGTTTGCGGATCGTTATAGCGGCCACCACCACCAGTCTTCTAGATCTCAGTATCGTAGGGCGCCCGCTCCAGGACACCCAGGATTCGGGATGGGGTTGCCACCAACACCGCCGCCGTATACCGGCGATAATCGATGGGCAAGACATCAGTATGCTGCCAACTATGTGGATGCTCCCTCATGGAATCACGAGCAACGTCAACAACCTCCTCCGGGTACAGACCGTGGAGGCTTCCATAGCCACCACTCCGGAAGTCGCGGTAATTATCGGGGCTCTAGCAGCAGTGGCCGCAGGTATTAAAAGGCTTAAGAGACTGTGGTTTCAGGTTACCGCAACCAACTGTTTGACCAGAGGCAAACCTTACTCTCTTAGTTCAACCGTGTCCTCCACGATGCTGATAGCTCGCTATTCCTAGAAATCTCAGTGTCCACGTAGGTAGCAAAATCAGAAAAAAATGTCTAAAACTATTATCATCGTAGGAGCCATGTAATAAACATAGATAACGCTGGTAAGGAAACCCATGCAGCGGTCTACGTCAAGTGAATCCATGATGTTCATTGCCACTCTCGGGCATGTGTTCAAAATGTCCGTAAAAGGTTTATGTCCTCAGATCGACAAAGCTGAAAGTTATAATTCCATGGCCATGTCCCTGCTACATATGTGTCGATCGGGTTTTCGAAATCAATTCCAGTCAAAGATTTGAAAGAAAAGGGGAAAACCCCTCGATGACTATTCTGATCCGTATCCGCTAGATAATATTCCTCTTGCTCAAGTTATGACTGAACATTTGTGAGGCGGCGATTGGAGATCTGTGTTACCCTTGCCATTACCATTTGACAACAGCCGGCCCCCAAAGCTTCGAACTTACGCCCACTCCCTATCATTAGACCGCACATGAATACACTCCCCACAACAATCTAAGATCTCGATCAGATACCTCTGTATTATTTTCTATTACTGAAGTCGAAGTTACCATCCGGATATGGTGTCTAGCAATGGAGACGCAGTCCTCATTGCCTGCCTCATTGACCGACTTGTCACCAGGGTATCTGTGCTTCACCCCACCCACCCCATGCTGAACCGGAACAGCACAACTAACAGTTCGATCGTCATCCTTAGCTTCCACATCGAACTGGCACAAATGGCCAAGACTTGCTTCAGGATGATCTAGTATCCCTCTCCAGGTCCACTGCGATTCGAGTCAGCACAGGAAATCTCCCCTAGTACTAGAATCCATATTACCCCATATCGAGGATCTCACAACATCTTATAACTCGATCAGCAAGCATCCACCCCATGTACTGCTTTCGGTGCGGTTCCTTCTTTCCCTCGCAGCCGATTGCTGTTCAATTCATTGGGGGTCAAACCATCCCAAATCTGACAGTCTAATAAGTGGCGAAGATGACAACGCCGCATCTCGATCGAGGGATAGCTCTACCGTTGACCCATCGCCTCTGGGCGACGGTATAGTTGTACGATTTCTAGATGTCTTACGGTGCCTACTTGACCCCCTACCTGAGGGATTCATTCTTCCCACTCGCATGATTCTTGAAGATACAATGCCAAGGGATCCCGAGTCTGGGGTGGCCCCTTTAATATTCACAACTACCAAAGGACACGGGCATTCTGCGCAACTCGATACTGAATCATCACAGATTGAGGCAGACATCAGAGTTATCGTAGAATATATAACCTCGTCGAATTGGTCGTCCTCATTTGAGTATTTCAGGAAAGTCCTCTACATCCTCCGGCCTGCTGCACCACAATCTCAGATAAATCAGGCGCAGCCGCTCTTGATAAGCGATGAAGAAAGTCATGCGTTAGCCTTCCTACGCCTGCTGGCCTTTTTCTGGGTCAATGGCCAAAAGCTGGGCTTGATCCTACAAGAAATTTGCTCCAGTTTCCTGCACTTTAGGAAACAGTTTCAGAATAACGTCTCCCTCACTACATCGCTGCTGATCACGCGGTGGATTGATCGTTTTCAAGTTCGTTTGTAGAGCTCCACAACCAGCGCAAGCGACTTGATGGTGGTGCGGATACAATCTTCGATATGACCCAGGCTGCTATCGACAATGGAAGAAGAAAAGCAGTAATCTACCCATTGCAAACAGCTCTTTTATTCTTGATACCGGACGTCTTCGAGGTTGCGAGCAATCTACGCCAAGTTAAGAGCACTAGCATGTCGAAGAAGGTCGCCTTTCTTGATGCGCTTAGGAAGTCACTTCGCAACAGAAACGAACATGCCTGCTACTGCTTAGTGTCGTTATTGCGAGTTGCACGGCATTTTGACGCGGAAAGCGATGCCGCATTAATGGGCTTCGCCATGGATGTCCAGGATGAGGTCCGAGACGCAGTATTCCGACGCTTCCCAGCGGGTGTGGATGCTCCAATCTTCGAACAAGACATGATGACCGCTGCTTTCGTAAGTATATCTCAGCTTAATCTCGATAGCTCTGTAGACTCCCTTATCCAGGCATGCCTAGCCCCATCCGCGCCCCTTAGCTTTAAAAAGCTGTCGTTCAAGGCTGCTATTACTTCGCCAAACAAAATAACTCAGCAAAATACGAGCAAATATTCGCTGCCGCAGGGCCCTTCATGCAGAAGCAGCTGGAGGTAAGTACACATACCCGTGTGACCATCATGTATTCTTACTGCCAAACAGGTTGCTGCTACGTTCGACCCCTCTAGCCCACAAGGTCGGCAAGCGAGTCCAGCCACATCAGAGATTAACCCCTCAGTAGCGATCGCCTGTGATATATTGCGCTTTCTAGACACATGCCCAAGCTTGCTATTCGAGGCCGCTAGTCAAGACATTGAGGATCTTGCAGACAGTCATATCTTTGAGTGGTTCCTACTCTGCATGACGTCTCCCGATGATGAGATCTTGCGCCAGACTTGCAACGTCGTCAGGCGATTATTTTCCAACCCTTCTACAGCAGACAAATTAAAGGTTTTACAGAGATCTAGGTCGCTAGCTTTGAAAGAGGAGTTTTGGGGGCGTAGGTTTGTCTACCTGTGAAATCTCCGGGTAGTCTGATGTAGTCTCTAACCCCGTCGAGCAGCACCTTGATACTTTCTTCCATGGCCAATAAGATCGCACATAACCCAAGTAACTCAGGACTCTCTGATATCAAAAACTATCTCGAGGCCCGGGTATTGCTCTTGACATCAATTCCAGTAAGCTAGATATGTGTCATTTCTTTTACATTTTCAGGCACTCAATGTTTTTAGGAGCCGGCGCGTCTACACGATGAGATCAACGACTTGTCTTCAGTTGCTTCCAAGGTCGAAACGGCCCTTCTTGTGTCTCTATGCTCAGCGGACCTCGAGACTTGCGAACAAGTTACTACCTGCATCCGATACTTTCTTCGAGAGTGCACTATTCTTGAGACCTCGTTGACCTCGGCAAAACAAGTTGCAAGTATGCTCCGGAACTCTGTAGTATTCCATGAGCTGGCCTCTCGAGACTTTCGTCTAACAGGCCTAGTCGCCTTCCAAAAGCGCGTGAGGAGCCTACTACGTCGCCTGCAATATCCGACAAGTGGAATTTTGTATGCATGGGAGCTAGCATTCGAAAAATGGGTCACACTTTCGAGGGAGATATCGACGTCTTTGTCGATTTCTTTAGAGAGCCAAACCCTTGCTGAGTGGCGCAACTTTTCGGGATTCTTAGCATCCTTGGGCGGGATCTGCACAACAGCCCAAGCAACCTCGCTAGAGGAGCCGACAATCAGCGGCTTACGTTGGATTGATAGGCTGTCCTCTGAGAACCACGAAGAGCCTCTCCTCACAAGGTACCTAAGGCTCAGCATCCGCCTGTTAGCGTGCTCGGACGTACGCGTTCGTGAGGCGACTCGGGAAATTCTTACAACTGAAGTTTCTCCCGCCCTATTTCAACCTCTCTTTCGGGCCCTAGAATCTGAGCTTGAGATCCTCTTCGCAGGCAGTCTTGCCTTATCAGAGAGTGGACGTGACATAGAAGTGATTTTTGCGGAACAAACTGCATCCCTTTTACGAGGACTTATCGAACGGCTAGATACACCCGCCGATCTTGGGGCCGCTTCTTCTGTCCACCTTGGGGCTCTAACTCTTGATTTCGCGAGGTTTCTTGATTCATTAAATGAAACCACAGCTGTACAGAGGGTGAAGATAAAAGTCTGCCATCTGTGCGAAGCCGTCACAAAGAGAAAAGAATATCTCAATCTACGAGACGACGTTAGGATCCGTAACCAGCTCCTCGAGTCGATATTTGGTTGGTTAGCAGACCCTCGAGGTACACGCCACGATACCGGGTCGCAAGTCCGCCCTGACGAGTCCCTCCGGATCCAAAGAGACTTAGATAAAGCATGTCTCCGTGCCTTGGCTGAACTAACATTACGATTACCTCTTCAACCAGCAGAGGGCCAGAGTGATGCTGGCGCGAGCGAACTAAAATCTCAGATGTTTCTTCAATATTTTACACGCTTCTTGTCCCTTTTAAACCACGAAACGTCGGAACTAGGGACAAAAGAAATTCCTCAGCCCGTGGTTGCCCTCCGTGATGAGGGTGGCTCAACTCCGGAGCTTACTATCATTATTCTATCTAATCTTCTCAGTGCCAATATAGATGTTGGACTGAAACATTCGCTCAATATAGGCTATCATGAGAATATCGAAATACGGACGGCGTTTGTTAAGGTCCTGTACAATATTCTCATTCAAGGCACTGAGTTCGGCAATCTAAGCGATACGGTGGTAAGCGAGAAATACGAAGAGCTACTAGAGGTAAGTACAACCTCAACCTGTACAGCAATGACGGCGGCCTATCATTGACATCCCTCAACAGCTTCTTACAAGGGACGTACCGCTAGCAGCAGCAATGGGGGCAGTTTGCCCGAGTAGCGAGGTTGATGAACTTACTGTTTCTCTCCTAACCATATTCGAACAGCGTGGCCTGAGTTTCCATCTGCTCGAGGCCCTTGTTAAACATGAGGTTGACAACACTGGTACGTATCTCTTTCTTTCAAGACCACACTCCAGAACAAAACTAATAACACCCTTCCTTGGTTTAGAAAATGAATCAGAGCTGCTTCGCCGCAACTGTGTGGCTACGAAAATGCTGTCCATATATGCAAAATGGAAAGGTGCATCCTACTTAAAGTCAACACTGCAAAAGGTTGTTGAGCGTTTGATGCTAACTTCAAACGACCTTGACCTCGAACTCGATCCTGCGCGGGTGAGTTCACCAGACGAACTTCAAAAACGCTCTCCAGCTACGAATCGTAGCCAAAGTATTCATCGATGACATCTGTTCCTCGACCGCCAATATGCCCCCTCATTCCGGAAAATATGTAGCATCGTGAGACGACCAATTGATTCCCTCTATGTGACTTGCCCGCTCACATAGTAACTATAGATTTCTACGGCGGTGCTTCCGCGTTTCCAAGAAGCTAAATACACTGCAGTGGGCGCTTTCATATTCTTAAGATTTTTCTGCCCTGCAATTGTTGCTCCAGAAGTCGAGGGGCTCGTTACAACAACCCCATCAAAGGAGATGCGTCGAGGACTTCTACTTATTGCCAAAGTAATTCAAAACCTAGCAAACAACGTTCTCTTTGGAGCAAAAGAACCATATATGTTTTCTCTCAACGATTTTCTCACGCAAAATATATATAAAGTCACAACGTTTCTCCGTGAAATCTCGGTAAGTCAAGGAAGGTATCTATCTCTAGCTACTTGTTCCGCGAGCCCTAACTATCTCCAAGGTGCCACCCTCTCATCCTGAAAAACATGCGGAAGTAGAATCGTTCGACTTCGGGTCCTGCGTCTCGATACACCGCTTTCTGTATGATCATTGGGACCATGTTCAGCAACGACTCACTTCGCTAGAGAGAAGAGAATACGTTCGTTCTCCCGGGGATGCTTCTCGAGGTCGTTCTCCCGTCCTTGAGCCGTTGAGAAATCTTATCACAAATTTGGGACCTCCACCTCTTGCAGTAACGTGGAACCGCCCACAAATCTCCGCAAACACCCTCCCTATCTACTCTAGGTTCCAAAATTTCATGTTGCGCAATGCCTCCCGTGGTATGGAGTCATTTCTGACCGCCAGGGCTGTATATGACGGCGGGGAAAGCAAGGTACGCACAAAAACCCTTCGTCTTATTACCCATTCATGAACCACAAACTAACTTAATCCCAGGACGGCCTTTCCATCGTGTGCGTCATCCTACGGCATATTGATGCCGAAAATATAGACTACGATACCATACTATATTGCTACCTTAAGGTTCGCGGCCTAAGCCAAGTTCCACCTCTTTATGTCTTAATTCAACTAGCTTACGACTAATGTATTGGTAGATTGCCAGTCGCTTGTGGCAGCGCCCCTTTGGACTCCTTATTGACGCAACATGTTACGGAGGCAATACAGAGCCGCAGGACGATCTATTCAAAAAGCTTGAACTTCTAGCGCCTACCGAACTATCGCGCTCACTCTCCCGCGTATATGTCTACAACATGAACAATGCCTTTCGGTAGGTTTCAATATATCTGACTGGGTACTTTTCACCCTGTTGGCCCAATAATCTTTTGACAATAGTTTTATTACTAGTAAATGCTTCAGGAGGATGCTTCGTGTCTCTTCGAAAAGCAGCAATAGTCTTTTCCATCCTAAGAATGTCGAGTACCATCTAGTTGGCAGCCTTCAAGAGCTACAAACCCACTTTCATCTGAGCCAGCTCAACTTACCCCCTGAAACAATCAGCGTCGTCACAGACACAAGATATGTCTTCCAACCAATAACGAGGTTGTCTAAAACGAAAGGGAAAATAGAGGTCATCATCAAGGTCGGCAGTCAGTTTGTCCAGGTAACAACGGCTAACACAACGGAAGTATTCCCGGGCTTTCGTCTTTACACCACAGTGAACGATATTTTCAGACTCGGCGATATCGACGAAGCTCAGACTTCGATTCAGACGGAAGACGACTCCGCCTTCGGTCTCCGCGCAGACAACGGAAAGATCATCATGTACTTCACGAGCCCCCAAAAGATTGATATTCTCCAAAGCATCAGGGCAGCCAAGGCAAAATATGGAAAGGATAATCGCTCCCACAAAGCCCTGGATCGGCTCATCCGCCCGCAGGATGTACCAGGCACGCTGCTCAATTTAGCATTTGCCAATGTTTCAAGCCCAAACAGCGCACTACGCTGTTCATCGTACAATCTACTGGGGGCATTATGCAGAGCATTCAACTTTAATTCTGCCTCCAGGTTGATGTGTAGTAAAGGTACACTGCTCACTTTAGCCTTGTGTCCAAAAATAGATCGAACTAACAAACTACAATCCAGCGTTATGCATTCCATCCGACCCATCCGCCTTTGTTATCAGCATGAGCGAGCATCTGGCGCGCACAGAGCCACAACTCACATATGACTTCTTGACAGAATTTTTCGTTGGTTGGGACAGCTTCTCGGATGACCAGAAGCCGTTCAGCCTCAGTTATATGGCTCCTTGGCTCACAGGCCTGAGAACCTTTGTCTTGGTAGCAGAAACGGATGCGGAGAAAGGCCGCGATAAAATTGCTGTTATCTTTCGGAAACTCATCGAAGTGATCTTAGCCGATCACTCTCAAGCCTACATAATTGGCCAGGCCGTATGGTCCGTCATCTCCACAGACGACCTACTCTCAGAGATCCTCCTCGATGAACTGGTCAAGATGGATGTTCCATTCCGCCCCCATGATGGAAAGTTCGATGTGCTTTGCTCCATTGTCGCAGCCATTGGTAGCATCAGCCTGCGAGGTAAAGTCATTTCTCGGTTACGCAAGGCACTTAACCGGTCCTCTTTGAGGCCAACAAAACTAATAACCGAAAATGCCGTCTGGTCTGAGATACGCCTTCTTCTCCAATTCTGTCTTTCTCTCTCGTTCGACAGTGGCGTCCAAGTCCAGCTCTACGTTCCAGAAATATTTCATATCGCAACCATGCTCGCAAATACCGGTCCCATGGAATTCCGATGCTCGGTCCAGAGACTACTTGTCAACTCCATCCACTCTATGTGTACTTCCTTCCCTCTTGAAGAACATCGCTTATCTAAATTACGTGGTATCTTGGATATTTTGAGCGACCTAAGGGGAGACTTGTTCTCGAATCGGGTAGTCTTAGGAAGAGATGAAAACTCAACGTCTAGCGATCAGGAATCCAACCAAAATCTAGCCGCCACGGAGAGCCTAGCAACCCTCCTCTTTGATGTCTGTGCCACTGCCGCACCAGCCACCGACCTGTCAAACTCGTGGCGATCACGATGGATGAGCCTTGTCGCCAGCACCGCTTTCCAAAACAACCCAGCTATACAGCCGAGGGCCTTCGCAGTCATGGGCTGCCTCGCTCGTGAGGAGGTCGATGACGACTTGCTCTATCAAGTTCTCGTTGCCCTTCGTAGTAGTGTGGCTAGGTTCGGTGAGGAAGGAAATAGTGAGATGTTGGTCTCAATTCTCACATCGCTTTCAAGAATGCTCTCCAAATTGCGAACAGCATCTAGGTATGGCATCCAGCTCTTCTGGCTTGCAATTTCCATCCTCCGCCTCGTTCCCGCCGCGCTATTCAACTGTGCAGCTCAGTTTCTAGAAGCCGTTCTAGCCAATACAAGCACAATCTCAGAGCTAAAGGGAGAAAAGATGTGCTTCACCCTCATGCAGGGAAGGTCTTCACTCGAGGAGGCCGCCGAGTCTCTTGATGAGCTATATGGGGTCCGATTTAGCCAAGAGAACTTCCATTTTGCGGTCTGCTCCTGCTTGGCAAGAGGTCTAACTGACACTATCTCGCGGCCCATCGCCTTGCGAGTCTTATCCGCCTTTCTTGGCATGTCAAGAACATCATCCACAGGTGAGCCACTGGAAATCGACGAAATATCAAACTCTCCGTACTTCGCTCTCATACTCGCACGCACATCAAGCCGGGAAGAGCTCAAAGATCACCTTTGGTTTGCTGGTGTAAATACAACCTCCTTGCATGTCAGCCCCCTCGCGGATATTCGCGACCTACAAGATGTAGCTGCCGTCAAGGACAAGGATCTTCTCCTGAATACAACAATTGAGTTGGTTGACTTCCAATATTTGGAGGACACCGTTCAGATTAGAACTTTACAATGGCTGAATAAACTGAGTTCCACAAGGCCTGGAGTTTTGCAACATCTGTGAGTAGTCAGAACCCATCCGAGGCACAGACACTAATAAGAATGCAGGCAAGAACCGATTATCTCAATTTTAGACGACCTTCTCATGCATTCCCAAAACTCGGCGGCCCTCGAATGCGCATATAGTCTTTTACAGGCGCTAAGTCTATCAATGGGTATATATCAGGTGGGGAGAAGCCACGCAGCTTAGTAGAGATCTTCGAGGAGCTCGGTTTTCGGGGATTGTGGCATATGTGCTCTTTGAATAAAGTATGGGAGCCTGACCTACTATATTTCACACTAACAGAGAAGCTTATTAAGGTAAGTAAACTATATAAGATAAACATAAGTATTTACTAAGCTAACATTATATAGTTAATTATTCTTTAAAAGGTTTAGTATTAAAAGCTATATAGGTTTAAATACTTATTAGTTAAGTTAAAAATAATAATTAACTAATCTATTATAAAAATCTATATTTTAATAAGAGATATTTTTAAAAAATTAAAAGATTATTATAATAAAGTATTACTATATAATATAGTACTTTTTACTACCTAGTATACTTTATATATAGTTAACCTTTTAACTCTAAGCTAAGGATTTAAACTTAGTAAAGGTATATTTTAATATAAAGTACCCTTATAAACTATAAAAAGTATTTATTATTATTATATTAACTAAAGCTACTACCTAGCTAGTAGTATAAAGAGATAATAGACCCTAGAAGTTAATAATTCTAACCTATTAAGAACTATAACCTTAGTACTAGCTTATAATCCTAGCTTAGTTAGTAAATACTAATAAGTAAATAAGAGCTACCCTTAATAGTAAACTATCAGGATAAAGAGAAGCCTAAGTAACTACTAATAGCTCTCTTAGGGAATAAACTAAGAAATAGCCCTAAAAAGAGTTAACTAAGGGCTCCCTAGAGGTCTACCTATAGGAATAGCAGGCTAAGGATAAGTTAGCTAGTAAGCTCCTATATCTAAGTAAACCTATAGAGACCTCTTAGCTAGATATAAGTAAGGAAAAGTAAAAAGAGGGGAAATTAATAATTAAAAGGAGGGGAAAAGAAAAGTAAAGGGATAGTAGACTAAATAAGACTAGTTATAAAAGGAGAGAAAGGAAGAGGTTAGAAAAAGGGGGTAGTGATTAGTGAAAGCCTAAATATATACCTACCTTACTCTCTACTTACTATCCCCTACTACCTTACTACTAGCTTATATATATTATATATAAACTATCCTCTAAAATAGTAATTATAAGTAGAATTAAAGGTAAATAAGAAAGGGATTATAAATAGTAGATAAAGATATATTAGATATAAAGGGAAGGAATCCTTTACTAGCTAGAGAGAAGAAATTAACTTTTTACTACTTTATATTAGATATTATAGCTTCTATTATAACTATTATATCTTATAAGAAAGTAATATCTAATAACTTTTTAAAGATTAATAACTTTTATAGTAATTAAAAGATCTCTAGCTCTCTTTAAAGATATTATTATCTCTCTAATAGCTTCTTAATAGTTTAGTTATTAGTAAGCTAGTTAATATAACTTTTTATTATAATAATAATAATTAAACTAAACTAAAATAATTCTTTAATCTTACTAATATTAATATAAGAAAATATTATATATATAAAATATTAAAACTTATTAGAATATTTTTATTATACTAATAGATACTTACTAAGTTATAAATACTAGTAATAGCTAGTAAACCCCTACTTAAGTAAGGAACTACTACTATAATAAGTGATCACTAGTAAAATATAATAGTAAGTAATTACTACTATAGCTAATAACCTAGGGAAGGGATTACTATTAGATACTAGTAAATAAGAGCTAGCTAATAGAAGATATAAAAAGATAATAATCCCCTAGATAGAAAAGATAAGAACTTACCTCTAAATATACTAATATCTACCTTACTTTATTATAATATAAATAGGTATAATATATATAGAACTAAGTTATTTATAATTACTTTAAAAAGATAAATAGTATTATCTTATTTATTAACTTACTTATAGATAGTTTAACTAACTATAAATAAATAATATAATATTTTATTATAATAGTAGTATTATTATTTAGAAAGACCTTAGTTAATTAAGTAAAGCTTATAAACCTTAATAATTCCTAAAGAGAACTCTCTTCCTAAGAATATTAAAACCCTAATAAGCTATAATAAAAGAGAACTATTTTTAGTTAGAATATAAACTATAATAACCTATAGATATTATTAAAAGAAAAAAAGAAGTTATTACCTATAAATAATTATAATCTTAATAACTATTAATAATATCTTTATTAATAAGAAATACTCTTAAAAACTTCCTAAAGTTAAAATAAAAAACTAACCTATTAATTAAATAAGCTAATTTTTACTTAAATAAAAAACTTTACCCCTATAATTAACTATAAAAGAACCTTTATTAGAAATAACTTCTAACTAATAACTATAAGAGGAGAGCTAGCTATAAGAAATAATATTTAAATAGCTAACCTCTTAATAATAAGATAAATAATAAAAATAATATAAAACCCTTATTATATAAAAAATATTAATATAAGAGAAATAGAAAAAGATAATAGCTTAGATTAGATAGTAATCTACTATTAAAAAAGAGACTTACTCTTAATAAGATTTACCTTAAAAAGAGATAAAAATTAAAAGATAACCTATCTTTTTAAAAATATAAATAGTAATTATTAACTATTAATCTAAAAAGTATAATAAGGAGGTTAATATAAAGAGACCTCTACCTCTTAGTAATTAAGACCTTATAACTAATAAAAAATATAAAAGGTCTAAAAGAGGATATAGAAAAATAGTAATATTAGAATATCTTATATTTAAAATTATAAGAAAGTAAGATAAAAGGTTAATAATTCTAAAGATATTAAAGATAAAAATTATAAGATAATAAAAGGGGAACTTAAAGATTTCTATAATAATAATATTATATAAAACTAAATATCTAGTTATTAATAAAAACTAAAAAATAATAGTAAATAATAACTTATTAAACTTTATTCTTACCTCTACTTTTATATTAAATTAATAGAGGTTATTTTAACTAGATTTTAAAAGATTTACTTTTATTATAACTAAGTTTATTAATATTATTATAGATATTATAATAGAAAATATTATAATAAACTATATAAGTAAAATATTAAAAATATTAGAGATAACTATTAATTAAAAATAAAAAATAAAGTAGATTAGTTTCTTTTAACTTAATATAGATAAAAAGAAATATAGGTTTTAAAGATATATAGATAGTAGTAAGATTTACTTTTATAATATAAAGCTATTTATTAATATCTTAAAAATAGAAACTACTAAAAATATAGAGAAAAGATATTATATTATTTATAAAATATATAAACTATTAAGAGGAAGAGCTTTAATATAATAAAGTAAGATTATCTTTATTTATAAAAGATAATATTTATAAGAAAAAGACTTAGTAAAATAAGTAAAAACTCTTTAAGAAAAGTTTAATATTACTTTAGATAAAGTAGAGATATAACTATCTATTAACTAATACTCTATTAAAGATATATAAATATATAAGTTAGTTAGGGATTTTATTATATAATATATAAGATATATCTAGGTAAGATATAAATTAGACCTTTATTAATACCTAATTATTACTTATAACTAATTTAATCTAATATTTTAAATAGTTATCTATAAACCTAAATATAAAAGATATAGATAAATAGATTTTAAAAGTAGAAGATAAAATAGAATTACTTAATTAATTACTACTAAAGAAGAAGAGTAAAAGAGATAGGAGTAATATAACTAATACTTATAAAATATATATAAGCTATATATATAATATATATATATAGATATATCTATAAAAGGTAATATAAAGGAAACTTATAAAGCTATTTAATTAGGAAGCTATAAATAAGGGGGGATAATATATATATAAGAGGTATAAAAGGTAGATAACTAGTAGGTAATCTAAAGGAAGACTTAAGATAACCTACTAGTAGTAGAACTACCTAATACCTCCTCTAAAATAGCTTAGAGGTCTAATAAGGTTATTAGGAGCTTAATATAAGAGACTACTATTTTAATATATAGTTAGTAGAGCTTAGAGATAATTATAAGCTCTTTAGTAGATAGCCTACTATAAGTAAAGATAGTAGGGGCTAAGATAATAGGGGTAAAAAGGGTAATAAGGGTAAGAGAGGTAATAAAAGTAAAGGGGGTAGTAGGAGATATAATAATAGTAGTAGCTATAATAATAATAGTAATAGCTATAATAGTAAGGATATAAAAGTAATATAATAACTTTATTAGTAAAAGTAATAATAGTAGTCTTAGTTATAAAAGGAAGGTTAAATATAGTAAAGCTAGAAAAAGTAAAATATAGCTTCTTATATTAATTATAAATCTTAATAGCTTAATCTATATTAATAAAAATAATATTATTAGCTTAATAAAAGTTAATATAAATAAAATAGAAAAAGTAAAAAGGGTTATTATAAATAATAATATTAGCTTAAATAAAGTTAACTTTATATATAATAAATAAAAGATTAGATAACTATATATAATTTAATAATAATAAGTAAAATATAATAAGATATTTATAATTTATTATAAATAATATAATAATTTAAGTTAATTATAATTTAATTAATAAAAAGATAAAATAATAAAAAACTATAAAATATTTATAACTTATAAAGAATATATAATATTAAAGCTTTTAGTTAATATAAAACTATATCTAAAAGTAATAATAATAAAATAGATTAATATAATAAAAAGTAATAATCTTTTTTAATAATAAACTTTTTATTAGTAAAAGCCTTTTACTAATAATACTCTCTATTAATAATACCTTTTTTACTAATAGTAACTTTCTTATTAATAATAATAGGCTTTAATATAAAAGAGATAATAAAAGTAAATAGATTAATAATAATAGGAATTATAATATAGATAATAAAGAGAATATTTATAAAGATATTACTAATCTTACTATTAAAATCTATATTAAAGTTATTATCTATATTATTAATATTACTATTAACTTAAAGAAAAAGATAATAGAAAGAGAAAAAGATAAATAACTAAAAGCTATAAGAGAAAAGTAACTTATATATTTATATTTATAAATAATATATTTATAGTTATTATAATTATAAATATTATAATTATAATTATTATAACTATAAAAACTAAAAATAATAAATTAAACTTATTTTTATAAATAACTTTTATTATATAAAAAAGATAAATATAATTATTAAATAGGTTAATAGTAATAAGCCTATTAGTAAGGAGAAGTAGAATTATAAAACTATAAAACTAGAGGGTAGAAAATTAAACCTACCTTATC